GCCACGGGATGCGGCAGGCGGAATGCGGAATCCGGAATCCGGAGTACGGAACCCGGATCCCGGATCCAGTCCTAAAGCCGCGACTCAGCCACTCATCCGCACACACACTTGATTAGAGCTTGAGGCGGTGCTCAGGTCGCCCGCTGTGCGCCTTCTGCTTGAAACAATATGGCGTCGAGGACTACGACCCTTTTGGGTCTCCTCGGGAACGTCGACAGGTTGCCGCATCGTTAGAGAGCTCAGCTCCCAGTCCCGGCCTTAGACCTTTATTGTCCCTGTCCGACTGTCTCCCAGTCCTTGCGCGCCTAACAAATTGCAGAATTTTTTGTGTTGATTTATCGCACAACAAGAGCAGCGGCGGCGGCAATAATAAAAATAACAACAGCAGGGCGAGCGTGAAACGAGCGCACATTAAACATTTAGTAATGAGTTTAAAGTTTTAAATGGAATTTTTGATTATAAGCGGCGGAACAACAGAAGGCGAGGCATGCCCCAGAATGGAAAAGAACAGAAGGAAGAGCCAGCCATTCGGCGTATCGCAATTTGTGCCCACTTACGGCTGTAATTACGGATGTAGCTATTTGAGCGGAGTGCCTGCCAGGCAACCATGCCATTCCTGCATTATGCCTAGTATAATAACCTGTCCATGAATGCGGGATTAGATGTGTAGTGGATATGACAGTTTGCACTCTTAGTCATCCCTTAATGGGGTTGCCTAGCCCTTATCGTATTTCCGTGCCCTACATTCCCGAACGTCCCAACGATCCGGCCCCGTCCCATTGTCAATCCATCATAAGCCCTTCCCCGCATCCCTTTTATGGCAGGGAATCAACCTTCAGCTCCTGCTCCTGCTCCTGCTCCTGGCAACAACAACCCCGTCAAATTCCAAGGCAAATCTCTGGAAATCCCAACACTTTGTTCAAACATATAAACCCAGATCTTGCCTCGGCCTCTGAATCTTCATCTTTCGCTTTGCCGTCCCTTTTTCGGGGGTTTTCTTTTCAATTTGGCCGAGGAGAAACAGAGACGCGGGGCCATTAAACGCTTTAAAATCAACATCAACACCGATGACGGCGACAGGGGCAATAAAGTCGACCCAAAAATTGCTTCCTCTGCACATAAAACTGAGTCGGGCGGGTCCGGGGCCGGGCGCAGCCTAAAATACCCGTACACATACACGGATATGTATGTATATGTTGGCGGAGCAACTCTGCTGAGCCTCGCAAACAAACGCGGTAAAAGTAAACGAAACACTTTGCCACCCATTCCGCCAAGCTCCACTCCACTCCACTCCATCCCTGCCCACTTAATACTTAAATGCAAACGTGTAAATTATGTGATTTTTCCCCGGCGGCCATGTTTGTTTGCAAACTCCATTACCAACATGGCGGGAGCTTCCTTTCCGTTCCATTCCTGCCCTTACCAGCCCTGCCACAGCTCACCTGTTTGTTTCAAGCAATCGTCGCGCTTTGCCATTAAAATGCGAGAAATAACAAAAAATACGTAGCCGTGCTCCGTGGATACCCCTTTTATGTGCCTTTATGTGTTTTTCATGTACTTTTATTTGATTGTCGCACGCTTTGGCGCCCCAGCCAGAAGGGCCTGCAGGGAGGGCCGTGGGGCGGAGGCGGGGGCGTGGCACCCTCCACTTAATGGCAATGTTTTTTAGTGCTCAAAATATTAGCAAATGTTCATTAACGGCTATGCAAATTGGTTGTAGTCGGCCGTAGTCCGACGGGGACGGAGTCCGAGTCCGAAAAAGGCAATTACTCAAAAAGTACTTAACACACAATTGTTGCGTGTGCCCCAGGGAGGCAAAGCCCACGATGGAAGTTGAACCGAGAGTCTCGAAAGGAACTACGTATTGAATCCCAATTGGGATTCTTCCTTCTGGGCCAAATCCGAGGCTCAGCCGGCCTACGCCTAATTCCTCGGTCTGATAGCTTTGCGTCTTTTCCACACTTGAAATGATTTTTAATTACGTCGAGAGGAGTGAAAACATTGCCTACTTTTGAGCTCATATTTTCCAGCTTCGGCGGCCGGAGGAGGGACGAAAGTCAGCCGCCTGGAAAGCCAATTAAAATGAAATCAAGCCAGGGCCTCGCCCTCAGCACCTCTCTCGCAGGCACGGCTTAGTGTTTATTGGACTACAACACCTTGGGCCCACAGCACACACACACAAGTGGGATGTGTATAAATTTGTAATTTTAATATTATTAAAAATGTTAAATTGCATGGGGCATAAATCACATTTGTGCTGCACTGCGGCCGGGGCAGGGTTGTTGGTGGCGTCAGCTTGCTGCCATCACTTGTGGCCCAGGGGTTGACACCCAGCGACACATTATACCGATGCCATTACTGCCAGCTGCGTTTGCCACACTATTTATATTTTTTATTGTTATCGCCTTTGCTGTTGCTGCTAAAATTGCGCCCAGAGATGGGTCGCTGTTATTTTAATTTAAGCGATTTACTCTCAGGTTCATAAAACGGCAGCCGCAGGCATAATCCAGATTTTGTGCGTTAAATGTCAATTCATTAAAATTGAAAGGAATTAATAAACCCACAGCCAGGATAATATGTACGAGTAAGATGCGAAACGCTCACATTTTTAAATTACTTCGAGTGAAGTCTGATCTAGATTTCTTTGGTTTATTAACAAGTTGTACATTGCCTAAACAGTACAACATATTCGAAAGTGAAACAGCTTATTCAACGCAGGAGATTTACTGCAGTTTAGCTCAAAGTTCAGAAACTCTGACTTCAATTGAGCAGGAAATCGGGATGCTGCAATTGAGGTCGTTAGAGGGGATATATACGATAAAAGCATGCATATTTGTGATCTATTCCGCCGATAAATTGACCCCGGGTGGGCGGTGACTGCCATTTATCGTGGCATACTTTGTCGTGTCTGCCATTACGTTTAATGACCCCGCAGCACTCTCGTCTCATCAGCCTGCAAACACTTCCGAGGAGCGGAGGCTCTCTTTTTTTAAAAGCATCCAGCGCCCATTAACTTGTGTGAATTTATATCACTCGTTGGCCCAGCTCGAACACCGACTACCGGCTACCGACTGCTGACTGCTATTATGCGTTCGTTAATTATTCACACACAAATACTGGCGGCGGCACCCCTCAACCCTGCCGCACGTTTCGGTCATAAAAACCGCCCGAATCCCGCCTGCCACGCCCCCTTAACGAGGCAACTAACATTGGTCCAGAACTCTCGGATTAACCTTTGCTTGGCCCTCTTCGAATGTCTCCACGGGTGCGGAGCTTGGAAATTTGGGATTAGGGAGACCAGGGACTAGGGACTCTGGCTCAGGGATCTCCTCCCTGGACACTTATGCATTTGCCAAGCCCCACTTCCCCGTTCACATATGGCGAGATCTTGACATTAAATAAATCTAACATCCCGTATACGCTTAGTGGGCATCTTTAATACTCATTCGCACATGCACACAAATACAAATGTGTGTATATATATAAAAAAATGACGCAGACATTATTCACGCTATCATTGGGCACACACGACTGCCGGAACAGGGTCAGAAAGTAAGAGACGAGGACGAGCAGACCCATTTTGGGTTACCACGCAAAAAGGCCAGCAGCCGGGGCAAACTATGCTCTTATGAAGATGGAGGCCGCGCCGTTGCTCCATTTGCGAGAAATTACAACGATTTTTCGTGAAAGCGAGCGTTTGTCGCAGGACGAGGGAATGATTTTGATTTCCAGCCCTCCCACGCACGCATTCAAGCCACATGCCACACGCCAGTTCGACCGTCGGCCGCAGAATGTGTAAGCGCGTTTGGCATTGATAGCATTGATAACAAGCGATTTCGGTAGGAATAGGGTAACGAGCGAAGCCAGAATTATGGAGCAAGGAACCTAACTGACCTTTAGAGCTGAAGACTTTGACAAGATCCATAATTGTTTAATGGGATTAGAAGATTTGCCTGTATTCGATCACATGATCATAAAGTGAAAAAAATATATACTCTCTATCACCTCCTTAACCAAGACAATATAAATTAAACTCAAATAAGATGCGCAACGCGGCAATATTTGTTATTGTAGAATGCAAAGCACAGCTCTGTTAACCCAAAGCTAGTTGATTTATGTCCACTCCCCCGTCCAGCTCAGCAGCATTCCATTGTCGATTTCCATTTCCTTGCCACTAGGGGATCCTGAACCCCATTTAAGGCAGCCCCGTGCGGCCGCTCCATGTCACATAATCGAATTATCATCATGGCATCAACAAATGATTTCAACTTGCGCCAACCTCCTGCTCCCCTCGACTGTCCGGCTGTCCGGCTATCTGGCTATCCTGCTATCCTGCTATCCGGCTGTCCTGCCGCTCCTGGCGCTGTCACCGCTCGGACTGCCCCGCGGCGTTGCCTTTTTTCACTTCACTTCACTTCACTCCGGCAAATCCTCACCCACACTCCACCCAACGTCAGACACATCAACGGCCGGCAAACCTTTCGCAGGAACGCCATTCTCATCGCTTTTTTACGATTTCTCCCGCTGACTCCTGTTTTGCCAACGTCATTGTCGCTGGTCATTTTCCCTGCTTACTTCATCCACTCATTCGCCGTTAGTCCGTTTCGTTGCGTTTCGTTCGGTTCGTTCGTTTTTTCAGCTTTGTTCCGTCTGTCGACTCGTTTGTTTGAGGTTATGTTGAATGTCAGTTTGTTATCCTTGTGCAAATCCTTTTATACAAATGAAATTTGCGCCAAATGGCGATAAGCAAAATACAATAGTGTGCACAGACCGCTCCTTGTCCCACCATGGCCGGCTTTGTGGTTTCCCGGGCAAGCGATCGGGGGGGAATTCAGGGACAACTAAGCCATTTCCTCGTTTGGAGAATTTAATGGAAACTCGCAAGTTCAAATGTCTAATTGAAACCCCGAATCCTGCAATGCACCAGCCCTATATATAATCCCTTATCTGATTAACATATCACAACGAAAACTAACCCCAAATTTCTCCTCCCATTGCAGACATCAACAAGGGCTCACCCATCGACTTCAAGAGCGGATCGGCCTGTTCCACACCCACAAAAGACACGCTGAAGGGCTACGAGCGAAGCACGCAGGGCTGCATGGGACCCGTCCTGCCGCCTCGCAGCGTCATGAACGGAATGCCCGCGCACCACTACTCGGCGCCGATGAATTTCCGCAAGGACCTGGCCGCGCGCTGCTCCTCGCCCTGGGTGAGCGTCGGCGCCATATCGGCGCTGGTGCTGTGCGTGCTCATGCTGATCCTGCTGACCACCTTCGGGGGCCTGCACTGGACCCAGTCGGCGCCCTGCACCGTTCTAGTCGGCAACGAGGCGGCCGAGGTGACGGCTGCCAAGAGTACGAACACGGACCTCTCCAAACTCCACAACTCGGGACGCGCCAAGAACGGACAAGGCATCGGAATGGCTCAGGGTCAGGCTGGAATCGGAGCCGGCGGCGCAGGCGGAGGAGGCGCATCAGGTGGATCCTCGGCGGCCACTGTGACGACTGCCACATCAAACAGCGGCACCGCCCAGGGCCTGCAGTCGACGTCGGCCTCCGCGGAGGCCACGTCCTCGGCGGCCACGTCTTCCTCGCAGTCCTCGCTGACGCCTTCGACATCACTGTCCTCGTCCCTGGCAAATGCCAATAATGGAGGTAATTATGCACAACTTTTAATTATTTTTAAATGAGTTTTCGCAAGTTTCGCCGGGTAACTACGGAGTGGGACGCAGAAGAGATTGAGACGGAGCTCAAGAGAAAGCCAAGACGCCGGAGTATTTAGCGCTTAGCGCCCTCCGGCAGAGACAAAAAGTTTATTGTTTTTGTAGGTTTTTTGCTCAAAGTTTGCGCCTGACAGACAGACAGACGCCTACGCTGGATAGGGATTATGCGAATGCCGTTTTCATTATTTCTCGGCGCGCCTCCCATTTCTTTCAATTCAAGTTAAACTTGAGTGCGTTCTTTGGGATTTGTCGGGCTAAAATATTGCATTAATTACTTTCTTGAATTGACAGCAAGACGCGATGTGAAGCTGCAGACGAAAAGACCCCTTTTTCAATCGGAGGCTAGTCTCTCCTCTATTAAATGCTTAACTCGTAACTTACTCTCTACTGCGTCCTGCTCCCTTAAGAGCTCCCTAACTTGCCAAGTCTAAGCCGGTGTTGGGTTAAAACACATTTAACGCTTAACTTAAGGAGGTGAAGGACCGGGTGTAGTTTGGGTTGGTATTCCTCGGCAGGTATCCTGCCCCTTTCCATTCCGATTTGTTCGCTTTGTTTACCTGTAGGAAGAGCAATGTCAACGCCGCTGTCATCCAACGGGGCAGGCGATAAGGGACGACGACATCGACGAAGCTTAATCGAGAGGGGGGTCGAAGATGATGTGGCTACGGCCGAAACTTTCAGCGACTTAATTACAAGCGAAAGCCTCAACCGGCAGCTGGCCAAAAAGTATTCGGCTACGACCCCGGCCAGGATACTGCCAGCCGTCGCCTGGGAAAGCATTTCAAATAAAACTTTGCGCGGAATCGACGGTGGAATAGACTCCCCACCCCAGGGGAGTGAAGGAATCGAGGTGGACTCCAGCGACTATGTCTATGAAGATGAAGCTGAGCCGGAGGAGACCAGTCCTCCGCCCACCCGGAGACCCACGTCTAGGCAACAATTTGGCAAATCATTAAACAGCAATTTACGCAGCGCAGCTAAAACACTGGTCAACAAGAGAAGGAAATATGAGGTTGAGGCGGAGGACGTGGAGCTCAGTGAGCAGCAGGAACCGGAGCGTCTCCCGGTGACTGGGATGGCAACGGCACAAACGCTGGAGCCGGGGCCCAGCACATTTGTTGCTGTTATTGATGACGATAATCAAAGTGACAACAGCAGCTCAGGCCCAGCGCCGGAGACGACTCTGAGGAGTGACACCGATGACATTGTTGAAATCAACACCACCCAACCAGAGTTAGCGCTGAGCTCTTTCCCCGCCGCCCCAACCCCAACCCAGCCCGTCATTGAAAATGATTTTCAAATCAGGGCAAAGGTGGGGGAGAGTCGCTGGAGGAGAAACCTGCCGCTGATGATAACAATAATGAGCGTGATTTAGCTGACAACTATGAGGTAGACACCAAGGAGCCACCCCCGCAAGGTATAAATCAAGTCCATGCCGATTTGGAGACGAACCATGCCTGTGGTGTGGAATTACGACCCAAGTTCGGGCTCAAGAAGTGTTTTTACTAAGCTTTCAGTCTGATGGGATTGATTTTTGTAATGGATTTTGAATTTAATGATATGCTACTCAATGTCATGTTTAACTTAAATTTTTCTTCTAATACTTGCAGTGTTAATTATACACAGTTAAAGTAAAATGAATTTATATAAATAAGATGGGTAAATTTTTCTTATTTATTTTATATATGTTGACTTTGGTTCAAGTATTTTTTACCATTCTGGAATTGATTTTGAATCAGATTAGATCTTGGTTAACGCATTTGAAAACACTTCCTGAGCCAGTCCATCGAGTTCTACTTGTACAAATTATTTACCAATATTTTGGTACCAAAGGTACTACTCAAAAGTCCAGGAGGCATAACAATAACACGGAACTCGACTTAATGATGAGCGATGACTCGCGCCTGGAGGATATAGATATCGTTAAACTAGATGAGGCCCAAAGATCTCTTGAAGAGGAGGTTTATGAGACGGCAGACAAGAGGGAGTCACTGCCTAAATTGTCTTCTATACAGCCCTCAGCCAGTGAGAACGAGGTGTTCAAAGAGCAAGGGAAGGACGCACGGATGCCCATGCACCTTAAGCCGCTTAAGCCATATGTGAGTGAGCGCATTGATCAGCCCGGCAAGCGTATATTCCTTAACCTGACAATTGCCACCGACGAGGGCAGCGACTCCGTCTATACCCTACACGTGGAGGTGCCCACCGGCGGTGGGTCGCACAACATTAAGGAGGTGCTGACCCACGAGCATCGTGCCGAGCAAGCGGAAAGCTATGCGGACAGTTGTGTCCCGGAGCCGCCACCCCGCATGCCCGACTGTCCTTGCAGCTGCCTCCCACCCCAGCAGCCACCTACCTAGATGACAGTGTTGACATTGACTCTGGCGCATCCACTATGGCTGCGACCGCCACCACAACTTCAACGCCTTTGGAGAGGGCCACCGTTTTGAGTCACCTCCACAGCGAGGACGGGGTTAGGGATGGGGACACGTCGTCGGACAACGGGGAGACCATGCCTGTCCCAAGCACCGCTACTACTAACCCCCCGAGATCGATAACCACATAGCCGCCTCCAATACTGAGCCCCCCGATGCTGCTGTGGTTGAGGCGCTTGCATGCCCCGATGTGATGCCAGTACTAATACTGGAAGGTGAATTGTGCACAGTGCATTTGTTGCTAACCAGCTTCGTCTAACCTGCGGGTATCTAACCATACTAAAAGCTGTACAGCTTATTAACTCTAGTCTATCGCCCGTAACCCAACCTGCTCATCTTTCATAGTCCCGCATATGTACAAAGTATCTCCAAGCATAAGTATCTGGCATCACATCGGCACGAGCCACCAGCCTGTGCCATTGTATACCTCTCGTATTTCCATCATTTAGCTGTCGGTGATCACTCCACCTTCTGGGGGGAATAATATCGACAACCTAGGCTAAGACCTGTACAGATCGTGTCCACACTACCCCATTTACATACACACAACATCTTTGCAACCGTCAGCGACTAACCCGAATCTAATTCTCTTTTTTTGCATCTCTATCATCCTCTCATTGCACACTCATGCCGCTGCTAAACCAGGAGCTCGAACATTCCCGGCGCGCAGCTTCCCACCCGACGGCACCACCTTTGGCCAGATCACGCTCGGCCAGAAGCTGACCAAGGAAATCCAGCCGTACAGCTACTGGAATATGCAGTTCTACCAGTCGGAGCCGGCCTACGTCAAGTTCGACTACACGATTCCGCGAGGCGCCTCGATCGGAGTTTACGGGAGACGCAACGCCCTGCCAACCCATACGCAATACCACTTCAAGGAGGTGCTCAGTGGATTCAGCGCCAGCACGCGTACGGCCCGGGCCACGCACGTAAGTAGCTTGCGAGCAAGGGAACCGTCCTGAATGTTTACTAACCTGTGTCTATTCCATGCCTGTGTCTATCATCATCCCATTCACTGCACCCCGCACCACCGATTGCTCGCTTCACCTAATCCCGTGCAGCTTTCCATAACGCGGGAGGTAACGCGCTATATGGAGCCGGGTCATTGGTTCGTGTCGCTCTACAATGACGACGGGGACGTACAGGAACTGACATTTTACGCGGCCGTCGCCGAGGACATGACCCAGAACTGCCCCAACGGCTGCTCCGGCAACGGTCAGTGTCTGCTGGGCCACTGCCAGTGCAATCCCGGCTTTGGCGGCGACGACTGCAGCGAGAGCGTGTGTCCGGTGCTGTGCTCACAGCACGGCGAGTACACCAACGGAGAATGCATCTGCAATCCGGGCTGGAAGGGCAAGGAGTGCTCACTGCGGCACGACGAGTGCGAGGTGGCCGACTGCAATGGCCACGGCCACTGTGTCAGCGGCAAGTGCCAGTGCATGCGCGGCTACAAGGGAAAGTTCTGCGAAGAAGGTAGCGATGGGATCTTGGATCTCTTCTCCCCCTCTCACGGCTGATCTGTTCCACTCCAGCAATTTACTGATGCTCTGTAAATTTCATCTTGCTCTTTAACAGTTGACTGTCCGCATCCTAACTGCTCCGGACACGGATTCTGCGCCGACGGCACCTGCATCTGCAAGAAGGGCTGGAAGGGAGCTGACTGCGCCACCATGGACCAAGACGCACTGCAATGCCTGCCCGACTGCTCCGGGCACGGAACCTTCGACCTGGACACCCAGACATGCACCTGCGAGGCCAAGTGGAGTGGCGACGACTGCTCGAAGGAGCTGTGCGACCTGGATTGCGGCCAGCATGGACGTTGCGTCGGTGACGCCTGCGCCTGCGACACGGAGTGGGGCGGCGAGTATTGCAACACCCGGTTGTGCGACGCCCGCTGCAACGAGCACGGGCAGTGCAAGAACGGCACCTGCCTCTGCGTGACAGGCTGGAACGGCAAGCACTGCACCATCGAGGGGTGCCCCAATAGTTGCGCCGGTCACGGCCAGTGCCGCGTCAGCGGTGAGGGACAGTGGGAGTGCCGCTGCTACGAAGGATGGGACGGACCGGACTGCGGCATCGCTCTAGAGCTGAACTGCGGAGACAGCAAGGACAACGACAAGGGTGAGTGGCAATGTGGGAAGTCGGGAGTAGGAACCTCTAATCTAACATTTCAACCGGATCCCCCCAGATGGCTTGGTTGACTGTGAGGATCCCGAGTGCTGTGCCAGCCACGTCTGCAAGACATCCCAGCTTTGCGTCTCAGCTCCCAAGCCGATCGACGTGCTGCTCCGCAAGCAGCCACCGGCAATCACCGCCTCGTTCTTTGAGCGGATGAAGTTCCTTATCGACGAAAGCAGCCTGCAGAACTACGCTAAATTGGAGACGTTTAACGAGAGGTAGGTGCTTCCTGGTAGCCAATTTCATACGTTTTAGCAACAAATCCAAATCGAGGCCTTAATGGCTGTGTATAGTTTCCACGATTGGCAGACAAGCTCAAATCCTGTACAATAACGAGAGCCTAGCTGGTTATTCTAATGTAACCGTACATATACTACCTAAACAAAATAATCAAATAGTTTGCATAATTAATGATTTTCTATGTTTAAATATTTACGTTTTTCGTTTTCGTGCCCTCGTCTAAAACAAATCCCGAAATAAAACCGTATCCCGCCACACCACATACCGAAAATCCCATTAAAATCTTGTAAATATAAACCCTATATGTCCTTTGTTTGAAACAAACCCAGACAGAAACATCCTACGTTAAGTTAGCTTGTAAGTACATAAAGGTTAAGCAGCATTGTAACCGCCATAAGGTAGACTAAGTGTCCTGCACAACGCGACATCGCAGCAGTCCCTCGCGATTTCGGTGTAATCGAAACGGAGCTAGGGCCTCAGAATCAACTGGTGGGGGCCAATTAACACATCACTATCCCATTTTAGCTTACTAGACCATAGACAACCATGCTAATTCAATTATTTTCTCTCTGCTCTCTTTTCTCCTCCACACGCGCTCCCTAAACCGTGTATTAAATATTACATGCCAACTACTAAATTTTTCCTGTTCTACTCGATACTACCACCCACTAATAACTACGTGTAAAAATACCACTACCCCTCTACTCACTCTACGCGGCACGAACACGAACTTTGAATGCTTTTGCATTACCTAACGACTGCTTAACGCTCTCGTTGCCCGGTACTCGGTACTCGGTACTCGATACTCGTTGCCCGTACTCGTTGTAAATTAATAACGAAATCAAAATCAATACTAACAGCATTTTTTGGAATTATTTCAATGCAAGGTAAGCAAGCGAAATGCGGTACTAAAATACTACTCTAAAAATACTACTCTGCTCTAATACTTATACTAAATGGTTGTTTGGTACACATTGACAACTGCCCTTATCATTATCATTTCGTTTATACAGTAGCTAACTTTTTATTCTTATAAGCTCAGTTGGTAGTTTATTTTAAGTTTATTCCCAAAACGTTTTCTCCAGACAACCAGACCAAGTGCTTTGGGTTTTTAGTTTACCACATAATAAATCTAAGCTATGAAAAATCATACTCTTACCGGTACTTACATAGGTCGAATCTAGGTCACAAACATGAGCCTTCACGAGATATACCATACATACCATACTAAATATTGTTAAACTTGTAATACATTTATGTGTTGAAACGAGTCTTATGTTCTGTGCGTGTGAATTTATATTATTTGTACTTATTTATTGCTCAAGTAGTTGCAAATATTTCGTTTTACTGCTTGCTGACCTAGCGAAATCTAGTCCTAGAGACGCCACAGAAGCTCCCATCCCTGCAAGACCCAACTAATCCTTGATCTCTGTCCTTCCCACAGCCGATCAGCGGTCATCAGAGGGCGCGTGGTCACCTCCCTGGGCATGGGCCTGGTGGGTGTACGAGTATCGACCACCACCCTTTTGGAGGGTTTCACCCTGACCCGTGACGACGGCTGGTTTGACCTGATGGTAAATGGCGGTGGAGCTGTGACTCTGCAATTCGGACGCGCACCTTTTCGACCGCAGTCGCGCATTGTCCAAGTGCCCTGGAACGAAGTGGTGATCATTGATGTCGTGGTCATGAGCATGTCCGAGGAGAAGGGTCTGATCACCATGGCGACACATTCATGCTTCGCCCACGACTACGACCTGATGAAGCCCGTTGTGCTGGCATCGTGGAAGCACGGCTTCCAGGGTGCCTGTCCCGACCGCAGTGCCATTCTGGCAGAATCGCAGGTCATCCAGGAGTCACTCCAGATACCCGGTACGGGCCTCAATCTCGTTTACCACTCGTCACGGGCCGCCGGCTACCTGTCCACCATCAAGTTGCAACTAACCCCTGATGCTATTCCGTCCTCGTTGCACCTTATCCATCTGCGTATCACCATCGAGGGCATTCTATTTGAACGCGTCTTTGAGGCCGATCCGGGAATCAAATTCACGTATGCTTGGAACCGCCTTAACATCTACAGGCAACGCGTATACGGTGTGACCACAGCCGTGGTAAAGGTCGGCTACCAGTACACCGACTGCACGGACATCGTTTGGGACATCCAGACCACAAAGTTGAGTGGCCACGATATGTCTATATCGGAGGTAGGAGGCTGGAACCTGGACATTCACCATCGCTACAACTTCCACGAAGGCATCCTGCAGAAAGGCGATGGCTCCAACATATACTTGCGCAACAAGCCACGCATCATTCTGACCACCATGGGCGACGGACACCAGCGTCCACTTGAGTGCCCCGATTGCGACGGCTTGGCCACGAAGCAGCGCCTACTGGCTCCTGTTGCCCTAGCGGCTGCTCCAGATGGAAGTCTCTTTGTGGGCGACTTTAACTATATCCGCCGCATCATGACCGATGGCAGCATCCGGACCGTTGTCAAGCTCAACGCCACCCGCGTCTCCTACCGCTACCACATGGCCCTCAGTCCGCTCGATGGCACTCTGTACGTGTCGGACCCGGAGTCGCATCAGATCATTCGTGTGCGCGATACCAGCGACTACTCGCAGCCAGAACTTAACTGGGAGGCAGTTGTGGGTTCCGGAGAGCGATGCCTCCCCGGCGACGAAGCTCACTGCGGCGATGGAGCCTTGGCCAAGGACGCCAAGTTGGCCTACCCCAAGGGCATTGCGATTTCCAGCGACAATATCCTGTACTTCGCCGACGGAACTAACATCCGGATGGTGGACAGGGATGGAATCGTAAGCACTCTTATTGGCAATCACATGCACAAGTCGCACTGGAAGCCCATACCCTGTGAGGGCACTCTCAAGCTGGAAGAGATGCACCTGCGCTGGCCCACAGAGTTGGCCGTCTCTCCCATGGACAATACATTGCACATCATTGACGATCACATGATCCTACGCATGACCCCCGATGGCAGGGTTCGCGTCATCTCCGGCAGGCCACTGCACTGCGCGACTGCCTCGACAGCCTACGATACTGACCTGGCCACTCACGCAACTCTGGTGATGCCGCAGTCCATCGCCTTCGGGCCGCTGGGTGAGCTGTACGTTGCGGAGAGTGACTCGCAGCGCATCAACCGAGTTCGTGTCATCGGGACGGACGGACGGATTGCACCCTTTGCAGGTGCCGAGTCCAAGTGCAATTGCCTTGAACGCGGATGCGACTGCTTCGAAGCAGAACACTATCTGGCCACTAGCGCCAAGTTCAACACGATCGCCGCGCTGGCTGTTACTCCCGATGGTCATGTGCACATTGCGGACCAAGCCAACTACCGCATCCGCTCGGTGATGTCCAGCATTCCAGAGGCAAGTCCCTCGCGCGAGTACGAGATCTATGCGCCGGACATGCAGGAGATATACATTTTCAACCGCTTTGGCCAGCACGTGTCCACGCGAAACATCCTGACCGGAGAGACGACATATGTGTTCACCTACAACGTGAACACCTCCAACGGGAAGCTCAGCACCGTCACCGATGCCGCCGGCAACAAGGTGTTCCTGCTGCGCGACTACACCTCGCAAGTCAACTCAATAGAGAACACCAAGGGCCAGAAGTGCCGGCTCCGCATGACGCGTATGAAGATGCTGCACGAGTTGAGCACTCCGGACAACTACAACGTCACCTATGAGTACCACGGGCCCACTGGACTACTCAAGACCAAACTGGACTCCACAGGCCGTTCCTACGTGTACAACTACGACGAGTTCGGCCGCCTAACCTCCGCTGTCACACCGACGGGCAGGGTCATCGAACTGAGCTTTGACCTGAGCGTTAAGGGCGCCCAGGTGAAGGTCTCGGAGAACGCACAGAAGGAAATGTCGCTGTTGATCCAAGGAGCTACAGTGATCGTGCGCAACGGGGCTGCCGAGTCGCGCACCACCGTCGACATGGACGGCTCCACCACAAGCATCACACCTTGGGGGCACAACCTGCAAATGGAGGTTGCTCCATACACGATTCTGGCCGAGCAGAGTCCATTGCTGGGCGAAAGCTACCCGGTACCAGCCAAGCAGCGCACAGAGATCGCCGGCGACCTAGCCAACCGGTTCGAGTGGCGCTACTTTGTGCGCCGCCAACAGCCGCTGCAGGCGGGTAAGCAAATCAAGGGCACACCTCGTCCCGTCACCGAAGTGGGTCGCAAGCTCCGAGTGAACGGGGACAACGTTCTGACCTTGGAGTACGACCGCGAGACGCAGTCTGTCGTGGTGATGGTGGACGACAAGCAGGAACTGCTCAACGTGACCTACGACCGCACCTCGCGACCAATCAGCTTCCGGCCGCAGTCGGGCGACTATGCGGACGTGGACTTGGAATACGACCGATTCGGGCGTCTGGTCAGCTGGAAGTGGGGCGTGCTGCAGGAGGCCTACTCCTTCGACCGCAATGGACGGCTCAACGAAATCAAGTACGGCGACGGATCGACCATGGTGTATGCATTCAAGGACATGTTTGGCTCGCTTCCGCTGAAGGTGACCACGCCTAGGCGGTCCGACTACCTGCTGCAGTACGATGATGCCGGGGCACTGCAGAGCCTCACGACGCCGCGCGGCCACATTCACGCCTTCTCACTGCAGACATCGCTCGGTTTCTTCAAGTACCAGTACTACTCGCCCATCAATCGCCATCCGTTTGAGATTCTGTACAACGATGAGGGTCAGATCCTGGCCAAGATCCATCCGCACCAGTCAGGCAAGGTAAGTACTCGATATTCAAATCTATTAGGCCAAAAATTCGACATACACAAAAACTAAATTTATTCTATCCTTGCAGGTGGCGTTTGTACACGATACTGCAGGACGCCTGGAAACGATCCTCGCTGGGCTATCCAGCACCCACTACACGTATCAGGACACAACAAGCTTGGTCAAGTCAGTGGAGGTGCAGGAACCGGGCTTCGAGCTGCGGCGAGAGTTCAAGTACCACGCCGGCATCCTCAAGGACGAGAAGCTGCGTTTCGGCTCCAAGAACTCGCTGGCCTCGGCCCACTACAAGTACGCCTACGACGGTAACGCCCGGCTTAGTGGCATTGAGATGGCCATAGATGACAAGGAGCTGCCCACTACGCGGTACAAGTACAGCCAAAACCTAGGCCAGCTGGAGGTGGTCCAGGATCTGAAAATCACTCGCAACGCCTTCAACCGGACAGTGATCCAGGACTCGGCGAAGCAATTCTTCACTATCGTGGACTACGACCAGCACGGCCGTGTGAAGAGCGTGCTGATGAACGTGAAGAACATTGACGTGTTCCGGCTGGAGTTGGACTACGACCTGCGGAACCGTGTCAAATCGCAGAAAACTACGTTTGGCCGATCCACAGCCTTCGATAAAATTAACTACAATGCCGACGGCCACGTGATCGAGGTTCTAGGCACCAACAACTGGAAGTATTTGTACGATGAAAACGGCAACACGGTCGGCGTTGTGGACCAAGGGGAGAAGTTCAACCTGGGCTACGACATTGGCGACCGTGTGATCAAGGTGGGCGATGTGGAGTTCAACAACTACGACGCTCGCGGCTTCGTAGTGCGGCGCGGCGAGCAGAAATACCGCTACAACAATAGGGGTCAACTGATCCACGCCTTCGAGCGGGAGCGCTTCCAGAGCTGGTATTACTACGATGACCGAAGCCGCCTCGTGGCTTGGCACGATAACAAGGGTAACACCACTCAGTACTACTACGCCAACCCTCGCACACCGCACCTCGTGACCCACGTCCACTTCCCCAAGCTGGGTCGCACTATGAAGTTCTTCTATGACGACCGCGACATGCTGATCGCGTTGGAGCACGCCGACCAGCGCTTCTATGTGGCCACCGATCAGAACGGTTCTCCGCTCGCATTCTTCGATCTGAACGGAGGCATCGTAAAGGAGCTCAAGCGAACCCCCTTCGGCCGCATTATCAAGGACACCAAGCCCGACTTTTTCGTGCCCGTTGACTTCCACGGGGGGCTGATCGATCCACACACCAAACTGGTCTACACCGAGCAACGCCAGTATGACCCTCACGTCGGACAGTGGATGACGCCGCTGTGGGAGACGCTGGCCACTGAGATGTCGCACCCGACCGACGTCTTCATCTACCGCTACCACAACAACGACCCTATCAATCCCAATAAGCCGCAGAACTATATGATCGACCTGGACTCCTGGCTGCAGCTCTTCGGCTATGACCTGGATAACATGCAGAGCACTCGCTACACCAAGCTGGCCCAGTACAGGCCGCAAGCCTCCATCAAGTCCAATACACTGGCGCCCGACTTCGGGGTCATTTCTGGACTGGAGGGTATCGTCGAAAAGACAAGCGAGAAGTTCAGCGACTTTGATTTTGTGCCAAAGCCCCTGCTTAAGATGGAGCCCAAGATGCGCAATCTGTTGCCACGCATTAGCTATCGACGCGGGGTCTTTGGCGAGGGTGTGCTGCTGTCGCGGATCGGTGGCCGGGCTTTGGTCAGCGTTGTAGACGGATCCAACAGTGTGGTACAGGATGTGGTGAGCAGCGTGTTCAACAACTCGTACTTCCTGGACCTGCACTTCAGCATTCACGATCAGGACGTGTTCTACTTCGTGAAGGACAACGTTCTGAAGTTGCGCGATGACAATGAAGAGCTTCGACGTCTGGGCGGCATGTTCAACATATCAACACACGAAATCAGCGATCACGGTGGCAGCGCAGCAAAGGAATTGCGCCTCCATGGTCCCGACGCCGTGGTCATTATCAAGTACGGTGTTGACCCCGAACAGGAGCGCCACCGCATCCTAAAGCACGCCCACAAGCGCGCAGTGGAGCGGGCCTGGGAGCTGGAGAAGCAGTTGGTGGCCGCCGGCTTCCAGGGTCGCGGCGACTGGACAGAGGAGGAGAAGGAGGAGCTTGTCCAGCACGGAGACGTCGACGGTTGGATTGGCATTGACATACACAGCATACACAAGTATCCGCAGCTGGCCGACGACCCCGGAAACGTTGCCTTCCAACGGGACGCCAAACGCAAGCGTCGCAAGACAGGCACCAGCCATCGGAGTGCCTCCAACCGGCGCCAGCTCAAATTCGGGGAGCTGAGTGCGTGAGTGGAGGCGGATAGAGAGGAGCTGGATCTGGAGCCGGAGCAGCGGCCGCAGACGGAAACGGAGGGAGGTGAAGTGACCGACGAGGAATACAGCGAGCAGGAGGACTACCTAATTGCCGTGGGCAGGAAGGAGCCAAGGGACAGCAGCGAAGCACTCGACGAGCAGATTTTGTAATTAGGTGAAATGCGCAACAGCAACAAAAACAAGACAACAAGAGAACAAGAAATAATAACAACAACAGCACAGCACACGAAACCCCAATACGACAGATAAAAACCATTATCAAACAAACACTCTAAGTAATATAAACTTTAATCGTGCTTAAAGTTTAGTATTAGTCACAATGCAACCCTCGAATAACCGAAGAATCTTCTTATATGTATGTACACAGGAACAGGAATATATATGTTGATGTTGAGTTTAGGCTAACAATAGGCGTATGTTTAGTCCATGTGTGTAATGTTTAATGTAAATCTGAATCAGAAAAGGATCGAATTAGTCGACTAAACTGTACCGAATGAGACATTGTTTATTCGGCGACTTGGCTATTGGCTTAACCACCGACGCAACGTGTTAGCCAGGTACATAACATACATAACGATGTCGAACGATGAGTATTAAACAGCAAAATATGCATACGATAAGTACGAATGATAATTTACGAATTGATTAAATGTAAAAGATTAAAGCTCTCTGTAGGAGGATCCCGCTAGTCCTCAGTCCTCTGTCCTTGGTCCCAAGCTTGGCCTATTCCAGTCTAGCCCACTTTAACATGACAAAAGGTGTGTTGGTCGCTGCCTCACCTCTTCAACTGCTTTGTGTATATAAGAACGACTACTTTACTATGCTTTAACTAACGAATCAGCGCTTATTTACCCTTCCTCTAAGAATCTTTTAAGTGTAACAGGTATCTGAACCGAATGCTCGAATTTACATTTATCTGTCACGTCTGCTTAATTTGGATTGCCAAAAATCAAACAAAACCTCTTACAGACAGCCCCCCTTTAATGTCAACTCTTTCCACTCATTTTACAATGTTAAACTGTTGAATTTATTCAAGGGCGAAAAGCATTAAAAACTTTTTACAAATTGTGATATATATTTCTAAACATTTCATTTCACAGCTTGAAGTGTGCCGAACATAAATCGAATTAACTCAAATCGAAGTGAAAATAAAAAGCAACCACATGTACTTTACTCATTTTTTAAACATAGTCCTTAATAATTAGTTTTTAAACTGCAATATTTAGTTTTTACCGTTTGCCATGTTAATTTGTATAAGCAATACTTACGCGTGACGGAAGTGTCACATGTAGTTTACCTTTTTTAATGTGTTTTAATTGGCTTTTTATGCTCGAATTATACTCAATTTATTCTCAATAATTGCTGCATTTTAAAAACTTTCGTAACGTCTTTCGTTGTTGCTGTCATTCGGTCAGCCCTTTGTATTTATAATTATTATTGAACTATTTATAACGAAAGCTAAACTATTGACTATTGAGATATTAACTAGCATAATACTTAGAGCGCATATGTAAGTTTTGCGGAAAACGTACACCCCCTATAATCATACGAAACACACCTTGTAATATACACACTATCACATACAACTACACATAGTCATAAGGATTAGGGTAAAGACAAAGATCGTAAAAACGGAATGATTTAGCACGTAACTAATGTGAGAATAAGAGATGTATTCTGTTTCAATGTTGGGCGGAAGATAGGAATGCAAAAAGTAATGCGTAGAAATTAGCTAAAGTGTTAGTAATTTTATTAAATAAAATTATAAATGAAGCAAGAGATCATTGATAATGGATAAAAACTTAACTCTACACTTAAGTCTATACATCGTAATCTGAATTCGTTTTCGTTTTTTCGAGACGTAAAGCTAGCGCTGTGTAAAATTATAAAATCGCGTCATTTTTAGTTCTTTACACAGAGTGAGTTCTTACAGAAAAGGAAGATTGTAAAAATTAACAAACTTATATGAGTGTGTATGTATTAAAATTAAGCAGCATTATATTAACCAAAAAGCAAATAACAACAGAAAGTGAAATCAGCATAAAGCAAACTGCAAAAGCATATTAAATCGTGACTGAAACAATGACATATACAGAATACCAAACGGTTGCGGTTACAGGTGTTCGACTTCAACCTATATTGTTTCGATATGCAAACCCGACTCTCGACTTTGTTCTTTACATTCAGGAAGGGGCAACGCTAACCCATTCATTGATTAAAATCACGATTAGACGCATTAACTGATTGTAATGAGAAATACACCACGTTTAATGCAGCCAGGTCGTTGAGGTGTGCAATTACGGTTCGAGCATGCATAAATTGCAAAAGAATATTTGTGTTCAATGTTCAAAAATTGTCTTGAAATTGAACAGACTACGAGGCAGAATGAGGGTAAAGATAGGATATAAACTAAATCGATTACAGACAGCAAATGAAATCGTATACACAAAACATATTATGGCAAGCCGATATACATACATGATAATACATCCATACCAATATATATAATAACTAATAATATTACGAGTAAAAAGCGATTTCAATAAAAATGAAAATATAAAAACACGCATTTTTCTTTTCCATGGGATACCTATCTTTATGAATTATGGGAAAGAATTAGAAAGAGGATTAACACGATTCTGATAGCAGGTAAGTTGCAAGAACTAAATGCTTACGCAGTTCATTACAATTAGTATTCTCTTCCATTATTTCAAATAATAATAAAACAATAAAATAAACAAACAAGAAGCCTTGCAGTGTCAAACAAGAAAGAAAACTAAGTTCGGTAAGACAAAGTTTTTACACCCTAGCGCAAGAGTTACTAGAACCGCAATATGCTTAATACATACATACATATAAATTTTGAAACATTTCATTTATTTTTCAACCCTATACTACCAATTATTGTTTACTTTTATAAGTAGTATAAGCTAAGTTGTGTATGAATCTTTAAGGAAGTTAAAAGAGGTGAGAAGTTCTTTTTTCGGTGTTTTATACCCATATAAGTTTTTACACCCTTGCAGATTGCAATTTGATCACTAATGATAAATATAGTATATAGTGACATATCCACAGTCCCACGGACTTTAGCACATGCCTACTTATTCCACATATGTAAAGCCATGAATCATAATCGAATAATAACCATGCAGTTCTCGGACACCACAACTCCACACGAGTCCGACAGTAGAATAAACACAAGTCCCCAGTAGCAGACTAAACAATTTTATTGTCTAAACATCCTCCCCTACTTGTCACGTTCACACGTTCAAAGTTCGGAGTCGCTAGCTCGAAAACAAAGTTATCAAATTTCAAAAGAGCACTTGTATCCAAGAGCGAATGCACTTGAATCCAAGAGAAATTAATAGAATCAGTTAAGCTCTCTCTTAGAATCTTTCGAAATCCATCAAGATCCACAAAAGCTCGAAACCGAGGCTTGAACGTCAGCCGTCCTAGTTCAATAAGTTGAGTTCAGTTTGAGACACGAAATTATTCGGTCGGTGTTCTTCATTAAAAAATATCTTTTAATAATTCGGTTTAAATAAAATAAAATATTTCTTTAAACTTACGAATAACAAAGTATTTAATTGGCGCAGCCGGTAGGATCAAAAGAATCCTTTTAGTACGGTACTGGTCAAATTTAAGGATACGCTATACAACTAGCTATCTAGACCAGCGGACTAAAACAGTGATTAAACAAATTTGATCAGCTAAAGAATCTATGTGCAAGTAGTATTCTAAAAGAAAATCCCGTGCGCTCGGAAACAAATTTCAAATTCGTATTTTAAATTCTGTGACTTTTCAATAAACCAAAACTTACCAAAACAAAATTAAAAATGGCAACAGTGGCACAACTCTCCGAGCTTCACTTAAATCAGTTGCTGAACCAAATCAAGGAGCTGCACTATTACGATGGCACACCAGGAAAGCTATCAATATTCATCAACCAGGTTGATCAGTTGTTGACCCTCTACCCAACACAAGATGCCCGGCAAGCTCATATAATTTACGGCGCTATCAAACGAGTGATAGTGGACAACGCATTGGAAGCTGCGACCCAGGCAGGAGCAACATCATGGATGGAGATCCGAGAAGCCCTCTCCACTTCGTTCAAGGATCATAGACCATACGTGACGCTGATAAAACAACTGGAAGAAACGCCATACTCAGGGAGCATCAGTAAGTTCATCCAGATGCTGGAAACGCAGCATCGTAATATCTTTGATAAGTTAGAATTAGAATGTAACCCTGTAATTAAGAGCAACTATTCTGATATGTTAAAATTGACTATCAAGTCTACAATTGATAAGAAATTACCAGATAGAACGTACATGTCGTTGGCTCGTAAGGATATTCATACTATCCCAAAGCTAAAACAAGCCACCATGGAACTTGGTCTTGGTGATGCAAATCCTGAAGACATTTATTTATAAAAATCTCACGATCATAATCTCAAGAACAAGGGAAACAAAAATCTAAGCAATAATCAAAGGTATTAGAACTACAAACAAAACTAAACATAGGAATACGAAACTTGTATTCGAAACGACACCCGAAGTCCTAAACGCTAGGGAAAAATATGTGATTGATTTTTATCTAACAGGGAACCAAATCTTCCTATCTTGCATAGATATCTATTCGAACTTTGCTACCATAATTGAAGTAAAGAGTAGAAATTGGCTAGAAGCAAAGAGAGCCCTCATGAAGATATTTAGAGACATGGGAAAACCGCAAGAATTAAAAGCGGATAAAGATTCAGCGTTTATGTGTATAGCATTGCAAAACTGGCTAAGATCAGAAGGCGTAGATATAACCATCACGACAAGTAAAAATGGTGTTTTTGACATAGAAAGGTTTCATAAGGCAGTAAATGAGAAGCTCAGAATTATTGGAAGTGAACAAAATTTAGAAGATCGATGTACAAAATTTGAAACGATCGTATATGTTTATAATCATAAACCAAAGCACAATAGCACTAAGGGAACTTCAGCAGATATTTTTCTATACGCAGGAAGCCTCGATTTTGATGTACAACAAAATAAAATCAAAAAAATTGACAATCGAAACAAAACAGAGATAGTTATGAAGAAATAGAGGCAGGAAAATCTTACATTACAAGTCCAAATTCAAGAAACAAAAGAAGACTAACCAAAGTAAATACTATAATTCCAGAACCATCGAAGAAGATTAAGAGATGCCCCGTACTCCGCGTAATGATTATATGTATGTCTGGCAATCATCACTCTCATCACCGTAGTCTAAGGCAGTAGCATAGAAGTAAACACAATTAATGCTAAAAATGGATATACTAGGAGTTACGGAAATACACGCAACTTACGAATATCACTACTTAAGCATAAACATAACTAAGACCATGCTAATGTTTGAGAACTTATTGGATGAATCGAAGTATTTTCCCGATGGGTATGATGAGGTAGCAGAACTTAAGTTCAATTTACAACAATTCACTGAATATATTGAAGATATAGAATGGGTATGCAGCTCACGAGACTGGGATTTTTTAATCCGAAATTGCTTAAACACGATTATATAAAACAAGTTAATTCCGAGAAACTGCTAAAATTAAAACATCCACTTGGCTTAAAACAGATACATACGAAATTTTAATTATTTCCCATGTTCCGAAATAATGAAAGTCCCAATCTTCAATATAGTCCCATATCCTGACGAGTCCAATTACATCCTTACCGAATCTGTATTTGATAAGTTTTATATTTACGAAGATAAGGTCTATAACACACATACAGAAAAACCAATTTTCGAAAAATGTTTGGTAGGAATTATTAGGCAAGAACCTACTGAATGTAAATACACTACAGCACACAAAGATTTCCAAATCAATTATGTTGAACCAAACTTATTAATCACCTGAAGTATTCCAGAAACACTTGTTAATCAAAATTCTACCAACAATAGAGTTTCCATACAACGAAACAACATTATTGAATTTTACTATGCAAATAAATGAATTTATAATTTCAAAGAACTTTGCAGATTTTACACAGTCAATTTATATTGTTAACAACATAACCAAAATAAAACCTTTGGCTTACATTCAAACAAAAGAAATAATCCCATGTAAAATATTACAGCGTGTTACAAAGCATATGTCTTACATATAAATATAAATTTAAGAGTATACCTAAGAAACTCATTGTTAAATATAAGAAAACTCAAGAAGAACAACCGATCCTGGAACAAATTGTAAATGATCAGATCATTCCGGAAAATAACATAATGATATATCCCTTTTTCTCCTCATACCTGATTTTATAGGTTTTTGAACCTAAGGTTACAGTCTCCTTCTCATAGTCAATCTTTGCTTTGGTATCTTCTAAATATTGACGACCTAACAGGAAATCATAATTTTGAGAGAATTTATGCACATAGAATTTTTATTCAAACGGACATATTTCATTGGGCTTAATCATTATGCTTTTGATTAATTTTATTGGGCCCTTAATTGTATATACCGTCAGATTTTCTTTAGTTTCTATTCAATTTTTCAAAATTTTCCCTAATGATGTTGATGGACGACCCTGTGTCAATCATATCTTTGTAAAGATTGTTCTGATAATCAATTCTTACATATGGACTGACTCTTCCTCTTCTCCCGTGTCCGAGGTTTCCGAGGCAGTTTGATGAAAATTTACGTCTACATCCATTTTAGTCTGTCCACAACTACTTTTTCTTTGTCTTTTTACGGGACCATTATTACCCGGGTTGTGCGAAGTAGAGGGCTGATGATTCAATGGGTTATTCTGCCTACCTTGATTTAACTTATTCCTAAAATTGTGACATACTTGCGGGTCAACAATAGTAGGGTTACTTGGATTTCGATTCTGGGTATTTCGATTCGAATTACTGGCTAGTAAGAATTTGTATTATGTTTGTTGTTGTAATATCTTTGATTATTACTTAGATTTTTGTTTCCCTTATTCCTGCGATTATGATCATGAGATTTTTGAAAATAAATGTCTTCAGGATTTGCATCATAAAGACCAAGTTCCATGGTGGCTTGTTTTAGCTTTGGGATAGTATGAATATCCTTACGAGCCAACGACATGTACGTTCTATCTGGTAATTTCTTATCAATTGTAGACTTGATAGTCAATTTTAACATATCAGAATAGTTGCTCTTAATTACAGGGTTACATTCTAATTCTAACTTATCAAAGATATTACGATGCTGCGTTTCCAGCATCTGGATGAACTTACTGATGCTCCCTGAGTATGGCGTTTCTTCCAGTTGTTTTATCAGCGTCACGTATGGTCTATGATCCTTAAACGAAGTGGAGAGGGCTTCTCGGATCTCCATCCATGATGTTGCTCCTGCCTGGGTCGCAGCTTCCAATGCGTTGTCCACTATCACTCGTTTGATAGCGCCGTAAATTATATGAGCTTGCCGGGCATCTTGTGTTGGGTAGAGGGTCAACAACTGATCAACCTGGTTGATGAATATTGATAGCTTTCCTGGTCTGCCATCGTAATAGTGCAGCTCCTTGATTTGGTTCAGCAACTGATTTAAGTGAAGCTCGGAGAGTTGTGCCAATGTTGCCATTTTTAGTTTTGTTTAGGTAAGTTTTGGTTTATTGAAAAGTCACAGAATTTAATATTCGAATTTGAAATTTGTTTCCGAGCGCACGGGATTTTCTTTTGGAATACTACTTGCACGTAGATTCTTTAGCTGATCAAATTTTTTTAATCACTGTTTTAATCCGCTGGTCTAGATAGCTAGTTGTATAGCGTATCCTTAAATTTGACCAGTACCGTACCAAAAGGATTCTTTTGATCCTACCGGCTGCGCCAATTAAATACTTGGATATTCGTAAGTTTAAAGAAATATTTTATTTTATTTAAACCGAATTATTACAAGATAATTAATTGATTCTTCTCTTGGATTCAAGTGCATTCGCTCTGGGATACAAGTGCTCTTTTGAAATTTGATAATTTTGTTTTCGAGCTAGCGATTCCGATCTTTGAACGTGTGATTCGATTATGATTCATGTTTTTACATATGTGGAATAAGTAGGCATGTGCTAAAGTCCGTGGAACTGTGGATATGTCACTATATATATCAATATGTGGGAATGAGTCTGGCATCTCCGTTCAGACCAGACTGTTTCAGTTATATAACATAGTTCGATTTTCCTATTTTCATAAAATTAAAACCGAAAACCTAAATTAATACAAAATTGCTATATTTTTAATTTTGTGAAAATATGGGCAATTCTCTGGTGTCAACTACCTCATTCGTACGCATTCAAACTAAAAAAAACGTGTGCCAAGAATTTATTTGAATTTTACAAAAATTGAAACGTATAGCTCTTGGTAAGCACTATATTTGGTGCTAAGGTCGATTTTAAAGTCTTGTTAGTTTTCAAGATATTCAGTAAAATTTACTGCGTTCGCACGCGACAAAAACAGAAGTTATATTTGCAAGAGACCAGTTTAAGCTATGATTTTAGGGAAACGTGATGAAAAATTGCATTACAACACATTTTCATGAATTATAAATAAATACATTTATATTGTTTGATTTTAAAATATTAAGTAGTTATTTTTTAAATTCAATTTTAGTCCCGGTCGGACTCGACATTTTAGAAAGCTATAATTCAACCTAAAACTGTACGAATATTGGTGACCGCATGTGTTCTTTTGCACTTTATATTGACTCTTTGCATTCTCTGCGTGATATTAGAAAGGAAAAGTAAAAGCAAAATGCTTTTGTTTAAGAGATTGACAAAACAAAAACATGTCATTTTGTATGCCGTTTTTTTGATAAAAATTACATAAATGCCGTTTACGCGTGTTTGACACCAATTTTTCGAAATTTATTTTAGAAAATGAAAAATTTTCTTAGTCAATCTGGCCAATTTTTTATGTAACCATGTTAAAAATACTCGTTTTTATGCAATTTAAAAATTTTGGCCGCGGTGGACCTTTCTGGAGAATTGGCCATAAGTAGAAAACTGAAAAAATTGTAACCTTTATTTGTATTAATTTCCCGATTGTTCCTGTGGTAACTACATGGTATAGTAGCCCTCTATTAAATGTACTACAAAAATTCTAGAATAAAACAAAATTGTGTATCTCAAACTTTTGAATAAAATGATAATAACCTGCAAGGGTATAATAAATTGGAAATAATTGAACTTTCTTTGGAGGGGTATAAAAAACAACTTTATTGAATGGTTTACAACTTTTTAAAAAAGTTGAGAACATATGTTTTATTTTCGGCCCAATCAAACAATTACAAGGTGAATTCCGCGTTTAATACAAAGGGTTACCCAATGGATTTTCAGTAAAAGTGGATGTACCCGAAGGATGGTTTACAAATTTTGAGTATGGAGACGGAGATGTTTCAAATCCCGCTACAGACTTAAGTGTATCCTGGCTGCGAGTTAGGACCAACAAATTGCCGGCAAGAATCTTTTCGACGGACTTCAACTCACTGATCTTCTTGTGTTGATCGATGACGTAGATGTTAAAGTTAACACCATACAGGCCAAATAGATTTTCTAGCTCACTGCGCAGCGCGGACAGTGTGATAAGTTCCTTGGTTACTCTGTGCTGGAGGAACAACGACGCCCTATTACTGTTTCCAAATCGAGGCTTAAGCTCTTGGGCCAAGGCGACATTGAGCCAAGGCACGACTGGCAGCTGTAATTCCTCTGTTGAACAAATGGTCAACTTTAAGGGGATTCCCTTCAGATCGACAATCTCACTGGTTATTAGACGCTTCTTGGCGGCCTGCTGGGCTGAGTAAGGAGCAAACTCTGACTTAACGGCAGCCTTGATCATATTTGCATAGTTGGACAAAACTTTAGTCAGTTGAGCCTGAGCTTCCACAGCCTCTTTCTTGCCCTGTTTGTCAGCAGTCAGCTCATGGAAGATAAGCACGGGATCGGTCGGTATAAGTTGAGCCTTCTTCTTCAGCTTCTGCACCCGGTTGATAACCTCGCGAGCTAAGCCTTCTTCAAGCAATTCCTCGTTTGGCGTCATGTCCAGCAGCACCAAAATCTCATTGTCGCTATGAGCCTCAAAGTTGCCGCTCACCTGTTCGGATGTGCAGTAAATTATCCGCACTTCTTCGAGTTCCACACGTTGATCTAGAATATTAAAGTAGCCTTGAGAGACTTGCCTTTGAATTTCGTCGTCCTTTAGCGCCTTAATGGCAGCCATGACTGCCTTGAAGTTGCCCTTCAGCCGCTGGCCCAGGGTCTGAAAATATACAAAAATATGAGTCTTACATCGGCAAAATTCCTTATATCCTCTTACCTTGTGATCGGGTTCCGCTCGCAAGGTGACACCGTATTTCTCCTTATCAGAGCTCAGCGTAAGCTTGCGCACGTTGAGTTCGCTAAGAATGAAGTCTTGGAGGCTCCTAATAGCTTCAAGAGTTTGGGCATCTTTGTGAATGACAATGATCTCAGAGACCGGATACTTAACAGGCAAGGTTCGCCGGTCGCGCATGACGCGACCCAACTCAACCACTGATTGCATCCAAGCCACCGAGCGTTCGATATCGCTGCGAATGAACGTACTTTGGCTAACGGGCATCATCTGGTAGTGTACCGATTCGGTGTGTTCCAAGGCGCCAGGTGGTTGGAACAAAGCCAAACGCTGGAAAATATACTCCGTGAGGTAGGGCGTAAAGGGAGCCATCATTTTGACCATAGAGTACAAGACATCGTACAAGGTGTCCAGGGACTGGATGCACTGCTCAGCACCCAGTTCGCCCTTAATGCGACGACGGTTGAGTCGAACATACCTGTTAACAAGTAAAAATTATCTTATGTGTTCAAGTGAGTATATAAAACTAAAAACTATACCAATTTGTTAGTTGATCGATGAACTTTGTCAGCCTAGGCACAACTGTGTACAAGCGATACATCTTCATCTCGTTGGCCAGGAACTCTAGCAGGGACTCTTTGAACGACAAAATCCACACATCGATGACGGAGGCCTTGCCCATATTTTTTAAATGCCGTTCACGGTCATAAACGTACTGCCCCGCGCCTGCCAAATCTTCCTTTTCGTAGCGAACTATGTTTTGCAGCAGGAAACGGTAGGCATTGTACCAAGGCAGGAACACATCTTTGATGATGTCACGCACGCCCTCCTCTTTGAATCGCAAACTCTCGGCGCGCACCACGGGTGAATTGATGAGATAGAGTCGTAGAGCATCCGCTCCATACTTGTGGACCACCTCCATGGGATCGGGATAGTTCTTCTTGCGCTTTGACATCTTTTGCCCATCTGCGGCCAACACTAGTCCACTGGCAATGAGGTTCTTGAACGGCGCCTTATTGAAAAGTGCCGTTGAAATCACAAGGAGGGTGTAGAACCATCCGCGCGTCTGATCAATGCCCTCGGCAATGAAGTCAGCGGGGAAGTTGTTCATAAAGTCCTTTTCGTTCTCGAACGGGAAGTGCTGCTGGGCGAACGGCATGGAACCGGACTCAAACCAGCAGTCAAAGACGGGAGCTATCCGGCGGAGTGGGGGATTGCCTTTAATGGCCGACGGTATTTCGATATGATCGATGCTCTCGCGATGCAGATCCTCAACTTTCACTCCAGACAGCTCAGCCAGTTGCTTAATGCTGCCAATGACAACCGTTTCATCCCCGTTGGGCGAACGCCAAATCGGAATCGGTGTGCCCCAATAGCGATTGCGGGAAATCTGTGAAGAAATAGTTGCGTTACTACCCAAGCAAATATCAATAGGATATACTTACAGCCCAATCCCTGGCCTCCTTGAGCCAGTTACCAAATCTTTTCTCCTTTACGAAGTCGGGCACCCAGTAAGTTTGGGCACTGGATGCCAGAAGGTTCTTGGACATGTGTTCGACTCGCACAAACCAAGAGGGCACGGCCTTATAGATCAGCGGTGTATCTGATCGCCAACAGAAGGGGTAGCTATGCTTCATCTGGCCACTGGATACCAAATTACCACGCTCCTTTAAGTTCGCCATGATCTGCTTGTCAGCATCCTTGACATACTGGCCAGCAAAGTCAGTGGCCTCCTTCGTAAACCGTCCGGCTTCGTCGACTGGACACATGACCTCGCTGGACTTCGTAATAAGTCCCGCTGCCAGGCAGACGCGGTAATCGTCCTCACCAAAGTACGGAGCATTGTGCACAATTCCCGTACCGGAATCCTCAGTGACGTATTCGTCGACCAGCACGCGAAAACCTTTTACCTCGGCTCCGCGTTGGGCAAAGTACGGAAAGAGGGGCTTGTAGTGAAGATCTTTGAGCGTCTTACCCAGAAACTTATCCTTCACCTCGTACTCGTCCTCCGTTTTGAAAACGTAAGAGAGGCGACACTCGGCGAGTATAAAGAGCCGATCAGTCTTCACATCACGCACCTTTACATACGTCATCGTCGGATTTACGCAACACGCAAAGTTGGAGGGCAGGGTCCAGGGCGTCGTGGTCCACACCAGAAAGAAGGTATTGGGTAGCGTTATGGCTTCTAAGGCCACCACCACACAAGGATCCACCACCTCCTTGTAGTTTTGATTTGCCTCAAAGTTAGACAACGATGTTGTGCAGGCAGTGGAATACGGCATCACCTTCACCCCCTGGTAGACCAGACCTTTGTCGTACAGCTGCTTGAATATCCACCAAATGGACTCCATGTACCATGGATACAAGGTTTTGTAGTCGTTTTTAAAGTCGATCCAGCGGCCTACTCTCGTCACTATGTTTTCCCACTCATCGGCGTAACGCATAACGATCTTCCGACACTCAGCGTTGTAAGCGGAGATGCCCATCTTGGCCACGTCCTCGGGCCCACGGATGTTCAACAGCTTGTCGATCTCAAACTCGACCGGCAGGCCATGGCAATCCCAACCGAATCGCCGGTCCACATGATATCCTTGCTGATAGGCATACCGAGTAACAATGTCCTTGATAGTGCCGGCCAAGATATGCCCGTAATGGGGCAAGCCTGTGGCAAAAGGTGGGCCATCGTAAAACGTGTACCTGGAAGCAATGTGGACCCATAAGTAATCAACTATTGCCTGATGCAATCGGCTGCACAACTTACTTGGGCTTTCCCTTGGACAGCTGGCTGCACTTCTCGAAGATGTTTTCATCACGCCATTGCTGCAGTACGTTCTCCTCCTCGGCTGGAAAATTGATATTCTCAGGCACTCGGCAGACATCGCTGCGTTCAAGTTTCTTTCCCATGGCTGAACGGTTATTATTCTGCAAGCTAATTTATAAATAAAATCCTCCGGCAAATTTGCGTGGCACAACGTGCTTGGCACCAACAACACGATAGTTTCGATAATTCAAAGTTTTGAATGAGGTTGCACCATCGAATTCAGATACAAGCCAATGCACCGCTTCCACTAATAAATAGTTCGTGTCACGAATGGGAAACAAAAAGGAGAAAAGAGAAATAAAATAAATAAAAGAATTATTAATATAAATTTTTTAATGTAAGCCCGAGTTTCGGCATATCCTGTACCTCACTATAAACATACAGCATTTTTCTTTAAATTAAACTATAAAGAATTGTTTAATAAACAGCAACATCCAGCAAACATTTTTGTTTAATTAAACAATATTCCGTATTTAAAATGAAAATAAAACTTTTACATTATTATATACTTCATAATATACACATGGTATGTGGGAAATTCTTAGAGTGAATCCTAAAAAAGGTCTTATACGAGAGAGCACTGTAAATAATATTTACAATAAAAATGCCTCATTTCGCCATAAATGCAAAATAGCCGAATTTATGAAAACCGGCCGTACAAATTTTAGCTACTTTTGCTATCGATAGTTTCTAGACCCATTTCGATATTCGTACTGTTCTTGTCCCATCACTTGCGCAGAACTAAGAAGAAGACTAATGTGTACATTTTTGTGTCGCATATTTTTAGTCAATTTAACTATCTTAAAAGTGTACAATATTGGACAGATTAGCGCTTATCGAGTGTCAAACTATTTTGGCCTGTAAGCCAGTGCACAACTGTGTTCTGGGTGTCACCGGAAATTTGTATTCCGCCACTCATTGGCCAAACAAGCAGCAGACATGGCACGCCCAATTTTTCCGAATCAGCAAAAGATAGCTGAAAAACTAATTATCTTGAACGATCGTGGCCTGGGAATACTCACGCGAATATACAACATAAAAAAGGCCTGCGGCGACACTAAATCAAAGCCAGGATTCCTCTCCGAAAAGTCACTGGAGTCCAGCATTAAGTTCATTGTGAAGCGATTCCCCAATATCGACGTCAAGGGACTGAATGCCATTGTGAACATCAAGGCAGAGATAATAAAGTCCCTGTCCCTGTATTATCATACGTTTGTGGATCTGTTGGACTTTAAAGACAATGTTTGCGAGTTGCTAACCACAATGGATGCCTGTCAAATTCACTTGGACATCACACTGAATTTTGAGCTAACCAAGAACTACTTGGACTTGGTGGTGACCTACGTCTCTCTGATGATTGTATTGTCCCGGGTCGAGGATCGAAAGGCTGTGCTTGGACTGTACAATGCTGCATATGAGCTGCAGAATAACCAGGCAGACACGGGCTTCCCCCGCCTGGGACAGATGATTCTCGACTACGAGGTGCCCCTGAAAAAACTTGCCGAGGAATTCATTCCCCACCAAAGATTGTTAACAAATGCACTGCGATCGCTGACTTCCATCTACGCTCTGAGGAATCTGCCCGCCGACAAATGGAGGGAAATGCAAAAGCTTAGTCTGGTGGGCAACCCGGCCATTCTTCTGAAAGCCGTACGAACGGACACCATGTCGTGCGAGTACATCTCCCTGGAGGCCATGGACCGCTGGATAATCTTTGGGCTACTGCTAAATCACCAGATGCTGGGGCAGTACCCGGAGGTGAACAAAATCTGGCTTTCCGCCCTGGAGTCCAGCTGGGTGGTGGCGCTCTTCCGTGACGAGGTTCTGCAGATCCACCAGTACATTCAGGCCACCTTCGATGGTATAAAGGGCTACAGCAAGCGGATAGGCGAGGTCAAAGACGCTTACAATACGGCTGTTCAAAAGGCAGCTCTTATGCATCGCGAGAGGCGAAAGTTCCTGAGAACGGCCTTGAAGGAACTGGCTCTGATAATGACAGACCAACCGGGCCTGCTCGGACCCAAGGCAATATTTATATTCATTGGCCTTTGCTTGGCACGCGATGAAATCCTTTGGCTGCTCCGGCACAACGACAATCCGCCGCTGCTAAAAAACAAGGGTACGTAAACCAACCAAATATCAATTTCTTATAGTAATAAATATTAACTATTTGCTATAGGCAAGAGCAATGAGGATCTGGTAGACCGACAATTGCCGGAATTGCTCTTTCATATGGAAGAACTCCGAGCGCTGGTGCGCAAGTACAGCCAGGTGATGCAGCGGTACTACGTGCAATACTTATCCGGCTTCGATGCCACGGACTTGAATATACGAATGCAAAGCCTGCAGATGTGCCCGGAAGATGAGAGCATCATCTTTAGTTCGCTTTATAACACAGCTGCAGCCCTGACTGTGAAGCAGGTGGAGGACAATGAGCTCTTCTACTTTCGACCATTCCGCCTTGACTGGTTCCGACTTCAGACCTACATGAGCGTTGGCAAAGCATCCCTCAGAATTACTGAGCATGCAGAGCTAGCTCGTCTGCTGGATTCTATGGTGTTTCATACTCGAGTGGTGGACAATTTGGACGAAATACTGGTAGAAACATCGGATTTGAGCATTTTCTGTTTCTACAACAAAATGTTCGACGACCAGTTCCACATGTGCTTGGAGTTCCCCGCCCAAAACCGCTATATCATAGCCTTCCCCTTGATCTGCAGTCACTTCCAAAACTGCACGCACGAGATGTGCCCAGAGGAACGTCACCACATTCGCGAGCGGTCTCTGAGCGTGGTTAACATCTTCCTAGAGGAAATGGCAAAGGAGGCCAAGAATATCATTACCACGATATGCGATGAGCAGTGCACCATGGCCGATGCTCTTTTGCCCAAACACTGCGCCAAGATCTTGTCTGTTCAGTCCGCTCGCAAAAAGAAGGATAAATCAAAATCGAAGCATTTCGACGACATTCGGAAGCCGGGAGACGAATCGTACAGGAAGACGCGTGAGGATCTGACCACGATGGACAAGCTGCACATGGCCCTGACCGAGCTCTGCTTCGCCATCAACTACTGCCCCACTGTTAACGTCTGGGAGTTTGCGTTTGCCCCTCGCGAGTATCTCTGCCAGAATCTAGAGCACCGGTTTTCCCGTGATCTAGTCGGCATGGTGATGTTTAATCAAGAGACTATGGAAATTGCCAAGCCCTCGGAGCTGCTGGCCAGCGTGCGAGCCTACATGAACGTCTTACAAACTGTAGAGAACTATGTGCATATTGACATAACGCGAGTCTTTAACAACTGCTTGCTGCAACAAACGCAGGCCTTGGACTCGCACGGTGAAAAGACAATAGCCGCTTTGTACAACACGTGGTACAGCGAGGTACTGCTCAGACGGGTCTCCGCTGGTAACATTGTCTTCTCCATAAACCAGAAGGCGTTCGTCCCGATCTCACCGGAAGGATGGGTGCCGTTTAACCCACAGGAGTTCTCCGATCTCAACGAGCTGAGAGCGCTGGCAGAACTCGTTGGTCCATATGGTATAAAAACTCTTAACGAAACCCTGATGTGGCATATAGCCAACCAGGTGCAGGAGCTGAAGTCGCTGGTAGGTACCAACAAAGAGGTACTGATTACCCTGCGAACTAGTTTCGACAAACCTGAGGTAATGAAGGAACAGTTCAAGCGACTGCAGGACGTGGACCGTGTGCTGCAGCGCATGACGATCATAGGTGTAATAATCTGCTTCCGCAATCTGGTCCACGAGGCACTGGTGGATGTGCTGGACAAACGCATCCCCTTCCTTCTCAGCTCAGTAAAGGACTTCCAGGAGCATTTGCCCGGAGGTGACCAGATTCGAGTGGCCTCCGATATGGCCTCGGCAGCCGGTCTGCTTTGTAAGGTGGATCCTACTCTCGCCACTACCCTAAAGTCTAAGAAACCCGAATTTGACGAGGGCGAACATCTCACAGCTTGCCTACTGATGGTTTTCGTGGCCGTCTCAATTCCAAAGCTGGCCCGCAACGAAAACTCCTTCTACCGAGCCACCATTGATGGTCACTCTAACAACACCCACTGCATGGCGGCGGCCATTAACAACATATTTGGCGCACTCTTTACCATCTGCGGGCAGAACGACATGGAGGACCGCATGAAAGAATTTCTGGCCTTGGCCAGTTCTTCGCTGCTCCGTTTGGGCCAAGAGTCGGACAAGGAAGCCACTCGCAATCGAGAGTCTATTTACCTACTCCTCGATGAAATTGTCAAGCAGTCCCCGTTCCTCACAATGGATCTGCTGGAGTCCTGCTTCCCCTACGTACTCATTCGCAATGCCTACCACGGCGTGTATAAGCAGGAACAGATCTTGGGATTGGCCCTCTAAGGCGGCCCTCACTGTACTCCTCCGAGTATTTCTAATATAGTTTATCCGCCGGTCGAATATCGACCACTATGCTAATCTAAAAACCATATATTAAAGCTGTTAAACGTACCATATTGTATTCTAGACTCTGCATTTTTATACTCGTAAAACTTCGAATAAAGTGCTTATGTAAACCTTTTAGAAAGAAAATCACCCATCATGGATTATCTCTTGATATATATGTATATTCTTTATTTTCGCTTATCGAATTATGTATCCACTTCATCGAGCCTGAAGTTTCTCTGCTCAAATGTGTCACCTTTTATTTGGACACATGCGCACATGTGTGTATTAAATATTGTATGTGTGGGGAAAAATCTTCCGCAATATTAAATTATTTGGTCACGTTCAATATTACTTATAGGCTTGTGTACAAATACTTGTAGGCAAATATTAAAATATGCTTTTGTTCTGGGCTATGCGATGACTCATTAGATTTAATTGTGGTTACATAGACCCCGATAATGGGTTTTCAATTCCGCTTCAAAGACTTGTTCAAGCCTACGTTGTGTTGTAAAAGAAATTAAATGTAAACTAAGAAATCTAAATTTTTCGTTATTTTGGAAAAAAAAATGCATTCATTAATGAACATGTTCAATTGTTTTGTTTTGGTTTCTTTTTTTTGTCAAAACACAACTTAATAACATTGCTCACTTGAACACTACTCCGTTGTTTACTCATTGCAAAGTTGCTCAATAGAGTTAGATTCATTGCTCGACTTTTTTGCATGAGTATAAATACTTTCAAAGACTACAAAAATGACTGTATGTTACATATTATTAACAGCATTTATATAACTGTGAGCAAAGTTGAACTGAGACAAAATTGCAAAGGAACGAAATGTTTCAAATGGGCAAATAAAGCAAGTTGGTCAAAAACGAAATATACTATTGAACAACTGAACACGAATGAGTAAAGTTAACAAAAATTAACCATTACGAAGAGGTTATTTGGGGTATCTATGCACGAAACGATGGATAAAGCAAACTGAAACCAAACAGAAAGATAACATTTGTATTTGTATAATCTGCTCGCGTCCAACATAACCTTAGGGGTCTACAATAATTGTTTTGGTTAAATGTACCATAATCACTACACGCTGCTAGAAAGCTGTCGGTATTTGAATTTCCATCTGTATTTGCTTCTGATTTGTATCTGTGTGGAAAATTCTCAATATCTACAAATAGGTTTTCGTTAATTATACACATATCATTTTATTCGATCTATAGAAGATATCTTTAATTATGTGCAGCTGAATATGTTGCTAGTTACATTTACTTATTAGCCCGTTTCATTCGTTTGGATTTGAATTAATTGGTTTCGCTCGAAAATGTTATTCTTTTCAGTCAGTCAGTTTAGGCATCTGTTGACTTCAAAATTGTCGTCATTGTCTTTTGTTTTTGTTCACTTGTTTCTCATATCATAAAATATACATGTATGTTTGTTCGTATTAACTTATGTGCACGTAGTCCAAATAAAACTTGAAAAACATTTTATTTTTTCGTAACTTCCCGCCTGTGTTTTACCGTTAAAAATAAAATTGCTCTTCAGCAATTACATTTTAAAGCTCTCAAGTACAAAAATCGTGTTTTTAAATTAAAAAGCTTAAAAAATTCCTCGCTTAACGCTCCCGCCACATATTGTATGTTTATAGGGTATGTGTATCTATCGAGTCCTTTAGTGCTAAGATTCTTTTCTCCGTTCTTCTTATGAACGCCCATATATATATGTATATATATATTGTATCTCTTTATGACAAACTGGTTCGCATATAAAAGTTAAGCCTAGATTATTTAAGAGTGTTGCCTCTCTAGCATCGCTGCGTCCCCTTGTCCCTCCTAGACGAACTCTTCCTGCTCCAACCAGGGATGCTGCAGGCACTCTGCCGCCGAGGCGCGTATGACTGGATTATATTCAAGCATTGGCAGAAGAAAATCCGAGAACTTTTTGGCCTCCACCGGATCCCAGTCGTACTTCTCCACCAGCACGTTCATTAGGCTCCAAGGTTTCAGCTTGGTGATGTTTCTCAGGCTGCCTGCAATCGAAAATTCCCGAACAATTATTACTTAGGCTATCCATTGTATAGTCTTGGTGCTTACCATAGCTGGTGAAGTACTTGAGTCCGTGCTTGCCCCGCAGGATCACTGACTGCGGTATGGAGCCCAGCAGCTCGACAATATGCGCCAAGTGATCTTCGTCCCGGCTGTACGATTCGCCAGCGTGCGGGTCGAACAGATAGTCACCCGTGGCCAGCTCGAAGGCCAAACAGGCGGTGCTCCAGATGTCGGCGGTATAGTTGTACGGCGCTCCCAGCAAGACCTCGATCGAGCGGTACTGGCGGGTCTGAATGTCCTCGGTGAAGTGATGGTACTAGGAAGTGATAATTGAAAGGACATAAGCTATGAATATGCACAAATTGAGCCTTTTCAAGTAAGATTTACATGGATTTCTACTTCGTTTCGTTTACTATATTTCGAGTTTGAGCGGCTTTGAGGTATCCGGTACCACTAACACTATGCGCCATTAATTCACTTTGCCAAATTATGATAAAATTTATGAAAAACGTAAATTAAACATGGCGGAAGGTAGTAAGTAAGTAAAAGTAAGTAAAAGAAATAGTTCCAGAAGCATGTTGCGCGATCTCCCAAAAACACCCAAACTATGCCCTATATTGTATTTAGTTTGAAGTAAGTGACTGTATCTTAATTTTGAACACAGTCACCTTGCTAATACCCTTAATATTGGTAGACTACTGTTTAAGAGATCAAATGCCATTTGTGAAAAATTGGCCTTCCGACGTAAGAGATATAGGTAATAACTATCCAATTATTTAAACTCCATATCAAGTATTTGATGGAGTTCCAAGTATCTGCTCTGTTCATTGTATCTTAAAGAGTATTAGTTTAAGTTTATCTTTTAATGGCTAATCGTACAGTTCTGATCAATCAATAATGGTATATATTTTTCGAAGTTGCACTTGGAGAGATTACTAGCACAACATATTTCAAATACGAACTGGGCATCTAATTATATGTATATTGGATATTATGTTCTTTAGTTTATATGAATGGGTTAATAAAAGGCTTTTTAAATTTAGGCTAAGGTTAGGCTTTGCGGGAGTCTATGGGGTACTTACGTCGTAGCAGGCGTTGCCCAGGTCGGCGATCTTCACCCGGACGTTGCTGTTGTTGATGAGCGATTGTATCGTATAGGTATTTGTCTGGCTACTCTGACTCTGGTTCTGCGAAGGAATGGTATTGGCATGGACATTTAGTTTAGCAGTTGCGCTTGCTGATGTGGTTGTTGTTGTTGTAATTGTTGTTGGCGCGGTGGAGATCGCATTGGTGGCTGTTGTTGTTGATGTGCTAGTTGTTGTATGATCGCCATTATACAACTCAGTGCTTGCGGCTGTCGTTGTAGTGGTAGCTGGAGCTGTTGTTGTTGACGCTAGATGCGTGAACGAGTAGGTGCGTGTGCTAGGGGGCGTGGCAGATGCAAAGGCGGAGGCGGATGTGGATGTGGAGGCAGGAGTTCCGCTTGGAAGGGCGGAAGTGGACGTTGTCGCGCTGTTGGTGCTCGTGTTGGTGAAGTTGCTGGTGTGGTCGTTGGGCAAGGTCGTGCACGTGCTCGGAGTATTTGAGTTGGAGAAAGTGTTGGTGTTCGTTGTGATCGCGGGGCAGGAGTTGTTGGGGGTGGGCAGCTGGTTGGTGTAGATATATCATAATGTTGCATATAATTGTTTCACACAAAGAAAGAGAGAAAGGAAGAAAAAGAACACACAATGTTGGTTTGCATTTTTTTTTTTGGTTTATCAGGTTGTGCGTACATCCATTTAACAAATAACTAGCAGTGCGGAGTCAAAGCTGGGATTGTCCACTGAAATCCGTGCTTTGATTAACACCGAAAAGCATCCCAATCGATATTCCTTTGGGATTTAAAAGGACAAACACAAGATATATGTTGATAATATGTACTAAATATTTTCAAAATACAACATCGGTTAGCACAGTAAGAGTAATAGCTTTGATGCAAATAAAAAGGCAAAAAGCATAAACATTGGCTTATTAAACAATATATTTTTATCTTTCACGTATTTACTGCTTATGCCTTTTCTGTACATATATTGTAAGAATATATTGCACACATATATATATATATATATAAATTAAAAAACACAAAAACCATAAGAAATAAGCTAACTTCGAAAACACGAAGACTTAATATTTATTTCCAGTAAATGTTCGTAATTTTACGGTTGTTCATATTTAGTTAAAATTATAAAGGCGACGATTCAAACCACAGAAAACTTCCATATTAAGGACAACATTGATATATAAAGTTACACCTTCAACATATTATTATAGAATTCAGTGGTAAGATCCTGTTTGTTACGACATTTTAAACCACCTGCAATGCTTGGTAATGTAAATACTAATATAAGCAATCTATCATTGAGATACCTCTAAACATGAGACTAATTTGGGAAGAAACGGACAGGCAGATATTTAAATCAACCAGGATGTTGAGGCTTATTACGAAAGTACTTCATGGGTTATATAAGTTTTAATATGCATAAATTAGATACTAAGTGTGTCTTAGGTTTCAAAAAGTAAATCAATAAGTAACTGGCGCCTGCGAAGATTAACGAGTTCATAATCTGTTGTGCGAGTGCCAAACACGCATTTTACTCCTATGTTGGAATACATCGTCAATCCTTATGGCATATTGATACTCGTACAGTGAAAATCAATGGTGTGCTTAAATAGGTAGGCTATCTTTGTTGTATATTTGTATATATTGAGGTTGGGTGGGTAGCTGGTTGGTAGGTGTCAATAGCAATGGTAAGCACGTGGGGGAATCCCCGGAACAACACAAGCATCTAGAAAACATTCGAATATTTAGCCTTTGGTTACAGGTTGCAGGTTAACTGGCCGTGGGTTAGAGTGTGAGTTCAGTGTGCGTGTGGGTCAATCAACGAGAACTCAGGAGCTATAATCGGTAACAGTAACTAAGCAGTGGAGTGAGCACGGAAGCACCCGGACATCGGACTGAGAAGTCGAAGGCGTCAGTTGCCCCAGGGTCCGGCTCCACTCCAAACAAAAAATTTAAAGCAAAATCCGGGAACGAACAGGTACATCATCGAACGAGTCTAGGGATCGGTCTAGCACTAGCGCCTACCAGACTATCCCACAACCACGTTACCTTCTCCGGGAGCGCGCTGGGACTGGCCTCAGGCTCGGGATCGGTGGGCGTGTCGCTGGCCAGAGTGCTCTGCTCCCACTGCGTATCGGACCCGGCGTCGTCCTCTAGTTCGTTGGAAGACTGCTTCGAATTTCAAACCAAACCGACAAAAATAATAGGAAACGAGGGAAATTAAAAGAATACCAATTACGTGTTTCTGTGGTGTGCAGTGAGCGTTGGCTGAGGTGTTCACAATATCGAGGGTAAAATGCTATTCCACGGACGCACACCAAGGGGAGTTTATCTTATCCAGCATCATCGTGTGTATGGAATGGGAGAGGCTGTGGACGTTTCGCAAGAGGCAGACTCACCTTGGCAGTGATTTTCTTCTCGGCTCGGTAGCGATTGTTCAGGTTAGCGGGTCCACCGAGGACGGGACTGTCAACGCCGCTAACGAACCCGCCTCCGCCCCCTCCACTGAGGCCACCGTTGCACTCGCTGTCGCCCAGCAAGCTCGAGTACTTAGAGGCCAGCGAGGAGGTGGTGTTCGAGTTGAGCGTGGAGGAGGTGGTGATGGTGTCCTCCTTGTCCAGCGAAGTAATGATTAAGGCGGCCAGTGGCGTTGACGAAGTTGAGTTGTTCGCTGTGCTGTTGCTCGTGTTGGTCGATCCATTCGGTTCGATCAGGGGCCACTTGGCCCGCGACTTCGTTTGCTTCTCAATGGAGCTGACTGGGGGAAAGAAGGAGGACAGTTACACAGCAGAAAGGTGTAAATGGGGGAGCACTTACTATACGAGTCGGGGAAGTCAGCTCCCTTCACCCGCAGACTATTGATCTCGTCGTCAATCTGCTGATTCATCGCGGCGGCATTGTCGATCACAAGCAGGATGTTTTCCGGCTTGATATCCGTGTGGATGATGCTGCACTTGCCGTGCAGATAGTCCAGTCCTTCCAGCACCTGCCGGATAATGTTGCGCACCTGGGCGATAGCCAGACCCTGATAGTTGTTCTTTACGATAAGCTTGTAAAGACTGCAACCCAGGGCCTCGAAAACCAAGCACGTGTGCATCCCGTTCACGCCGCGTACCGTGAAGTGGTTCATCAGCCGCACGATTCGCTCCCGCTTAACGTCTAGCGGGTCCGCGTCGCGGATCGCCTCCAGCAGCCGGATCTCATCCGCAGCCGTCTCAATGTAGTGCGGGGCACTCTTCACCACCTTCAGGGCGACGTACTTTTCGTCTCTGTGAAAGGAAAGGAAATGAAATGAATGGCTTTTTTTAAAAGAGGAAACTACAGTTCCAGGGCTCACTTGAGGTCGCGACACAGCCAGACAGTGGAGAAGTGACCCCATCCAAGTTTGCGCACCACGCGAAACCGATTGTCGAATATGTCTCCTATGACCACTGGATGGTAGCCGCCCCGGCAATACTGAGAGGCGTCCTCCTGCTCCTCGTCCGATACGTAGAGACTGCTGTCGGATGAATCCGGGTAGACTTCGTCCGTCGTGCTCAGCGTTCCACGGGGCTCCGATCTGAAACAGCAAATGAAAACCGTTAGATATTTTTCCGGGGAATGTATAGGAGAACAGAGGATTATAAATAAGAGTAGAAGGCCATTCCGGCCTGTCCAGCCTGGCTTAAACCCACATAAACTCAAGTTGTTCAGTCTCCTCCTCCTTGACGGGTTCGGATAACAGCTGGGGCAGCTTAATAGTCAGGGGTTGCTCCCGGGGCGGCAAGTAAGTGTCCAATATGACTTCCCCGGGGGTCACGGGCTCAAAGAGCAAGGCAGCTTGGCGACAGTGCTTGGGCCTCCTGGACTGCTGGCGCAGAGCAATGAGGATGGGCCCGGCAGAGACACAGTTACGCTTCTTGGTAAACCGCTTGCGGCGCTTCTTCTCCTCCACTTCCAGCAGTGCTTCTGTGGCTGCGTCCTGAGCCGCGCGCTTCTCCTGCTCGGAGACAAAGTTGAAATCGCAGCTCAGCTCCTTGGCCACGTCGGAGGTGGCACTGGGAGAGGTCTGTGGCTCGCTACCCCAGCTCCACAGTCGGAGCTGGTGCATCAGGAACAGGAAGAGCAGCAGCAGACTGCCCTGGAGCACACCCACGAAGACTTGGTCTTGCGCGAGAGTGGCCACAAAATGCCGGCCCACCATATGGGCTCTGCTGGCCCCGGTTGCGAAGAGCTCGACATAGTGCAGGTAGCCGGGGTAGAGGTCTAAGTAAAGATCCAAGAGGGTTGCCTGCCACCCAACGTCCACCGTGGCGTTAGCCTCCTTGGGGCAGGTTGCCCCCCAGTCCTCAATTTGCCTTTCCATTTCCGATTTGCTTCGCTGCTCAATTCGACAATTGGATTTCCACTTCTGCTTCTGTTTCGGCCGACGCGCCTACATGGCCCCGCTGCAGTAACGCTGCTAGCCGGGGAAACGGGCGTGGAGCGGTGGCGACCTTGACTTTCTCAAGCCCCCACTTGCATCACGGTCACTCGCCAACTAAGCTTGGTCGCGGTACACCCACCGAGCTCTCGCACACACCCCTTACATAACCGGACACAGAGCAGGGTAAATACAATAAATACAATATCGCGCAGCGGAAAAATCTGAATTATTAAAAGTATCTGTATCTGTATCTGCGCGAGTGCCTTTCTTCGCCCGTCCGATTCGTTCAGTTGCGTCTGCGAGAATGTCGAAATGGCTTTTCACTTTTGTTTTCGCCGCCTCTTCCTTAGCGGGCCAAGGCGCAGCCGTTTCCAACTCGCGCGAGTATTTCATGTTATTTCTGTTCTGTTTTCATTTTGTCACAACTAAGTTTAGTCTTCCACCTCCGCCCCCACATCCACCCCACTGCCCACCGACCCAAGTCCGGTCGAGTGCGAGTGTGTGCGGATCACCTAGAACCCAAGTTCGCCGATAGCGAGACGATTTGCCTGAGTGTCTACACCGTTAAAAATATATGTATATGTTGCAAGGGAATACCCTAGGACAAGTTTAATGGGTACTTTCATACTCTTATGTTACCTCTTAATAGGTATTAAGTTGGGGAATAACATTAGTTATCATTGGGTACAAGGGTACCTATTATTAATCAAGTATAACAATTCTTTTATGAAGAGCATAGCCAGATCCGTCTAATCATCCATGTACAACAGCAGGTCTTTGAGAATATACAAGTTAGCAGTACTAACAAAAATTCCAATACGACCCAGATGAAGTATGTTGTGAAAAACAACAGTAACTAAGCTATTGTAGAGAATTTAGTTAACACTAAACATTCTTTTAGAGTAATTCGACCGTTGGGTAAAACCAATTACTGTATATGTTAAGCATAGGCAATAAAGTTTTTATGTGATTGTTCTAGCATAATTTACCTTCATTTGTCACCATTTTCTTCTCCTTTTCACCCTCTTTAATTAAAGTTCTTTATTACAGCATAATTAGACAAAGGGAATTATAAAGCTCAATGTTTCTTTTAATACGAACGCCATTGCTTACAACTCACAATCGGACTGTAGCTTTCCTATTTTCTTTAATATATTTACCTTTACTTTTATTCTATATTAGTACTTTTTTATATGTATAATAAATTAAAATGAAATCTTTATAGTTCTAAATACTCATGAGACCAAAATACCTCTTACTGATGTACGAATGTTTATATTAACCAAAAGGTAATTGCAAATGATGTATTTATTTGTTTAGTAATCGAAACTATCAATAAATTGCAAACTATTTCTAAAGCTCAACCTGACAATCGTCACATAATACACCATTATATTGGAAAACTATCCATATTTTCTCTGTGTTTATTTGTTGGCGTCATTATCCAATGTGTACTTCATAAAGTCGATGTCGTTGCCGATGTTGGACGACGCTTTTGCCGGTCATGGACTGCACCACACCAGGAAAGAATCCACTACAGGCACACACATGTGGACATATCATTATTATCATCGAGTTCCTCGAGATTTTTGGGCATCGCGCCAAGTTTTTCCACGCCTATACATATGTACATATATGATACTCACACATGTACTGTGTATAAATGTATGCACGAGTTGGTTCGTACCACACAAAGGGATGTTCGAACAACAGGGTTTGGCATACCTGAAATTCCAGAATTTTTCGAGAGCTTACAAGTTTGGTTGGGTTGGATGAACTAGAACCTATTGTCACTATTTCAACCGCCGAAACAGGCAAGTGTTTCGAGTTTATAAATGACTAACCAGAGTGCATTGATTTTTCCACGCCCCCTTTACGTGCTGGGTTCAATACGTGCTCATTTCAGATCTGCTAACTACTCCCTCGAAGCAAATACTCTCGCCAATCGCTACCCTGGTACTCGCACACTTTTCCGGACCCTCGCACACCGTGGCAAAATCTTCATTTGCCGCTCCCACCGTATTATTATTTATAGACGCCCAAAGAAGCGCATAAAAACAACAAACAAATCACCGAGAAAATCACTGCAAAAGCAGAGCAGAGAAAGGCAGCGAGAAACGTCATCGTTTCGGTCAATTGCAGTGCCTCTCCGCCGGTGTGTGTGCGAGTGTGTGGAGCTGACTTCACCTGCTGGGAAGGGGGACGGCTCGTCGGTTAGCGACTGGCGTCACGTGGCGCCTACTTGTGGTTAGTCGAAATTAAAAACGTAAACAAACCAAGCGGACGCCTCAGGGAACAGACGCGGGGGCAGTAGGCGCCTTATGTAAATACATATACTTAGGGGACAATGGGTCAGTATCTATCTGGTTGACTTTATTCTGCCAGAATTGGGACTAATATTATCAAGGAAAGCTCTCACAGAATATGTACGACCAATATTTATATATAATATGATCTAATGGATCAAGGGCATTTTCAAGCCCCTGTATCCAAAGTGACAATGAGCACCAAGAGTATGGTGAACAAGAAAAGTTTATATTGTTTAAAAGCTTCTGCCATACTTAAACTTTAATAACCAATATTTGTTTAGGATCAATGGATATGAAGTGTAAAAATGTACATTTTGATATTTTGAGTCGGTCGAGCTAATTTTTAAAAGGTTGAATACCGGTTAATTCAATCAGCCTAATCTGATACTCCGTTCAAAAATATCGAAAAACAGGAATTAAACGGCTTTTTCGGAATGACATTGTTCTCTTTATACCTTGCAGATAACAATAGTCAGAAGTTTGCAATAGAGCGAATTTTCGACTCCTTATCAGTATTAACAGCCGGGTCGATCTAGCCCTGTCCGTTTGTCCGCCTGTCTGTCATGTACATATAATGTCGCGTATATAAAATATAAAGAATTAATTTCAAATAAATTAGCACATCCTGCGTTTGGAAGCCCAGGTGGAATGTCTAAAGAAAATGCATTTAAAAGTTAATACAATATTTAGCTGGTTAACCTACACTACTTGGTTCCTTAACAGTGCATTCTTATGTTAATTCAAGTATACTTTAAATTTAGTCGCCTTGCGGTGCTTGACATCGCAATTTCGTAAAGAAAAAGTATTTACCGATCCTATAAATTAAATATTCTGTATATCCAGTTGCCTGTTTGTATGCTAACAACTATATAACTTTATTTTATAAATCTTGCTAGATTTCTTCCATCTACAGTAAGTTGTTATAAGAACATACAAATTATACTTCTTATTTGTAAATTCAGTTTTATGATTTCAAATAACCGATTCAGTTTTATGAAATCTCTCATAGAAGTAATGGGTAGTTTAATAGAAAACTTATATAACATAATACTTGGGATATCTTAACGATGTTGTAATATTCGTGACAAATGAACCTTTAAACTCAAAATATTTGGGGTATCAAATTTGTTTAAGCAAAAATAAATGACAAATTGCTTTTATAAACAAGCCTTTAGAGCTACATTCCCGTTATGTTACTAACTAATAAATTCAGATTAGAACTTCTCTACAAAAATACACAATACATGCTCCATTTGTGAAAAATGTACATTTGCACTTTCACCCCTATTCCTTTTAAATTTCCTTCCAACAAATTTGTTTTTTAAGTAAGTAATAGTATGTGGAACATTCTTCTAAAACGACACCTTAAAATTGGGTATATGATTTTCTGCTTTTAGGCAAATAATTCGCCTTACGCTCAGTCACTATATCATGGGAACGGTTGGATAAAACTGTAAACTGCAGGGTCTACATACGTCAGCATCCCGAAGATATCTTCCATTCTTGTTTTCCGACCGCTTCTGTGGTAGATATATGAAATAGTAATCTGGTTTTTGTTAAAATAAAACCGTCAAAATATATTGACGAATATTACTAAGAACATGTTAAGCAACACCCAAATTTAAAATTTTGATATCATCAAAAGTTTATATGTATTTCTCTGAACTGATGTTCAGGAAAATAGTCCCAGATTGCTACGGATGCGAATCCTTATGGTTCAACTCTATGTGTGTAGTACTTACAAGCTGACGAAGGGTCCTCGCAGGGCCGGCATGTCCCGGCGCCGGTTGAGCGGTGGGGAGAGCGACAGCGAGAGGAAGTCCTGCTGGGCTTTGTCCTCGTCTACGATGCTGGTCGGAGTGCTGTAGATGCGCGTGGTTGGCAGGTATCCAATCTGCTGAAGGAAGTCGTCGCGGTAGGAGAGCTTTGTGGTGGACTGAGACGATGTCAGCGGCAACGCCAGTGGGGATCCGTAGAGCGGCGCCAGCGGCAGGGCCGCGGCCACCGTTGACAGCGAAAGCGGCTGCTGGTGCGCCGGCGAGAACAGTCCTCCAGCAGCGGCACAAGATCCGGTTCCCATTCCCGTTCCCGATCCAGTGCCAGTGCCGTTTGCGGTCGCATGCTGATGCAGATGGTGGTGATGCGGCGTGGTGGCCGCGGGCTGCGGCGCATGAAAGTGCGGATAGGGGATGGCGTGGGCGCGTGACAAGTACGGCGGCGTGATGATCTTGTCGTCGAAGCTGCGCCGGAAGCTGAAGCCCTTCAGCGAGTTGCTGTAGTTGCGGTGCGAGAGGGGCGAGCTGCCCAGGTCAATGCTAGCCGCCGGGCCCAGCATTCCAGCGGTAAGGGTGCCGCCGCCGCCGCCGCTGCTAGCCAGCTTAGCGCTGGCCGTCGCCGTGGCACTGCCCAGCATACTCAGTGCCGGGGAGGTGCGCAGCTGGGGACTACCGCCACCGCCGCCGCCTCCAGCATTAGCTGCAGCCGTGGTCGCGGTGGAGAGCGGCGGCGAGATGGCGCTCAGTGTCGAGATCCCGCTGTCACTGCTGCATATGCCGGCCGGCAGGGACGTGTGCGTGGGCGAGAGGAGGTGAGGCTGGTGCTGGTGCTTGCCATTTGCGGCGCCGACGAGACCGGACAAGCCGCTGCTCGGCAGTACGGGAGCCAGGATGCCTGTTCTGCTTTCCGCCTGTGTTCCTGAGGGTCCTGGTCCGCAGGCGGACTGTTCCTAGCAGGTCCTAAGAACAGGTGCTGGGACTACGACTGCGGGGCGCCTAGAGCTGCTGCGCCTTTGTCCACATCGCTGGCCTGGTTCCTTTGTTCCGGGTGTGGACTTGCTGACTGGCTCGCTCCGAGCAGCATACTCTTGTGCGTGGGAAAATCAATGAAGCCCGTGCCTAAAACATTTTAATGCATTTAAAGCAGCGTTTTTCTCGCTTTGTAACCCAAATTGCGCATGAAAAAAGTAAGGCGAACGCACACAAGCACACGCTCGCACACACTGTCGCACACACACGCAAACGCACAAGAGTGCGGATATTTTTCCACGGCCTGCTTTTGATTTGGCCCCTTCGCTTCCGCTGCTGCTTTCGGCCAGGTCTGTTCAGTAATCTAGTTAACAGCGGAATTGATTTATCCCCGACAATTAAAGCGAACACATCACATTTTCCACTTTTATGTTGCTGGCAGGAGCAGGCGCTAGAGCCGGAGCTGGAACTGGAGCTGGAGGTGAGCAGGAGCAGCAGCCAGGAAAAGTCCAAGTCTCCTCCCTTTGTCTGCACTTCGCACTAACTTTCCGACGGACTGCCCTTCGGCTTCTGAGGCACCAGAACAACTCTGCGGCGAAGTTTAGAGCCGACGCGAGAGAGTCCCCGCGGAAGCGAGCTGCTGGGGAGCTCTTGGACAGAGCGCATGTGCCGGCCTGCCTGCCTGTTACTGCCCGAAAACAAAACAAAGCCGGAGAACCGGACAACCGGAGAACTGGAGAGAACCGGAGGACTGGAGAACGAGAGAAAGAGCGAGCGAGGAGTGAAAGCTAACTGCGGTCAGCTGGCGACGTCGAAAGTTCTCTCCCCCGAAGCGCGACAGGCAGGTTGGCGTCCGGTTTGTTTACCATCCTTAGAGAGCTTTCTTGAGCTTGTCAGAGGAGTCCGCCGACTGTGGAATACCCTAGGCCCGAGGCAAAGACACACCACACAGACTGAGTTCGTATAGTAAATTTATTGATTTCGCTTTCAACGTGTTATAGATACAGAATACAATTGGAATTTGGAAACAATTGTTTAAGTTTAATGTAGGTTACTAATTATTTTTGCTTATGACTTGACTTGACGAACAATAAATACACACGCAAGACCGTAAGATGTAATCACCTTTAATTAAATTTTATATATGTACGTAAGTATGCATTATTATACCAAACACATTATAATAACAAAGTAACGCCATACGACTTTTTTGCACTCGAATTAGTTTTAGAACCAGACGTATTCCCAGGCATTCTAGATCTGTTCGCAACATACGCACTTGCTTGAGAGCGGAGGGCGCACGATATGGCAACTGAACTCTTGTTATTATACGGTCTTTGTTTATACTATGGCTGGGCCAGGAGATTGGACATCTCTTAAAAGCCTTAAAAACGGATCAACTAGTCCGAGTCCCGAGCCAGCTCTGATGCAAAAATTTATATAATTATGTGGTAAATGGTTTGGGATGGGGTTAGGGTACTAGGACATAACATTTAATTTCTGCTGGACTAAGCACGCATTCATTTACATTTAAAAGCCGTTAAAGCGATTAACAAAAATACTAAACCGAACGGGATGAAATTTAATTTGAAACAATTTTGAATACATGTGCAAGTGCAATACTTTTGGGGGTTACAATTGAACTTTTGATTAATTGTATTTAATATTTATAAATAGGGGATTAATATTATATTTATATATATATTTTTTTTATCTTTCCATTAAGTTCCGCCCTATGTAGTGTTTAGTGTCCTCCATCGTCCTCCTCTGCTTGTCTGTGTGATGCTTATTTGTATAACTTGACTTATTTACATTTGCATTAGGATCGGATCGGAGCAATCTGCTTGGGAGTCGCTCGACAATTCATCTTTACATAAGTATTTCCGACACATTAACAGAACCGATTGAGGCGATTTCGCGAACAATTAAGCTAGATTGGGCGAGGACACAAATGCAAACTAGAAACACATATCATCATATACACATATATCATTACAATCTTGTCCACTGCGACTGAATCCATACGCAGAGCGATTAAGCAGCAAATATTGAGACTAACTTCGGATGTACAACTTAGTCAAAGCGACAAGTTTTTGCGTAACGGGATGTGAAGTCGAGTTCTTAATAGATCTTGCTAGGTGGCTGGTTTCTGAATAATGGAATTGGGGACCCGATTACTCGAAGTGGACCAAGATCAACCTGACGGGCGGATGCCAGGAGCCCACCTCAAAATAAAAACTGTTTAAAGATACAGCTAAGTGCTACGGCTTAGAATAAATACATAAGTTAATATGTTGAATGCCTCAACATATCGCGCTTCTTAAAAACAACTTTAATAGTTACGAAACATATCGGGTTTTTCAGTTTTTCTGTTACGGGTTAGGGCTCTGTGTCAGTATCTGAATCGTTCGCAGCACTTGCCTAATATTTCTGATTAACCATATCTAGAGGCGAAGAAAGAGAGAGAGAACAGTAGACATGGTGATAAGTGAGAAAAACAAAGCAAAATTCATGCGTTGCATAACAAACCATAAGAGAGAGACAGGTAAAAACAAAGCAACCAATCAAACATAAACAGAATTAGTTAAACATGTCATGGCAGTGATTCTTGATCTCTGGACTTAACTGACTGATTTGACTGAGGACCTGTCCAAATATTACTTAATGAAGTGATTGTTTCATAATTGTATTACGTTATCATTTTATATGTAAAGCAACTAATTATAACAACTAATTATAATTGTATTAAAAATAATATAAAATATACGTGATTCCGTAATTTATGGACAGCCTCTTATGTACGGCATTCTAGGCCGAGTTAGAGCTTAACTTCCTGGAGCTCGGAAAGTGAGATTTTAGATAGGTCCTTAATAAAGGAGTCTTGAGAACAGCTGCAGCTGACCTCAAGAGCGGAGGACTGAGTCAATCAAGTTGTGAAAAAGACTTAATATGCAAATCCGAGATCAGAGTATTTATATAGATCCCTTGTTCGTCTGGACGTGTTGGTATGGCTAGCTATATGTGAAACTTTACACACGTGGAAAAAGTAAATTTGGTGATCGAAGCAGTTAATGCTAGTGTGTTCTTAGGTCGAGGTCTGACAGAGTACACCGACCAAAGGTTACAATATTGGTTCAATTTATGCACAAAGATAACAAGTTCGATGGTCAAAGACGCTTTGTTGGTTGGGTAACCTCTTCTTAGGGCTGTCTTCTGGACTGACTGTTTATATACCTGGCGTGTATGTGGTCTGCTCCGTTGTGTTCAGCGACGTGTTCTCATTGGCGGCCACTGGTGCGCCGGTGAAGGGATTAACTCCAACGGCAGCTCCGCTAGGCGGCGGCATTGCGAACACCGGCTGTCCTCCGGCCTGTTCGCGTGGCTGTGATGTTACGGGGGCGCCGCCCGCACCCAAATTCACGTCGTCCAGATCAACATCCTCCTGGAGGGCATACAAGAAATAAGATATATTAGGGAATATGGCTTTTTATTTTCGTGTTTTCAGAGCTCAAAGCTGTTTGTCCTTCGACAATGTTTAGTCAAAAACGTGTTGTGGTTGGAAGCGGGTCTACGATATGTAATATTCTACACTTAAGCTACTAGTGTTATTTATGTGATTTTTGCAAACACTACGAAATCAAAATTAACGCGATGAGCGGAAAGTGGCACAAAGAAATCATAAAACATTTACCCAAGCAATTACAGGAACCCTTCCAACCCGTTCATCACCATCATCTTCTCTTCATTCTGGTCAATTTTCTCCCATCAGTTTCAGTTTTAACTATTTACATTTTAAACAAAAAACTTGCCTCCTTGGAACATTAGAATTTAGAATGATTACGATTTAAGCTTCCCTCGGATTTTGTTAGTGGCTTTGTGTTAGTTTATTATTTAGTTGCAGGGGTTGCAGGTCATAAGGTGCTGGTGCTGGTGTCGTTTTGGATTTGTATACTTACGAGACGTGGCTGCTGTCCCATTTGTGGCGGCAGATCGCTGACATCTCGATTGCCATCGGGGCGCTGGCGGACGCGGGTCGAGAGCGAGTGTGTGGTGGTGGGTGGTGGGTAGTGGATATGATGAGTCGATCGCAAAGAATTTTTAGAAAAAAACGTTAAATAAAATTATAAACGTAAATCGTCGGCTTTTCTTTCGGGGCTTGTAAACAAATAAAAAGCAAAGGAAGAGCAGTTTGAAGTTGGTGCAAACTTAAGCTGAATGCGAAATGGAGTACTTAAAAAACAAGAGAAGCAATCGTGGATCAAATTAAAATTTCCGTCTGAGAATTCATTTCCTCACTGACTCAGTCTTTGAAAAACCGAGACTGAAGGCTTGAAATTCTAACGATGTTATCATTAAACTGTTTATATAAGGACCTTACAATAACAAAATTCTCAACGTGGATTTATTGATATTTCTGCAAAAATTGAATTTTCAACACTTTCATTAGAAGCGTCACATCTAAAATTGGAATACACTTAAATTTACGACTATACGCTGGTCGACAGTCGCTTGCCTTAGGCACTTTCTCCCTTTGACTTTGAAACAAAATATCAGGAGAGCCTGGAGCCAGCACGAAGTTCTGGTGTACAAAAACAGTGCGGTGTTTGTCATCTTGTTATTATAAGGTCTTTAGTTTACATTAGATTGGATGAAGAGTGAGAGACGTTGGAAGCATTTGATGATTTTCGCGAAGTACATTATAAAATAAACAGAGTTGGGATCAAATTTTGAAGAGGGAGAACGTAACTCGAGTTGATCGAACAAGGTTGAGTGTGGCAGCCATTCACCTCTGTCCTGCGTACATACTTACCCCAATGTTTAACAAATAACAAAAGAATGCGGAGATTTTAGGGCTTGTACAGTCTAAAAAAAGCAAACCCAAACTAAAAGGTAGCGTGTCAAGAAAGCTGATAAACCACACAATACTAAATTATGGTTAGGCATTTATTGATCAAGCGTTAATGTTATATGTAGGAGCACGTTTTTGACTAAACATTAGCTGCTCGAACGGATTGCACTATGGATCTCCTCACAAAAATCATCAAAATGGATCATGGATTCGGTGCTCGGTTGGGTGTGTTACAGTGTGAATGGATGGGAGCATGCATTAGTGAAGCTTTAGTGGGGACTTTGCACCAGATTGATTTTCTTGTGTTCTCTTTTTCCATTAACCAAATCAAAATGCGTTCCGTTAGTAGTAGCGGACGGGGGTTCGGGACAGGGCAGGAGAGGGACTGAGTTGGGTCAAATCAAACATCACTCACATTGAGATGCGCATACTGATCGTGCGACTCATTGACCGGCGGCTTGAACTTGCCGCAACAGAAGTTGCAACAGCAGCAGCAGCAACAACAACAGCAGCATCCAGTGACCACGGCGCAGCAGATGAAAAGTGCCTGCAAGAGATCAGAGTATATAACAACTGCCTATTAATGGCAAAGGATGCCCAAAGTTTACCTTCACTGCTGGCGACGTAACCACGAAGTACGCGTTGACATTTTCCTCGCCAAACTGCTCGGCGATGTACAAGCCCAGTGAGCCGTAGTTGTCGTATATATTGCGTTTAGTCTGGTCGCTCAATATCGAGTGTGCCCGATTCACCTCCTTAAACTGTAGAAGGGACATGATATTTAAAAGTGTTTTATGTGTAAATGTTTTAACAAGACATCACCTTATCGGCCGCGTCGACATTGTCGGGGTTCTTGTCGGGGTGGTATTTGAGTGCCAGTTTTCGGTATGTCTTCTTAATGTCATCTCCGGTGGCAGTCTTCGGAAGTCCTAGGATTTCGTAAAGCGAGTCCCCCGATGTGCTAATCAAAACAGGGCATATTATTAATACTCATTGACTACAAATGGCAAAGCATTTTCGAAGCTGATATTGCTGATTAAGCCTCATCCAGATAACACAGTTTATTACTCATGTGTGTGATCTTTAGCGTAGATACACATATACTTATAATGGGCCGGCGACATTCCCTTCACACTTACAGTGCATAGGCAGTGGAGACGGAGCAGCAAGTTTTCCTGGAGGCGATGACTCACCAAAGCAACAGTTAGCTTAGCCGTTGCACGCGATGGGAGCGCTTCCAAGGGGAGCACTAACTCTGCCCTGTGGGATTGCTTGGCAACACTACGACATTGAGGCAGCCAGATCGGAAGCAGCTTGGATTGGAAGCGCCGTAGCAAGAGAAACAACAGCAGGCAGCTGAGGTCGCGTGCAGCATAACTTGCACCCTTTCGCTTGCACACTGTATGGATTTTTTGTTTTGAGCAGGTGACGCGCTATTTATAAGCTTGCGGAGGTTGGGTTCAGTCTACACTCGCACTTGGGCTGAGGGGAATCTAAGAGCTGATAAGGCAGCATGAGCTTAGACCCAAGCACAGCCTAAATGCTTGGGGAAGTGGATGAGAAGCCCGATGATGAGGGCGATTAGGGACTCGAGCGGATGGGGGCGTCCAGGGCCAGTGGGCCGAGGGGGCGCCCGCACAGGGCCAAGGACGCGGGAAGTCGTCACGAAGGCGCAGGCAGCGCCAATTCGCATTCGCATTCGCCTTGGGCAGCAGGCAGAACTGGGCCAAATAGAAACGGCTTCTGCTGCCATTACTCATATGGCGTCGAAGGGGGCGGGGGCGAGTTGGCCTAAGCGACTGTAAAACTCTTGTCGATAACGGGCTCCGAAAAATGTAGTTGGCGAGCGAGTGGATCGCACTGGTTCTTATCGCACAATCCGCCGGATCCCGCAATTTGAGTTGCATGGCACACGATACATGAAACAAGCGTCTATAGATTCTCTCATTGACGGATTTTGCAAATGGCAGTTTGCAGCGGCACGTCCTTGGCCTTGCCCAGGACCTGCCAGCTGTCTCTCCCCTTCCCTTCCCTCTTCTCTCTCACTTTTTGTGTATTTGCCCAGCCTCTCCCCTCTCTCGCCAGGGATGGTCCCGCTCTATGTTTATCCCAATGCATCTGCGGGAATGTCTGCTGACTTGTACAACTTCTGCCGCGAAAAATCAATTTGACGACGACTGCGCTGCCCGGCCTGCGCGCAGCTGCTGCTCCTAAATGCTGTGTGTGTATTCTGCCGACGTCTCGGCAGAATGTGTGTGCGCGTTGGAGGAAAAACCAAGAACACGACGGAGTGCAGCGTTGAGAATTCTACTTACGAGAGTTTTCTCTTGTCCATGCCAGGTGCACTCATTCTGAAGCCTGTGTTGCGTATCCGCCGCGGGTTCACTGCCTGGCTACTTAGATATTGAAATTCACACGCCCGAAACGAACTGTTTTTGCCAAGAAGTAGAGCTTAGTGCTGGTTCGGCCACAAGCGATACTATCGATTGCTCACTTATGCTATCGATCCCATAGTATTTGCGATAGTTCAGAAAAATGCAAAACGGCAGAATACGGTGTTTCCATTGAAATTTGCTGACGATCTGAAATTCTAATATATATTACTCACAGTGTTTATACGAGGCCGAAGTCATGCGCATTATAACCATCAAGGGATTGTCTATATGTAGATATAATTGAATGAGTGAAATCTACCCTACCCTACAATGGAGGTAACGACAAATAATCAGAATAGGAAATAGCTGATTAACAGCTTTGGCTATTCGGAAATATAAACAAAGCTTAACCTATTTTGTGGCCAGTGTGTTCTTTGAAATAATTTACCTGTTAACTGTTTAACTGTTTTGAGCTGTTTAATAACAGAAAGACAGCAGATTACGGAAGAAAATGTTGGCACTATAATAAAATGAAATCGCGACAATTTTTGCCTAGAATACACCGAAAACACCGGCGAAGTTCTCTGGCATACTTTGGCGCCATTCTCAATTCATTCGTTCCTTGACATTTTTGTAAACATTTTTGTAGTGAATAGTTTAATTTTCACTGACAACAAAAGAATTCAGAACTATCGACATATCAAGTCCATGAAATTCAGAAGGACAGCGGATAAGGAACAAAATGAGAAATTTCGGAACAGCAAAACCTTATAATCCATTCTTTGGTTTGAGTCTTCACTAATTCTACACCGCTTAATATACCTTAACTTTTCGATAAAAATTCGACACCGTTGTTCTTTATGCGCTTGTAGAAGTTTGACATTTTACGCTGCCAGGGGAAATTTATTATTAACTATCAAAAAATATAAAAAGTTAATAATTGTTAAATTAAATAATTTAGAAAATAACAAAGGCTGGATTAACAATTAAATTCAACAGCAATTACATTTATAATTGTTATATATTGCTATTCACACAAATTAAAAACATAATTGTTGCATCTTTCTTGTTTTTGGAATCGACACTTATTCGTTAATTGGTTAAGTAATTTCTCAATTCGCCAGGGACCTAAGCAAATCATAAATATTTAAAATTTGTATTTTAAAACTATCCTTTCGGTTGAAAAATATATATATTCATTATCGATATTTAATACGTAAGGCGATAATATCGATATCATTTATCGTCATATACCCATCTACAGTTTTTAAAGCTTTGGCGGTTGACTGTTAGCAACGAGTGTGAAATCGAGTGCGGGAGTTTCAAGACGTGCGCGGAGTTTGCAGACTGTCGGAATTGAGGCGAGCTGAAAAGCAAATAAAGCGGCGCGTGCTGGATGTTTACAACACAATTGGTTTCGTAAACGAGAAAGGCGGAGCGCGGCGAACTCTTTTGCATGCCCGAGCTGACATCTATCTGCATCACGGATGCCGCGTCGCCTGCGAATACCCAATATTGGCGCGTTTTCAGCAACAGGTGTCGGCGGAGGCAAGTGCGTTAACGGCTCGGCAAATGGATCGTGTTGATGGGCAGAATTTGGCGAAATTGTGTTTATAGACTGGCATAGGCCCGTTATTAGCGTTTGCAGACGGCCGAAAGGGGTCAGGCAGTGTGCGCGTGAGGAAATTGAATTACCTTGGCCCCCGCCCCGCAGTGACTGTCCGTGTCCGAAATCGAAATCTGTGTCGCAAATGTGGCACTAATAAATTATCGCACATTCGCGGACCCCACTCGAGAGTGCTTCATTAATGCAGAACTCGCAATTGAAGCAGAATATCTAGTTTTGCACCGACTGCGTTTGTTTCACTTTGCCTTGGACGTGACCAAATTCCCTGAGCACCGGGCTTGTTCCGCGTGGAATAGTCGAATAAGTCAACAAGAACCACGCTCGGACCACAGTAGAGCGCTAACTCCGTGGCCCATAAATACCGGTCCTCCAAATTAGAAAATCCAATTGCAGTCCAATTAACAGTGCTCCAGCTGAGCTCCAACGAAGCGCCACCGACGAGGGAGGTGAGTCCGAGTACCGTTAAGAGCTCAAGAGAGCGCACACAGTGCGTATGACAGTTCTTACGCAATTACAAAACCATCACACTCCCCGCCGCCGCCACCAGATCTGCATACAATTCACATGCAATGGGAAAATAATTGATAAGCGCAATAAAAAGCAGCAACAGTGACCCAGTCGAAGCCAGCCCAAACAATGAGAGGCTCACAGAGCACTGTCATTTTTTTCACAATTTATTTAAATTTCATCTGCTGGCCGCGGTTGTCGCTGCTGCAAATGACTCAGTCGCGTGGCGGCGCCGCAGCAGTCGCGGCTGGTGCAGCAGCATGCCAGCGCGTACTTCTGTGCCGGCAGAGGCTGCGCTGCTGTCATAAGCACGCCGCTGTCAAATTGCGATCGCATGGTGTGTGTGTTTGCGTGTGTGAGTGCTAGTGTGAATGTGAGTGGGTGATCAGGGGGCTGGGAAGGGGGGCCAACCAAGGCAGAGAACGAGCGGGGGGCCTGTCATTGGCCCACTGCTTCGGCGGTGTGCATATTTCTTGCACGGCCTGGCTTCTGCATTTGGCTGCGCTGCCCCTTGCTCTGTCACTGACCACACTCAACGGCAAATCGACAGCCGCACAGATGAGGTCAACGGAATAATGCCGGTTAATTACGGTATCTTAAATGTTTTCACTGTCAAATTTAAAAAATACTTTAAGCCACTTTATGGAAGTTTTCCGTCTTCCGAGTCAGGAAAATAAATGATCGTATGCCTTTTTTAAACAAAAAGACTTTGCAAAAATACTTACTATATACATACATATGTATAAATATTATATAGTCAGGAAGTTGTACTTATTGCTAGTATAAAGTATGGCAATGGATTTAACAAAATGAAAATATAAATTAATTAATTCCCCAATTCAATTGTTATGAATTGCTATTGTAATGTCCACTGTTAAACTATACATCCAAATTTTATGTATCTGCTTCGTAAACGCACTGCGCACTGTGACTTTTTGCAATTGCATTCGGCAAACGTAAAAATGATTAATGATTAATGCCTGTGGCCAGCATTCGCATTAGTCGGGGCATTAGCCGGCCTTTAGGTGGCGCCCGAACTTTGTGGCGTTGGAAATTTTTGGCTGGCTTCGAGCAAAGCGCTATCAGTCACGTCACCTCCGCTTACGCACATTATTTTAAAGAGCTAAGTACCCACAATATATAAAAGTAATAATGCTGATTAGCCACGAAACGGGGTCGAGAGATTATGCCTCGCGCAGAGGATGTCCCTCAGCGGAACGCAAATTACCCGCAAAATAGTCTTTCCATCCCGGTCCGAACTTGCATGCTATTTACACCTGCGGCGTACCTGGCGGTGGGTCATGCAAATTTAATTAACCTGTATGCAGATGGCTTTTCAATCGGTTCCCCTAACTCCACTCGGGGGAATTGCTTTTGCTGTTGCTGTTGAAATGCCGGCATATCACTCGACTCAGCTGCGAATGTAAAGCACCTCTTTGGGGGCAGTGGGAGGGCGCGCTCGACATATGTTACACTCTGCTTGTCGCTTATCAGGGCTCACAGCCACAAACAGCAAAAGCAGCAACAATGCGCCACCAGGTTGAGCTGGCGACAAAAAGCCGCACCCACAGTTGGCACAGTTCTGGGCATGGGGCATCTGGCTCGTACGGGAAGAGTGGTCGTGCAGGGGGCGGCAGCGGGCCCTGCTTGGTGAGCCGTTCCAACGGCATCCCATAAAATTGTTGTACAAAAATTAACATAGCCATAAACGCAAGCGTCGCCAGGGGGGAGCACCTTGGCAACGTGCGTGCGGATCTCAAAGGAACTTTAATTGATGAAGAGAGCGGGCAGCTGGGGCGACGCGAGATTCCTTATCAATTCCAACTTCCCAAATGCAAACGCATTTCTGTGCTCATTAACATTAACATTAGAAAAGCAGGGGGAGGGGGAGCTGGAAAGCGAAGGAGCGCTCAAAGCGAAACAAAGTGAAATGAAAATGAAATTGTTGCGACTTAATTTCTGTTACACATTCCGTAATGGCTATATATTTTTCCTGCAATGTTCTCTGGGAGCCATAGGAAACCACAAAAACACAATAGGAACAATCAATTTTTACTGGTCGACAGCCAGATACCTGGGAAATATATAATAAAAATAATAATAATAAATAATATATATTTGTAACAAATTATGTAATATATTTTATAAATTATAATATAAATATTAATATAGATACATACATCTATTGACCAGATCTAGAGTACGCTCTTTTTCAGATATTTCACAAACATTTAAGGAAGCCTGGGGCACACACCCATCTTATTCTTTATATTGTCTTTGGTCTAGTTTTTCTTAAAAACAAATATAGTTTTGCTCCAAATAGATGAAATTGAGAGCATTACTTTTGACAGTAAACAGTGAACAGATTTCGAAAATTCCATATACCCTTGCTCCCCTGTAAGTACGGAGTGCAGAAGCAATGAACGCATAGCAGGACTTGTGCCTTGAGGTCGACCTAATGGCCCACCTCCAGAGCCATTATTGGCTCCATAGAGCTCTCGTGGTGTTGGGTGGGTGCTTCTACTTTATGGCCTGATATTTAATGCCAAGAGCACAAATCCGAACCCGAAACTGAGATTTAAGCTAACCGAAGAGGGCATGTGCCGCGATGTAAGAAGATGAGTCAACGTTATGGGCTAAATGCAAGCTTAGCCCACTTTGGCTTGACCAAAAAATGTGCAAACTTAAATTGTCTTTCCAGAAAACTGAACATAAATCACAGGAAAAAAACATTTCAAGATGCGATAAGCATATCCTGCCACTAATTAGGCCTTAATTATCGCGAGGAAAACTTAGATAGTGCCCACTTAGTGGCATGCTTTTGGGCGGTCGCTATCGCGAAACTTTGACACCTTATCAGTCAACGGTTGATCATCATTAGGCGTAATTGGAGTGATTGTTTGATATCCGCCAGCTATGGGTCATAAAGGCTGTGTATTGACCGTTGTTTTCGCAATCAAATGGATCTGTCATTCAGCTTGGGAAAACAAAATCCGAAAGGGGAAGACGTGAGAGCACTGCTTGAGAGGATTGGCCCAGGAACTTCTTTGGGCACGCAGCAAATTGGTTTCGCCACAAAGTCGTTCGAGCCAGAGGAACAGAGGAGGGTCGAAGGTAGTTTCAGACATCCGCTTACACTTTCCCGAAAGATAAACTTAAGTACAGCGCATTTAAATGCAATTTGTGACAGTTTTCCTTTCCCGCGACTTTCAAGTGACACGCACAGAGCAGGAGCACTAAGGACGATGGGTGGTGGTTCGGCGTTAAAGGGACGAAGCTATCCGATGGGGAAAAAGTCAAGGCATGTTGAGCACAAAGGAATTTTTTTATAAGTCCAATGAAAAATGTGGCACAACATTTATCCTTTTGCAGGGAGGGCAACGGCGCTAAGAGGGTTTAAAGTCCTATGAATTTATTTTGTATTTATTGGTCTGATTAGTTGGTAAGAGAAGCGTTTTCTACATATCTCTTTAAAAGAACAATTGTATTTATGTATATTCAATGTATTATTTAAAACAACTCAATTCCATAAATCCGCATTTATTGGGAACCATGCATGGAGGCAACTGCAAAGGACATGACTCCCGATGAAGTTTTCTTCCTTTATTCGTTCGCCGAGCTTCGCTTGGACAGCATCTGGCAGATGAAAAAGGAAAAAGTTGGGAACCTCTTCTATCTTTGCGTTCCCATTTTGCATGAGAAACGAGATAACGACAGCTCGCAGACAAGGACAGCTCTCAGTCATGGCAGCTTCATGCGTCAAACTTTGGGCGAGAGACCCTTTAAATTGATTTTAAAATAATGAATGAGCCAAACGCCTGACGCTCATAAATTTGGAAGTTGCTCATCGCCCCTCGCCCCAATTTGCACCCAACAGTACAGTGACTAATGACAAAGTTGCTCCTTTGTTACCATTCTTCGATTGGTTCTTTATTGGCTACGCTCCTCACAAAAAGCTGATGAAGTAGGCTCCCCTGGCATATGGGGCTGACTGATGTGTCTCCAGGAAATAGATGCCGGAGGGCTGTCGCTCTGCCTTTTGTCCCATCTTCAGGGTGGACCAGCGGCAGCTCTCGGCGCTCATTGTTTCGACAGAGCCGCACAATGCGCTTACGAACTCGTTGTCAGAGGACCACATCTCAGGGAGCAGCTCGAATGCTCGCTCGTGCGAACAGGAGTCGTTGGAACAGCCTGGCTGCGTCTCCCCTCCGTTAGGGAAGTAGTCGACGTGTCCTAGTCGGTCCCAGGTGCCCAGTTTTCCCGCACTTGTGTGCACGACCTCAACGAATTCGGCATCAGATGCGGAGAGCTCGTGCTCCAGTGAATCCCCAGAGGATGGATCCAGGGCTGTGAGGTGCGGCACTTGGCGACCCAGGTCCCGGTGCACCTTGGCAGCCACTCCACCCGCCAGGTGAGCGCCCTCAGCAAAGCCCACCAGCAGGATACGATCGAGCGGCACATCGAAATTTGTGTTGAAGGTCGACACCAAGTTGGCCACGCTCTCGATGATTTCGGCCTCATCCTTGGCATTCTCCAGATCTACGCTTATCACATTGCTGGCCTCCTGATCCAGCCTGGCAGACACCACAGCAGAGAGCTCAGGCGAGGAGCTGTTTCCTTGCCACCGGGGTATGGAGATGCTGCGGATTCATTGTTAGAAAGGTGGACACTCCATGTAACCGGTGACTTACACAATGGGATCCGCGGCGTAAAATGAACTTCGCACCAGCGCCTCCACCTCCGCCTCCACCCATTGGGGACTGTCCCTGATACGGCGCGTATGTAGCAAGAACCCAGTCTCGGCGTGGACTGGAATCACACTTTATGAGTATCCATTTTAACTGCGTTTTTGTTGGCATGGATCACTCACCCGCTCCAACGGCCAGGGTCAACAATAAAGCAAGAAGTTCTCCTTTCTGCATTTCAAATAAAACTGAGCTGGATGAGCAACCTTCTCCTCGGGCATTCCTCAAAAGCTCGATTAGATTGCGATTGCTGATCGATAAGAGATTACTTATCGATGGTCCCTCACAATCGCTTTTGGATCGAAAGGCACTCAATTGGCCACTGATTTTCACACATTCGGATTCCGCTCGTATTTCCCCTCAAGCAAAAGTTGTTTTTTATGGTTCTAATAGATTTTCGAACGCAGCTAGAGTCGACATCACCACTCCCACCTTTCCCACAGCCCCACCCCGTTGGTCTATGCTAGAGTGAAGCCGCATTTGCATGACAGACAAATTGCATTTAATTGCCTGACAGCCTCAACAGTCGAGTGCTGCTGGCATGCGGAGTGGATTGCAGTTTGCAACATTTTCAGCACTCCCCAATCCGCCGGCAGCCTTCATGCCTCCGACAATGTCATGAGGCAGAACAATAACGCTGCCCCACCAAGATGGAGCTGGAATAGAGCGTCTCAGTGTACCTACACATGTATATTTTTAAAGGGAGTTATCAGGAATTTCGTTAATGCTTATTTATTAACTCTTTGGAAATGTGGTATTTATACAGTAACGATGAATGAAGTTCACTTGTGTGTTCTATATCTACATATATCTATTTCTTCGATCTCAACCAAGATAACTCTTTTCTGTAACATTACATATTCTACTGGATTTATTCCAAATCAAAGCACTTAACCTTAAAGTATCATTACAGCTTAGATTTCGGTTTGGTTGAGGCTCCCTTCTTTTAATTTAAAAGGTTCTCAAAACCATTTAAATAGCTGTGACCTGCTGTTTGAGTTCATAGGTCACAATTCGTCCGTAATGTTTAGAGCCACGATGATTCTTTGTATAATTTGTTAGTTAAAACCTTTCTTTGAGTACGGATCGTACTCCTTACCCTTTTTAAAATAAATCTAGGCATAGCCAGGAAACCAAGTTAGTGTTTATGTAGAGATTACTGAAGTTTTGTCAGTCAACATTTTATTGTACCGATATTCTTGTCCGAAAACATCATATATTAACTTGACACAATGCCAATATCCCAGAAGACTAAAATCAGTTTTCTATGGAGCAGTTTATTGTGGAGCAAACGTGTCGGTTTTAATACGATTAGCGATTGAATTGCTTGAGCTATGTTTGAATATGCCATTTTTTTAATAAATGGATTAATTAGTTTTTAGGTAATGTAAACAACTCGTTTAATAAAACCTAATACTAAACAAAAGCAAGAAAGTAAAGTTTCTGAACCAAAAGAATAACTGAATAACTGATGACTGTGAATCTGTTGCTGCAGTTTAAGGCGCTTGACAATCTGACACAGTATCCTTGGCCACGTTTGTCCCTGGTATTCGGGAAAACTGGAGCGGAAACTCGAACCTAGAGGTGGCCCTGCGGCGTGCGTATAAATTGCTGGCGAAATGTTGTGTCAAGTGCAGTCGGTGTGCCCCAACACCCTCCATTCCTGTGGTTTTCGGTTCCGAGGAGCACAACAATTAACTGGAGAACCGAAAACCCTCCTTGCCGGCTCAATGAGCACGTCACGGGCTTACGCTAGATTTATGACCAAAGAAGCGTTATTAAACGATGCCAGCGCCAATGGCGGCAATTTATAAACTTGTTGTTAAGAGGGCAAACGGCGAAGAGGGTGACAGCGGGGCTAGTCACTCGTATTAGCATAAATAGAGCGGCGTGTCAGCACGCAGCGCTTCGAAAGCCAAGTAGGGGACTCCAAGTACGACCCACAATCATCCCTTCCAGCCGTAGCAACAGTAGCAGCTGCAGCGACTTCCGTCGTGGGGTCAAAAGGGAAAGCCTAAGTTCCAAGTGCTCTTGGAGAAAAGAGATGAGGCCCTTACTAAGTCAATATAATAAATTACTCGGATAGCTGCAAGAAGTTTCTGCCAATACTCTCAATACGAGTCTCGTATCGACTGCAGCAGACTTTGCTGCTCCAGGTCCCTGCTTCAATGGCACTCACTGGAGCCAGCAGCGGTTGGAGGAGGTGGTCGCTCCAAAGGACGTGTGAAAGAAGCAATCAGCAGAGCAGTGTGGGATGTGGCTGGAGTGCGAGATGAGGGCTAGACAAAGGGCAAACAAAGGCTTCCGAAGGGAGCCCCGGGGTGAGATAGTGGGTGGCGTCTCTATCAGCAACTTCCCATGCAGCGTCCTGGCAAAATCACACATAATGCGTCCCCATTTCTCATAAAAATTTCATTACGCTGGCCGTATTGTCTGTCAAGTTTAATACCGGTCCATTTTAGTACATTGTTTAGGTTTGAAGACATATAGAACGAGACCTTTGCGACACAATAAAGTAACTTTATATAGACGTTTGATCTTGCCCAAGTCAACTTTCTTTAGAAAAAATTTCAAAAAGCCGAACGTCTTGACAACCTTCGAAATAATTTTTGAATGGTTATTATATCTTTATTTTTAGATGGAGTTTGGAGCTATCTGAATGCCACTTTTCTAATTCTATAGAATATCATTTATAAGTCTGACCTTTTCCTTATTTTAATTAGAATTTTATGTAATTTTTCACTTTGTTCCTATCTGCTTAAAGAATTCTTGTAGTTAGCTTAGGATTAAAGTGAATGTTTCGTAAGTGGCTGAAATATACGCCTGATTGTTAAAGTAATCTGTTACGTCATTAGGGCACACGACTTATATGAGAAGGCCTCCTCCAAGTAGCGTGCATTAATTTATGTGTTAGCTTTCGGGGTGGGGTGAGGAGGATATAAATAAAAGTACACATGTGGGAGTGTTTCTCCGTGCGAGAGGCAGTCCTGCATGACCTCGTCCCTCTCCTGTTACAGACTCGAGCGAAACGACTTTGTGATTAAAGTCCTCTTACTTACAGAACACAGTCGGAAACAGGAAGCTCCTGATGGCAGAGCAGAGCTGGCCACGACAAGGACGGTATTAACAACAACAACAGGCGGGCACGTTAACAACCAGAAGAGAAGTCGAGGAGGAATAAATGCAAAATAAACAAAAATGTTGCATCGCCCTAAAGGATCAACGTTTGCTTTCAAGGATACTGCAACGTGGAGAGAACCCAATAGTGGTCGCGGGAAACAACTTCGTTTAAATTAAGCGCCGCCAAAGGAGCAACCAGGCATCTTTCAATCTCCTCCTTCGCGTAATGTTTGCGCACCCCTGTCGGCTCCAGCTGGAATCGACCTCTCAGGACTCTGTACCTCCTGCCCCGCCTATTACTGCTCCTCGTACTTGCCATCAGTCAGTGTGGGCAGGTTCATGGAGAGGTCTTCACACTCGGATACCTTACTGGCTCGCAAAGGCGCCCGGGAAACCTTGACTACCAACGCCCTGGCATCACAATCTCCGGAGCCATCTCATTAGCGGTGGAGCAAGTGAACGCCGGTCAACTCCGTGACCGAGGTCACTCGCTGCAATTCGTTGTGGCCGAAACATTTGGCGAGGAAGTGGCCAGCATCCGGCAGACGGCGGCGCTGTGGACCCAGCAGGTGGCCGCCTACATAGGACCCCAGGAGACGTGCGTCCATGAAGGTCGCATGGCGGCCGCCTTCAACCTCCCCATGATATCCTATGTGAGTAGCTGATCCTTGCAGAAATGCGGCATTAATTATTCCATTCCATTAATTCCATCTGCAGTACTGCACCCACCGGGATCCCTCAAACAAGGCAGATTTTCCCACCTTTGCCAGGACCCGACCGCCGGACACGCAGATCTCCAAGTCGGTGGTGGCCCTGCTTTGGCCTTTAACTGGACCAAGTGAGCTTTTTGTACTTGGACGACAGCAGTGGTCAATATCAACCAGTGGCCGAAACGATTCTGAGCACACTAACTGTGGCTGGAGTAAGCGTCAGGGACGTTCGCACCTGGAACACCATTTACCACCACGGATTTATGGCGAACCCTTTGATGACTTAGTGGATCAGACCTATGTCAACACAAGGAGTAAGGAGACTTAAAGTTCCACTGCTTTTGGGTCATTAAATTTCCAACTTATTTCTTTTGCGATCTGGCGGATCGTTTATAGTTATTACTTAAATGCTAGAGCTATCCGCCTTCATTAAACTTGCGTTCAACAGCTTTATTTTTCATAGTTTTTATACCCTCACTAATAATAGTAGCAGTATTTTATAATATCAAATTTTTTAATATTATTTGTGTTCTTTCCGATTAATATATCAATTTGTATTTCAATTTTTTGTTCAATTTCGATGCAGTATTGATATATAGATTATAAGTTATGAACCATAACCATAAAACATCAAATTACCTAACATTTTTGATATCCATCTAGTCTATCTGATCTTGGGACACTACTATGAGCACGTAGGCCTCATGGTAAGTCTCCAAAGGCGGGGACTCCTATCGGAAGGCGATTATTTCGTGGTGGCATCGACATCGAGCAATATGAACCGGCTAAGCCCGAGAAGTACTTGCGTGGACTGCTGCTCGAGGATGTGGAGCCCCTGGCCGTGCAGGCCTTCCAGTCCTATCTGGGAATTGTTCCCACGGCATCCGTCTCCTTGCCATGTTCGCCAACGAGGTATAACAGCTGACACGCCTACAGGGTGGTGATTGATGCGTTGCATCCGCCATCATCCCTGCTCATAAGCTTGGGATCTTTCACCACATTGACCACAGTATCTGACCCATTTCACTGCCGTTCGCTTTCAGGTTAACAAATACATGGAGCGACCGCCATTTAATTTCCCCAATCCACTGAATCTGTTCGGCGGCGTTAAGCAGGTTTGACCACCCCCCACTAGCATGAAACTGAAACCATTCACTGGCCTCGAATCCCTTGTCCTCCCCCAGATAAGCGCCGAGGCGGCCTATCTCTACGATGCCGTGCATCTGTATGCCAAGGCGCTGTTGGAAGTCCTCGATTCGGGCGGCAGGCCGAGGAACGGCAGCGCCATTGTGGCGGCCATCAAGGGCTCGCGCTATCGCAGCGCAATGGGGTGAGTTCTCGTCTCGGCCATCTAATCCGGCCATCACTCTAAACCGAGTCCCTCTCAGCTATCACGTCTACATCGATGAGAATGGCGATGCGGCCGGCAACTACACAGTATTAGCAAGGGGGAAGGTCCGAAATGGACGCAACCAGACGGTGCTGGGACTGCGACCCGTGGGCACCTTCAGCCACAGAAACAGCAGCCTCAGCAGCAGCACCGAGGCTTTGCCCGTAAGTAAAACACGTCTTCATTAGTATGTATATTTGTTTTGTAACTTGCTATGTGCTATTTCCTTCAATTGCAACCGCACAGCCACAGGTAAGCGCTTCTGCCTGGTTCCACTAATCACACACATCTCACTTTCCGCCCTTGGTCTTAATCCGGTTCCTCTCTACTTCTCCGCAGGATCTCAATCTGTTCAGGCCCATTGACTGGGTGGGCGGTACGCGGCCAGCAGCTGCCCCTAGCTGCGGATTTGGCGGCGAGAAGTGCGTCAGTGAGTAAAGAGTTTCGTGTCCAAGTCCAAGTCGCAACCTTTGACCGACTTTTCTAACCTGAACTGCAGATTACACTGGCGAGATTTCGGCGGCCATTGCCGGAGGCGCTCTGCTGTTGCTGGGTTTGGTTCTACTGGTTCTTTACCGCAACTGGCGCTATGAGCAGGAACTCGATAGCTTGCTCTGGAAGATTGACTTCCGCGAGGTGCAAATGCATGAGAATGAGCGGGAGCAGCAGGCTCAGAAGCAAACGCGCGTAAGTCACCCTCCCTTGGCAAACTATAGCTTAATAATGTGTATGAATTAGTATATACAATTTATATACAATGTATTAATTCGGCAAAGATAAGATATAAATTCATAAGATACATAACTTTCAGTTCCAATGTATGCGCGTTTAGATTCTCATTTACTATATTTGTTGTTAATTTGTGAAGTTCAAAATCACAACTTATGGACAGCAATTATTTTTGAATGGAGATAGGAACGCAGCAACTAAACATACATACGTTTTTTCTCTATGCTGCAAGAGTTTATTTCCCTGCTAATCTTTCGGTAACCAAGTCAACCGCTTCTCCCTTTCCATCTGAACCGTTTCTCTCGCCAATGCATGTCTGACATCAGCACTTGCTAAATCATATGCCGCGTCGTCTTCCTTCGCAGTCTACCCACCCCCTGATCCGGACCAGCCAGGTGAGCCTGAGCTCCAACCCAGACGCCGACTTCCGGTACACGACCATCTTCACGCCCATCGGTCTGTACAAGGGCCAGTTGTACGCCATTAAGAAGGTCCGTAAGAAGAGCGTCGACATCACTCGCGAGATGAAGAAGGAGCTGAAGCTAGTAAGTAGGTGAGTTCCGGTGGTGGCCGGAAGTCTCTTAACCCATGAGTTCTTTTCCACAGTTACGCGACGCCCGCCACGACAACGTTTGCGCGTTTATCGGCGCTTGTACGGACCCTCCCAACATTTGCATCATCAGCGAGTACTGCACCCGGGGCAGCCTTAAGGTCAGTCCCTCTGCCAGCCCTTATTTTCCTTCAACCATCCTTTCCATTGCAGGATATTCTGGAGAACGAGGACGTCAAGCTGGACAACATGTTCATTGCCTCCATGGTGGCAGACATTATACGCGTGAGTGCTGTAACATTATACTAATGGCGAACCGACTACTGACCTCCTTCGTCCTTCGAGCAGGGCGTCATCTATTTGCACGAGTCTCCCATTCGCTTCCACGGCGCTTTGTGCACATCCAATTGTCTGGTGGACTCGCGATGGGTGGTCAAGCTGACGGACTTCGGCCTGTTCGCTTTCAAGCAGGGCATTGAGGACAGTTTTACCGATATGCAACACATGTCGGCCAAGTGCCTCAGTAAGTGCCTATTACTGCCCCTTAAAGTGCTCTCCCCGAACGTAATCATTTCGTTTCAGAGCTCCTTTATCGCGCCCCAGAGCTTCTCAGGCAAGGTCCATCCTCTCTCGTCACGGGCACACAGCGCGGGGACGCCTACTCCTTCGGTATTCTCCTGTACGAGATGCACGTACGGCGCGGTCCCTTCGGAGAAACGGGGCTATCTCCCATGCAGTGCTTGCAGAAGGTGCTTCAGCCGCAGGACCAGATGCATCCGTATAGGCCCTCCTTGCAGCCCCTAGAGACGGCCTTCGACTGCGTCAGCGAGTGCCTGCGCGAGTGCTGGGCAGAGCGACCCGAGGATCGGCCAGACTTCAAGACCATTCGGGCCAAACTGCGGCCTCTGCGCAAGGGTATGCGCCCGAACATCTTCGACAACATGATGGCCATGATGGAGAAGTACGCCAATAATCTGGAGGCCCTTGTCGATGACCGAACGGACCAGTTGCAAGAGGAGAAGAAAAAGACGGATGCCCTGCTCCACGAGATGCTGCCGCGCTGTGTGGCCGATCAGCTCAAGAAGGGCCACAAGGTAGACCCCGAGCACTACGAACAGGTTAGCATTTACTTCAGCGACATCGTCGGATTCACGGCCATGTCCGCCGAGTGCACGCCGCTCCAGGTGGTCGACTTTCTGAACGACCTCTACACCTGCTTCGACTCAATAATCGGCCACTATGACGTTTACAAAGTGGAGACCATCGGCGATGCCTACATGGTTGTTTCCGGTCTGCCACTGCGCAACGGTGACCTGCACGCCGCCGAGATAGCCACCATGTCGCTGCACCTGCTAAGCGCCGTCTCCGAGTTTAAAATTCGGCACCGGCCGACTAACCGCTTGCTTCTGCGGATTGGGATACACTCGGGACCAGTGTGCGCTGGAGTTGTTGGCTTGAAAATGCCCCGCTACTGCCTCTTTGGGGACACCGTAAATACGGCCTCGCGCATGGAGTCGAGCGGCGTACCTCTGAAGATACACTGTAGTTGGCAGTGCCGGCAACTCCTGGATCGTCTGGGGGGCTACCACTTTCAGGAGCGTGGCGTAATCTCCATGAAGGGCAAGGGGGAGCAGCGCACCTACTGGCTGCTGGGTGAGGATGAGGAGGCGCGCGACAGGCGCACCTACGAGCGATCCCAGAGACGAGGCTCGAGGGCCCTTAACAAGTTCATCCAGGGTACCATTAAACAGGCCCAGGAAAAGGCTAACGACTACGGTATACGCTCCTCGCTCAAGCAGAAGAATCTCCTGCGCAACTCCCTAGCCCGCTCCTCCAGCCTGGAGTCTCCCAAGAAGTTGCGCTTTGCCGCTGGCAGTCTCCTTGAGCACCATCGCTATCACAGGTTTGCAAGCATTATTATTGTTCGGACTTGCAACGTTTGAAATAAAATCACATTACTTTTTCAGTGACGAAGCTCTGCTCGAGGTTGACTCCTACACGGGCCTCCGGCGCTCCTCGGGGGGATCCACACAATCACGCTACGAAGAGACCACGCTCTCGCTAACCCTGTCCTGTCAAAGTATTGAGGTGCTGGGCGGCCAGCTGAGCAAACGGCGCCCATCCTCGTATCCTACTGCCAACACGCCGCTCTTGATGAACCACGTGGAGGTGTAACACGGGAGTGTCAGTACTTAACCCATTTACAGGGATCCTAGAAATATTTGTGTTCAGTATATTACGCCAAGTATTTAAAAACGCTTTTAGTGTGGTCTGTAGTATATATCAGCAATGTAATTCTAGCAACTGCGCGGCATCAGCATATTGTGAAAGTGATTATAAATCTAGTCATTGTTTAAACACATCCATGCGCTAACCTAAAGCCAATCCATTTAGTCAAAGGCCTGTGTACTCCCAACGGCATTAATAAAGAGGAAAATTAGTAAAGCCAAATAGTGAACACATATGTATATATTCAAGGGCATTTTTATTATGTATGTACTTGATTTTATGCAATTCGACTTTATTTTAATTGTGTCTTGGAGACAGTTGCTTTTGTTATTGTATAGTAATTGTGTTCATTTGACAAACTTAACGATTTCTTTATATATCTTTAGTCTAAAACCGATTTGTGCATTTCTTTAGGCATTATAAATACAGTATTTGATTAGCCGTTCGTCGCAATATGTACTTTTGTATCTCTGAACAATTCTTTTTGTCAAAGCCAGCTTGCAAAAATGTCTAAAATGTCCATAAGATTGTTTTCGATATTCAAGGAATGGTTGTAAATAATTATATATGCTCTTATTCGATAACAATTTTAATTATTTTTCTTTTCTTTTTCTTTTTGTTTATGATAAGCCACAAGCTTTAAAGCACACTTCAATGCGGTTTGTTTAATAGGGTTACAATTTTGTTAATGATTTAATGTAGAAAAGTCCGATGCGTATTGCTTGTCGTGATAGATTCCGATTTTGTGTAAGTGTTCGTATTCGTGGAAAAAAGGGGTGGGAAGTGAGCTAATAAACTTTGTTTATTTATATTTAATTCTACTCAATGCAACAACTCTAAATAACAATCTCAAATCTCATATATGTCAATATTATATCAACTAGGTATGAATGTATAACGCTTTTCTTGGGTCTCGCCCTTTCGGTTTCTTCGCTATCAAAATATTTGCAACAACAATGAATCTAATCAAAAATACGCAATTGTACAATTCTTAGTTATTGTTCGACTGCCTCCGCAATCACTCGCCACTCTGATTCGGGGGCTAGTCCTTCCCAGAGGACCGACAACAAATCTGCTCGTATAAATAAATACGCTATATAATATACAATAAATATGTATATATGTATATGTCGGTACTGTTAAATGCGTCTCTGAAAAATATACTCGCAACATTTGATTATAATTCAGGCTGCACTCGAAGGCGAGTGCCGAGTGCCATTTACATATAAATTGATCAACAACTTTAGATTTAGCCAAAGGTAGCCAAGCCAGCAACGAAGGGTCCGGCAGCCGTGGCTTGTGGCTTCTAACAACAGTAAGCTATTTTACTAGAGGAGCTACTGAATCCCGCGAGGGCGAGTCCTCTTTTTTCCAATTAAGTCTGCTGGTCCAGATTAAGTCCAGCTTAGCAAAAACCATGCTCACATCTTCATCTTGGCTTCTTCACCATGCTGGTGGATCTGTGGGAAAATAATGAATTCATATAAAATAGTTTTTGAAATGTCGAGGATCTTTTATCTTCCAGACCTTCTCACGCCGTGACGTGGACTGGCAGGGGGCGTATTGCAGGGCGAAGGCGGAGCTGAACCTCCAGACGAGCCCCGCGAGGATGATATAGACAGTGTGGAGGCTCTCGGCGCCGAGCACCCCAGGTAGATGGCCGATCCCTTGTCAGCCTCGCGTAGATCGACCCGAGACCCGTGGACGGAGGAAGGAACTGAGCCTAAGGGGGATTAAGAATTGTCATTAAAAACGTCTTTAGATGCGCATCCGACTCTCACCCGTGTAGGCGTGCAGCCCCGCCGGACTGCTCCTTGGGCGTACTCCGAATCCGCTCACCGTGCTGGCACTCCGCTGCAGCTGGGCAGAGCCGTGATCCTCCCGGGCCGAAGACTCCCTTCGACTCCCAGCGCTGCTCACACGGGCATTTCCCGACGCAGAGCCACCAGGCCGGGGAGATCGTTGGTTCTTGCCCTGCTGCTGGTAGCGCTGCTCTTGCTCACGGCGGGCGTCCTCGAAGGCGGCGGCATACTCGGCGGCCTCGCTGGATGTACTGGGTGGCTGGTCAAGGGCGATCTCGTCCTCGGGATGCGATCGCTGCCCACGGAGCGGCGTGCCATGGGCAGGGGCGAGTGCTTGGGCGATGTAGGGCAGGACTGGGCGGCCACGCTGCTCACGCTGAGGCTGCTGGACGAAGCGTTGGTGTTGGAGGACTGGGCACGCAGACGCGAGTGGGTCGATGCGCTGGAGGGACGGCGTCGGAACAAGCCCTTGCTGGGGTCCATGTTGCAGACGCCTGCAACATAGAAAGCAAATCAAAGAGAAAGATTTAAGCGCTTGTGGGTCTCATTGCAGTTTTATTAACTAACTAGTCTCTAACTAAGTTTTCTTTGGGCTGGATTTGGCATGACGTCGTTTGTTCAGTCTCTGAGAATTTCGTGGCGGAGGCGAGAGGTCATGGTCAAAGCCAACCGAGTCCTCCGATTCCGAATCAATGTTGTTAACGAACCGGCCCTTGTTCCTGGCTCCGTCGTAGTATCGCACATTTGACATCAAATCCTCGCCAGAACTGCTGCTCAACGCGTCGTTCTGATCTTTTGCTGCCGAATTAAAGGCGTTCTCCTTCCACTTCTCCGTCGCAAAGCTCAGCGTATACGCCACGCTCCTCTTGACCGAACCCAATGGATCCTCTTTGCCCTCGTCTTCTCCCTCCCCATTCCTGTCAAACACCACTTGCGCACCTGTGGGACACTTCTCGCCGCGGGAACAGTTGCCCTCACAAATGTCACGATTCTGCAGAAGCTCCTGGTAGTTGTCCAGCGCCGTGGCGACTTTCGTCCGGTCAAGCTGCTCCAGAGCCGACGAGGGGAAGCGCTCCCGCAGCCGACGACGCTCCTCGGACAGCTTGAATTGCTCAAACTCCTGCAGCTGGTTCTGGAATCCTGTGTTGGGATTGGCCACTGCGCGACCGGCCCGCACCACCTTAAGGGCCTCCTTCCAGTTAAGGTGCGTGGCGGTCATAATGTAGGCGACGGCCACGGTCACTGAGCGCGACATGCCCGCCAGGCAATGGATGAGCACGTTGCCCTCGCGCAGGCGAGCGGCATGAATGAAGTCGTTGCAGACGGAGAAGTACTGGGAAAGATTCTGGTCCGGGGTGTCCGAGGCCATCACGCACAGGTAGTGCTTGTCCTGTTAGGGATCAGGTGAAAAATGCATTAATACATTGGTTAGCACACTGCGAAGAAGCATATCTTACCGGCAACAGACGTCTCGGACTGTCATGTATGGCGATGATGTGCGAGATATTGAACCTCTCCAGTTGTGTGTGATCCTTTGAGTCGCGGTAGTTGCCCACGTATAGTCCCGGCAAGACCTGAAGCAAAACGAGAGGGATAACATTAAGTCTACTTTTCAGGCTCCGAGGTTACCTCGCCCATGTGCCAGTTCATTTTGGGGCGATCATCGATATATGTGTGTATCTCTGAATTTGAGTGCTGTTTATAGGCTGGTGAAAGTATTGACATTGCATGTTATTTAGTTTCAGTTGCCGTGACAACAATCGGACCAGATAAATATGGTGGTACCAGAGTAAAGAAACTCTGGCAAAACTTTCACAGTACGGGGATGGCATTGGATTTTAAATCAATCGTAAAGCCTTAAAGTATGCAATGAAATATATAAATATATTGTCAGATAATGAATAAAGTTTTATTATTGTACCCTTGCAGAGTATTATAATTTCAGTCAGAAGTTTGCAACGCAGTGAAGGAGGCACCTCCGACCATATAAAGTATATATATTCTTGATCAGCATCAACAGCTTTGTCGATCTAGTCATGTCCGTCTGTCCGTCTGTCCTTCTGTCCGTCTGTCTGTTTCTACGCAACCTAGTCTCTCAGTTTCGAAGCTATCTTAATGAAACTTTGTAGTTTGTAGTTTGTACTCTCAATCGCATATATGTCGGAACAGGCCGGATCGGACGACTATATCATATAGCTGCCATAGGAATGATCGGAAAATTTGTACAAAAAAAATTATAACTTTTTTAATGTTTAACTTATTTTTATTAATGCTAGAAATAGCCATTTTATATGAATTTACAATTTTGTGTAAAATTTTATGAAAATCGGACTACTATATCATATAGCTGGCATAGCAGCGATCGAGAAATTTATACCATAACAAATTATAACTTTTCCACTTTTCGACAGATTTTCATTAAATTTGAGAAATAGTTCTTTTCTATAATTCTATAATTTCGATTTTAGTTTAGTTTATAAAAGTCGGACTACTATATCAGATAGCTGCCATACCAACGATCGTTAGATAAAGAGGAAAATGCAAAATGTTTAATGTAAGACTGTAAATATAATATCTAAAGGTGAATGAATTGAAAGCAGGCATTACTTCATGGTTTTTTAACATAAATATATATAATTTATTTTGTATTTATTCCTAGTCATCGAAGTTCTATCTGCAAGGGTATATAGACTTCGGCGTGCCAAAGTAAGCTTCCTTTCTTTTGTATTTGAGTTTGTTTTTCTCATAAGCGGAGTAGTGTGGATTAAATTTATTAATATTAATAACAAATAGGGATCCAATCCAATCTGCCGGATACCTAACGACTCTATCTGAGCCATAGAACCAACCTCTTATGGGGTAGAACGTCCTATCAACAGTAGGGTTATTAAAATAATCCTTAATAAAAACTAAACTCCATTCCTTTTGCACAAATGTTAAAAAACTCGCAAACAGATTTAATTAGTTTACAAGCTTAAACAATATCACTCTTGTACTAATAAAAGTAAAAGGAATTGGTGGTTTAGACTTATGAGGTAGTGCTGTTGGGTGTTGAGTTTATGTTATTGATAAATCTGGCTCTTACCTTGTTCATGCCATTCCCCATGTTTCTTCATTTAAAGGTTGGGCTCGGTTACTCAATTGTCAAACGAATCGGCCTGAAACGGTGCTGCAACGAGAGGGAAGGAAAGGAAGAGAATCCTTTTATTTGACAAGTTCAGGTCGGAAATGCATACGAAGGCCAGAGGGAAATGGAAATGTGAGGGGACGCCCAAATGCATTTGTTGTGGGCCCTGGTGAAAGTGCAAATGCAAGAGGCAAGTTGTTGCCACGGCCATGGCCGCCACTTCGCCGCAGCCGAGACATAATGGATGTCTTTGTCGCCACCTCCGTCGCGGAAGTAAGCCGGCCTTGACGTGGCCCAGCTGCATCTCATTAGTGGGACAGACAGACAGACAGACAGGCAGACAAATAGTCGGGGAATGTCCTGGTATTGGGATTTGGATTAGCTTTAGGCCGAAATGCCAGAGGCCAGCACCTGGCGTGCTTGTTTGGCCCCCAAAAGTAGGCAAGGCCAGCGGAGCCCCGACTAGAGTCGAGCTGGGTCCTTGCAACAGTTGGTTAAGCTCGCTCTCCATTATGGTTCAGGACAAAGGCGAGGGCCTCGCCCCAAAGCCACGACGTGGGCATCGAGCCCGGCCCCCTCCCATTGGCTCACTTGGAATCCGCCACATTTGCATAAGTGTCTCGCGTTGAGGCACTGAGGAGAGTGTTGCCTTGTTGTAATTTCATTCCCGGCACGTTGTCGTCGGGCCACGGCCATTAGATTGACTGACACACTTGAGCAGCAGGAGCAGATAAGGCACGTGTGCTCCGCAGGCAGGAGAGCTGTCATTTACCAGTCAGCTTGTCTTGGCCAAGTAATGAACGCCCCACCACCCCGCTTCCGGGCCGGCAAAATTACGAAATGGGAGCAGTCAATCCATCGCCTTATCCTCTCCACATTCTATCGGAGGTATCGGAGGCAATTGATCAGCCCAAATGACTGCTTGGCAGCCTTTGGACAGCGGCGACATGGACTTCAAGTGCATCCAATCAGCATCACAGTGCCTATAAATAGTCTGCGCCAACTGCCGGTCGCCATTCGATTGAATAGAGCACCAGTGACACCAGGCTCGCCCCTGCATGCCACCGCGTTCCCACCCACGCTTTCGCCCAGATGCAGCACGCTGGACACTGTGCATATTGGGATTAGCGGAGAAAATTGCTGGAAAATCGCAAGCTGGAACCGTCTCGCTTGTGCGCGCAGGACGGACGTCCCTGTGTCCGGCGGAGCGTGTGTTGGTTCAGCCAGTGGTCAAATATTTGGGGGCCATGATTGAAAAACATTTTTCCATTCAATTCATGACCGACTCCTAATGAAATCGCATTGTGGCCTACCGTCCCCCTCTTCCGTCCTGCATTTCCGGGCCACTTGCCAAGGCGATTTTTCCTAAGCTCGGAAGCAAAACACAAAAAAAAGTGGCGCGGGCAGTTAGCAAGGAAATGTATGGAAAACTTTAATCAAATTAAATCATTTCCCGCTCTTTTCTCTTTTCCCAGTGTTGCCCGGCGGGACCTGCCTTTGCTGCCAAGTTTTTCACTTTGCGCTTTCCCCAAATGGCGAGTTTTTCGAATACTTTTTTACTATCATTTCCCATCAATCGGCTTATAATTCGGGCTTTTTCCGCTCTCAATGTCATTCGAAACGGGGCAAGTACGTATGTAGTGTGTGCATATAAATTAGCCGTTGTCGGCCCCTTCGTCCTTGCCCCTAGCCCAATTCGTGTTCCGCCCCCTACGGTGGCAGTCAATTATATCGTTTAGACATTCAACATGAGCAATAAAATACATGCAAGCGGCACCAGAAGCCGCGCCTTCCACGCCAGGATATGCCTGGCCTGATGACGCTTTATGGCTCCATCACTTCCCGCGGTGAGTCAATGGTGGAACGGAGGGAAGCGATATGTGGATAGTACGTGGTAAAAAGAGACACTACTCGACTCTAGCGCCAGCCAAGTGGAGTCCTTCGCTGCGGAGTTTCGTCTCAGGGCTTAAACAGGACATGCTCAGCGAATCCTATACAAATATTGTATGTATTGTACATATACAGTAGATATCTGACTTAGTTGGTTGGTTAAAACTCCCTGATAGCTATCCGACCGGAATAAGTGATCACGAGATAAAGTTATCGTAAAAATATCGAATTTCTGGCCTTCTTGTAGTTTATCTTCAAACTGCCGGATACATTTGGCTATTTACCATATTTTTAGAAAGCACTTTCCTGTTAGATGAGAAACCGGCCTTAACATATGTATGTTTTACTCCTACCTTTGATAACATAATGAACATTCTATTGTGTCTTTACAAGAAAGGAACTTGCTCATTTAATTTAAACTCAGGTTTCTAAACAATAGGTGGATAATATATTCAATATAATAATGTAAAAGTATTATTAAATTGATGTAAATATGACTTAGTGGTAGATATCAGAGGTACCAAAACTTTTAGGTGATCAAATACTTTGCAAAGATAAAATCAAAAATATAATAAATACAATAATATTATAATATAATTATCTAGCCTAATAACTGTCTTCTTGTTCATTTGACATGATAAGATCGTCAAGAACTTAAAGGATATCGAGCTATGATGAAATGCTATTTGTGTAATATATAAAGCATTGACTTTCTATATCTTTTATCAATTTATGAGTAATAAAATTCCCTGTTTTTTCTCAATTTATTTTAGCTGTTCAAAGTTATATATAGCCGATAGCTTCTATATGCACATACAAGCGATAATTTGTGTTTCATTTTCTGCCTGGCAGGCAGTTTTAAATAAATTCAAGGGTGTCCCTTCGCTCCCGAAAACTGAGGCATAGCTTGGAGGAGATGTGCGTTGTCATGATTGCCACTTTGAGGGGATAGGGAACCCGAGCCGAGAAAATAGCGCCGCTTTGTCTGCGGAAATGTCAAAGGACAGGGGGCAAAAAACCGTGGAGATGGGCCGGGATTCAGAAGCCGACCAAGCAAAACTTTCTCTCCGGAGGACACGTGCTGCCATAAAATGCTTTATTAACATGTATAGGAGCTCAAGACAGAAGTCTGAAAAGATGTTTGGTTGGTCGGTTGATTTCATAAGCTTCCAGGATTTCATTGCTCGGGGCAAACATTGGACCCGCTCCTAAACAAACTCACAACAAATACCAGCAACTATTCCGAGCTGGCCACTGGCTATCTTGCCATCCAGCCTGGCTATCCCCCGGAACCCCCTTTCGGCACCGGCTCCGGCACCCTTTTTTGCCGCCAGTCATGACAGAGACAAAGTGTTGCAATCGCCGAGGCAATAAAACTGAAATTGGATCGCCTGGCATCACCTACCCCATGATGGCGCACATAATCTGAGCCAGGCGGGGGACATTAGCCTCGATTTCCCAATGCATCCTTCTTCCGAGTACGACTTTCCCCGGAACCTGTTCCGGCCAGGTCGCAGCTAATTAGCCGCTGCATTCATGACGAAGCCGTGTGCCACAGAACGCAGAAATTTGACAATCCGAGCGTAATGAACCACACTCGACCAGGAAACTTTCCGTGGCTGACAAAACTCAATTTAAATAAATAATTAGGCAGGCGGAGGAGGATGAGGTGCATGACTCAGAATATTAATTTCGTTTTACATATGCAATGAGAGCGGCGGAAAAAGGTCTGCCATGTTTTTAGTGTGCAACAAGGGAAATTAAAACGAATGGGACATTCGAATTGATGGCTGTCACTGAAATTAGACAAGAATGGGAAAGTGTTTATAGTTATTATATTATAATAACTAACACTGAGACGCTTATTGTCTTCATATATGTATGTATTTCAAGTCACTTTAATTTCTTACCTTTGAACTTGGTAGGTTAGTAGTGCTAAGGTAGATTTTCCCTCACAACAATTTGTGTTTTTTATATTGTTCGGGATTTAAGCAATAATAATAATAAATAATAAAAGAAAGAACCAGATAGGAAAAAACAGGAACAACCACCTTTACTCAAAATGTGCAAGCTTATGATATTCATGTGCGACGAAAAAGACACATGATTTGTTGTTAAAAACTTGAAACCTCGTTCAATATTTTTAGCATTCTCTCTAACTAGAAATTTGTGTGGAATTGATTGTGTTAAGTCCTCGGATGTCTAGCTGGAGCTTGAAAAATATAATTACAGAAAGAGCCGTGGACCTGACAGAATGGAGCTGGAGAATGGACCTTTGTCATGAAGCTCACACTCAGAAAATGTTACATTAAAACGATTTGGAAAGTAAGATGCTAATAATTTTGTTATTCTCGCATTTAGGACCCATAGTTTCTGAAAAAAGGCTATATTTTTGGATTGTTCTTTATCTTAAAGCCCTTGAATTAATATTCTCTTCCATGTTAGTTTTAAGGATAAAGATTTATGCCGCACTTGGCATGAGCAGTCACGGAGCTGGGTCTGCTGTCAGAGTTGGCCGCAGTCACGTTTCAGAGCACTTTCACACCAATTCGGCTTTGAGGGCCGGCTGACAGACCACGACCTGGCCCGTGGCGCACATTACCCATACGCCCCGTACGCCCCATACGACCAATGGCCCCCGATTTACACGGAAAACACTTACGGTCTCTTCAAACGGAAAGGAGATTTTTGGTGGTCTAACCGCTAATTCCCAAGTTGCGTGCTAGAACCGACAAAAAATATATCTACATATATATTCGAAAGAGCCGAAAATTGCGCCGTATACGAGTGTAATTTTCAAGACATTTGCGTTTACTGGGAAATCCGGCGAGGGTCAGTCACCTAGTCCCAGTCCTCGAGGCATTGTGGAACCGTAAAGGGAATCACTCAACTTACATTAACTTCGTCGCTTGTGTCTCCTTTGCCCGCCTCCCGGTCAATGGTCAGTGGAGTCGCGACACGGGGCACCGACGACTCCCACTTCAACTTTCACTTCGATGGTGCCACACACAGAGAGCGATAGAGAGAGAGAGAGAGTGCTTGAGGAACAGAGCAGGTGGGTGGCAACTCCGGTTATATCACGGCACCACAGAGCCCCCTTTTAGCGGCGGCCGCAAACGCGAAATTTGGATTCGTTCCCCCTTGCCGCGGCGTCGTTCCGCTACCCGTTTTCTTTCAGTGTGAATACAAAACCGAACTGTGTGACAGTTAAACTGTCGCTGGCTACGGCCTGGCCATTTTTGCGTGCCGTATCGAAGGGCCGAGCAGAGCTCGTTGGAGGGGATCGGGGGCAGGGCGGCAAAGGTACCGAATTAGTAGCGATGGCGGAACAGGGAACTGGGAAAGCCTGGCCGCAAGGAACGCAGCAGTGAAAAGTGTGAAGGAAAGTTAAAACGAGCTGCAGCCGCCGCGAGAGTTGAGTGTCCTGGAGACGGGCGCCAAACAAATCGGCTCGAGCGTTGGTCACAGACTGAGCACGGCTCCCGCTGAGCACGGCCACGAAAGGACTCGCCAGGACTCGGAGTCGGAACTGAGCGGCAGCGATGGCCGCGGGCATGAATGGGAATGCGCCGAGTCTGCGCAGTGTCTGGGCGCCAAAATTAAAACTCACTCAAAGCACAGCGCGGTACGAGAGCTGCGAGAGTAACTCGCTTACAAAGGAGCTGCGAGAGAGTGCGTAAAAACCTTTGATTCAGTTATATAATGGAAGGGGCGAATGGCAAGGTTTTTGTGAGTGGTGTGGCACCTGGCGGTGGGCAATTAACGCTCAAATAACAATAATCAACGTATTGCCCCAAAATCCATAACCACCGATTGCTGAGACGGTTAATCGAGCCGATGTTGGGCAGTGGCACTAATATATTTACTACTCACAGAGATTATCGCTCAGTAGGGGACAGAGGGAATAACAATTGTAATATCCTGCCGCTTTCGAAATACCCTTACAAAAGGTTTGCAGTATAGTGAAGCAGTTATTTCAGACCCTAAATGGTATATATACTTACAATTTTCTGATCAGCAATCGAGTAGATCTAGCCATATGATCTTATGGCAATGAGAGCTTTTAGTTATTTATTTGAATACTTATTTTTATTTATATTTAAATTGAATTCGTCCGATAAGTACGTGCATTTCGTGGATACGTTTTTAATATGAATTTGTTTGCGTATAAACTGACATGTCTATATCCACTCGGCTTTTGAAGCTAATTAAGAATACAAATATTTTACATTTTACATTTTTATTGCATCGATAAGGTTAGGGTTTTTGAAATTTTGTTTGTTTTTTTTTTCATTATGTTTTTTAAATGTTATATTTAAAATTTAATTTTACAAGTTTTAATTTTAATTAATAGGGAACTTTAAAAACCTCCGAAATCCTTAAATGCCATGTTTTTGTGATATTATATTATATTATGATATTACATATTCTGATATGAAATAATAGGCTTTTGTTTTCAATTAATTTGTTGAATGCATTAATGGTTAATGGATATTACTTGTAGTTACTTAAGGGGTTAGACAGCCGTGAAATAAAAAAAAAAAATCGTTTATTTGTACATAATATTCTTGCGGTCATTTTGCTCCCATTTGCTCAAAAAATTTTCTCTTCAAAAACGGCAACGTCATGATATACCTGTATTTATATAGTTTAACAAAAATGTAGCTTTCGGGTTTCGAATAAAAATTGTGCTGTCCAGCATGTGCAACATGGGACCGTTCGCTAAGAAAAGTGTCTTATTAGACTGTCATATCTTCGCCATTCGGAATATTTAAATTCCTCCAATACATAATTATTTTCTAGTTAGCATATGTACATTGATATTCCAATTAATAAAAATTTATTTTTAATAGCTTTGGCAAAATTCATTTCATTTCATTTATTTCTGTAAAATACTGTGTTTAAACTTTTTAGCTATCTTTTCTGATTAAGACGAATTTTCGATTTGGTTTCCTTTTAAATTGCTGAGCGAAATAAGCTTTGAGCCACTGTATATGCACTATATATACACTTGATGGGATCGGAAACGACTCTATTCAGTGCTTCACATATTTCTGACTAATATAATACCTGGCAAGTGTATGAAAAAGGGAAATATATACATATTACGAAGTTTTTATACTCTACAAGAAATTATTACTCTACATAAACACAATAAATTTAAATTGAACCAATTGGTATACAAACACACATACATACATGTCTGTTTTATGGATGCTGATCAGAAATGTCGAGTGTAGAAGATCATGTTTAAAATAAATATATATTTATACATGTACATGGACATTTAAAGATGTAGATGGTTTATGACACATGTACATACATATAAATGTATATTAAAATATATAGATTGTTAATCTAGACCCCAAAATTTGCTTTTAATCGAATGACTCATATCATAAAAAGGTACATACATACATAGGTACATTTAAACGTCAATATGTATGTATGGACGGATGTAAGGCGAACAGCTGGCCAAACAACTGGCGTTAATCAGCTGATTGGTGGGCGAGAATGGGTGGCTATCGAAGACTTTCTGTCGCTGGCGGGGTGCACATGGTGTATTGCAAAACCTGGATCATTAGTCACTGATCGATTGATTTCGCTCGTTAGTGGGCGACGACAACTGTTTACTGCCTCTGCTTTTGTTTCTCGTATCGCTCTTTTTTCATATTGCACTTTGGCGGCAATGACGATGAAGATACATATGCATATACGTGTGTAGATACATCTGTACATCAGTACGTGTACACACGAGAATATGTGTGCTTGGCGAACATGTAGGCGGCCCGACAGGCTTACGGTTCTAGAAGCCATGCGAATGCCGCCGAGGAATGCGTCTCAGAGAGCCGCTCTCGGCCAACTTTCTAGCCCCAATAGCCACAATCGTCTATTTATAAGTCTGATGTGTGTGTATCTTTGCAATGATCGGAGCACACAGAGAGCGGCAACTGGAGCGCCGTTCCGATCGGGAGAGCGCGGAGCGAGGCCCTGGGCCCGAGACCCGTGAGACAGTGTGGAATATTTACCAATTAAGGCCTTAAGGAAGCCAAGCAAAGCTTACACGGGCACAGGCACAAGTGCACGCACACTTGGCCACACTGGCCCGACATGTCCAATGAGAGAGCGGCCAGAAAGCAGCGCTGAGAGCGCCACATTGCGGCTGACGGAGGCTAACGCCAAAGGCGAATGGCGAATGGCGAATGGAGACGGTGGCGCTCAGTCGACGAACAACTTTGGCAGCGTAAAGACGCCGTGGACGCAATTGCCGTGGATGTGGCAAATAACTGCGAAGAGCAACAAATCATAGTGTGTGCGCCAGTGTGTGTGTGTGTGTGCGTGTGTGTGGGTCGACGGCAATGTGCATAAATAAAAAATCTATATATATTTTTTAAATTGAATTTAGAAAAGCGAACGCACACACACTAGAGAGAAAGAGAGAGAGCGAGAGCGCGCGGCAAAAGCTTGCAGCGGAAATACTGAAAAGCAAAGTGGAAGTAAAAAAGTGCCTGTGTCTGTGTGCGGCCGCTAGAAAGTGTGGCCAAAAGTGACATCACACTCCGGGGCAGCAGAGCTGCGATAGCAGGAGCACCAGGAGCACATCAGCGAGAAATCGCGCGCCGCCTCGCGGAACATACCAGAACGAGAACAAGTCGCACGCGTCGTCGCTCAAGGTGAGCCCGCGCAACCGCACACCATCCCGCTCCCCCGCTTACTAGCCACCGACGCGTCCCGTCCAAAAATTAATCTCAACAACTGGCACGACAAATAGTCGCCGACGAAAAGTCAGAGCCAAGTATCAAACGAAGGAAAGAAATAAATAAAACAAATTCTCGATACGCAGCGAGGTGCGTTGTTGAAACGATTCGGTAGCGGACGAGGAACGGCAGAAGCAGCGAGATGAAGCCCACTGTGATGACACCCAACCAGGCCCAAAGCAACGCCGGCGCCAACGGGGCCCCTGGTGGAGGCGCCGGATCAGGTGTCAACATACCCATCAACCGGGAGTACGCCGGGGGCGCCTACGGATCGCCCCAGCAGCAGGCGGCGCATCAGCAGCACCCCCAGTTCCACAGTCCCCAGGCGACGTACGGATCGCCCAGGCAGCAGTTCCAGCAGGTTCCCCCCAGCCAGCAGCAGCAGCACTTTCAGGTGAGTAGCCGTTGGCTATGGGGCCAGGGGAGTGAGAGAGCTACAAGGTTGGCGCCCGGCAAGGTCGTCTCTTCCAGATTCGGCCCCAACCTCGACCTCGATCGCATGTTCAAGTCATTATTTTCGTAGCTCGCTGTAGAAGCGGAAATTCCCACAGTGGAGCTTCTCCAAAGGGGACACTTTCAAGGAAATTGCCTGTTTCCCCTTCAAATTGTTTGCTTGAAAGTAAAGTAAAGGCATACGCTATTCCCCTTATTTGTATAACATTCAATTAACTGAAAAATATAAATAATGTTTAAAATGTAGTTAAAACAAGAAGAAAGCTAACTTCGGCACGCCGAAGTTTATATACCCTTGCAGATAGAACTTCTATGAATAGGAATCCATACAATATAAATTATATATATTTGTGTTAAAAAACAATGAAGTAATAGCTGCTTTCATTTCATTCACCTATATATATTATATTTGCAGTTTTACATACACAGATTTGCATTTTTCCTCTACATCAAACGATCGTTTGTATGGCACCTATAAGATATAGTCGTCCGATTTTCATAAAATTTACCACAAAATTTAAGATTAATATAAAATAGCTATACCTTAAATTTGATGAAAATCAGTTGAAAACTGAAAAAGTTAAAAAATTTTTTTTTTAAATTTTACGATCATTCCTATGGCAGCTATATGATCCGATCCGATCCGATCCGGCCCGTTCCGACATATATACGAGTGAGAGTATATAGAAGGCTAACTACAAAGTTTCATTCAGATAGCTTCAAAACTGAGAGACTAGTTTGCGTAGAAACGGACAGACGGACAGACGGACAGAAGGACAGACGGACAGACGGACAGACGGACAGACGGACATGGCTAGATCGACTCGGCTGTTGATCCTGATCAAGAATATATGTATATACTTTATATAGTCGGAGGTGCCTCCTTCACTGCGTTGCAAACTTCTGACTGAAATTATAATACCCTACAAGGGTATAAAGATTGTTCAAGGTGGAATTTTAAAATTCTAAAAGCGGTCCATAATCAGAAGTTTCAAAATCCTCATAAGTTGTATTGATACATATCGTAAATATTTAAAAAATTATTTGCGAATAGTGTATACTTAAGGTGTAAGAAAAAATACATCAAAAAGCTATCAGAATCTTTTGATACCCATTGAAATGGGAAACTCTTTGTTGTTCAATTTCGATTCAGCAATTCTTCCTTTTATGTACGTTGAATTCGCTGCGACACTGAGCACAATATCTACAAAGATTCTAGAATATTCTAGGATATGTATATGTACATATATGTATGGCTGGTGATAATAAATAAATAGAAGAAAGCATCATTAAACGAGGCTAAATATATGGGAGGCGTTGCGTAAATAATTTGATTTACTTAAAATCTGAAAAGCAGTTGCTGTCAGTCTTTGTTGAAGGGAACTCTGAGTTGTTTCCCTCTCTCAGACTGGCCAACGTTGCGTATGATTAATGCCGCAACACTTGCGGAATTTTACCAGAGTCAAGAAGTACAGCTGTTTTTGGGGGCCTAATCTAATAGCCAGCAATCCAAATCTATAAAGAACAAATGCTTGAAAATATTTAAAAATTTCTAGAAGAAAACACACAAGTGGCGCGTTGCTCTGGCCGTCGTTCTCTTTCCTCTTTTTTGGCGTCGAGTCTCTCTCAGTCTCTGTAGCTCTTGAGTTGTTGACTAAGTTCTGTGTACGACTGCGATTTCCACTGTATGTGGGCTCCGTACAGTAATATATATATGTATGTACATATGTGATGTTGATGTTTATGTGTGTGCACATCTCTGAGTTGTCTAATAGGAATCGTAGGCGGTTTTCTGTTGCTCAACTTTTGGCCAACCCATGCGGGGGCCAACGCGATGCGTCGATGACGTTGACGTTACTAAAAACGTAATCCGCAAAAGCTTTTACAGTGGGATGGTTAAGCAGAGCCAATTATAGTGCATGAGAAAATTGAATTCGCTTAATTTCATGGTAATTAGTTCCACTGAATGTAGTTTACCAAGACTGACATCCTATTTTTATACTGTTTATATAGAGTCCTAGTTTTTACAAAGCCTTTTTAATCGACCATAAAATGGTTATCATAATGACAAGCTCTTTCAAAATAATTTGTTTGCTCCCCACCATAATGCGGATTCCCAGAAATCGTAGGCTTCTCACCCCATACCCAATGCCCTTTCATGGCAGACTCCAAGAGAGACTTGAGGAAAACACAGACTCGGAGAGAGAAACTGCGAGAAGCAGCCAGAACGTGCCAGCGGGTCCGGGAGTGGGCGACAGCCGCCTTAAAAGACCTTCTGCGCCGGCTGCTCGCCTCATTCGCAGCCAAACAATCGAACAAAGTGCGTCACATCACCGAGCGGATATCGCTAACTGAGAGCCAGACAAGGCTGACTGACCGCAAAACTACGAGTAGCAAAATAATCGCCAAGCAGCAGTGCTCATTGATAAAATAAACAAATAAAGTCAGGTCCGAGTGCTTGTCGAAGAGACAGGAAGGTAGGCTCGCTGCTCCACTCCCTCCGCCATCGTTCCCCAACAGCTGTTCATTCACTTCGCATTGACATCACTCGCCATTGAGCTAGTTGTTGTCTTTTGCCCACACAAACATACTGCCTGGGGCTCTGAGTCACCTGTTATTTATAAACAATTCGCCCACTTTGCCAAACAATTTGCACTTTACCTACCCTTCCTTACTACCGTTCTCATAAAGCACGCTCTCTCTCCTCTCTCTGTGATTGCAGCCGACCTTTGGATTCGAACCGGACATGGACATGGATAATATGTTTCCACGCTCCCACCTGGGCAGGATGCATGACCCCTTCGCGGGCTTCGGCGACTCACGTAAGAGGAGCAGTTTGCATGGTCCCAATGCCCAAGCTCATGCTGACGATGCCTTTCAATCCTATTTCGACGACGCAGACTTCGGTTTTCCCAGGTTCTCGACGATGGGACGGCGTGGACGCATGGCCGGCGGCGGCAACAATCACATGGAGCACGACGACGACTTTTTCAACAGGCTGCCATCGGAGTTCCGCCAGTATATTCCTGACGGATTTGGGGCTAGACGTGGGGCCGCTCCCGGGGCCAGTCATGTTGCCCAACATCCGCCGCCGCAGCAGCACCAGCCGCATCCTCAACAGTCATACGCCGCATACGATGTGCCGCCGCAGCACATGTCGCAGCAGGGATTCGGTGTATCCCCACAGCAACAAGTGCCGCAGTCGCCCTCTAAGCGGCTCTGTGACGCTGCCATCCAGACGGAGGACCCTGCTGGGCGATCGGAGGTGGACTGCGCCCCGTCAGCTAACTTGAGCCAACATGGACTACGCAACACAGTCGACATGGGCGTTAAAAGCGCCACTGAGCAAGACATGGGCCTGAGGGCGCACTCCGCCCCACCACCAGAGCAGCAGCAACAGAACCTGCAGTACCAGCAGCAGCAGCAGCAACATCAGCGTGCTATGCCTCCACCCGGAGGTCAGCAGCAGCAATTCGGTACCCAGACCAGTCCCCCAGTTCAGGGTCAACAGTATCCGGGGCAAAGGCAGCCGCAGCCGCCACTCAAGTCGTACTATGCACCCCAACAGCAGACACATCCCCAACAGAAGCAGCCGACTCCACCGCCAGCCCCACAGACTCCTGGCGGCACAAATGTGCGAACTATTCCCATCTTCGTAGAAGGTCGCACCGAGCCCATTATCAACGCCCACAAGGAGATCCCCACACAAAATGCCCCTCCCAGCGCCCAGGAGAGTGCTGAGGCACACGCGCAGGCCCAGTCTCACTTTGCGCAACAACAGCGGCCCACGCCACTTAATACTCAGCAGCCGTACCTCGATCAGGAGATGCCAGGAGGAGTTGCTGCTGAGGGAGCAGCTGGTTTGCCGCCGCAAACACCACACACCCTCGACTCCATCAATAAGATCCAGGACATTCAGCGCGATGTGCTGGAGTTGATGGGCAAGGTGGAGCAGTTCAAGGGCACCCGTCAGGACAAGGAATACGTCTACTTGGACGAGATGCTGACGCGCAACCTGCTCAAGCTGGACACCATCGACACGAACGGAAAGGATAGCATTCGCCTAGCTAGAAAAGAAGCCATCAAGTAAGATCCCCCACGACGAGGGTAAATATTTGTTGACTAACTCACTTTTTCATTTCAGATGCATTCAGGCGTCGATTAATGTGCTGGAAGCCAAGGCCGAGGAAAATGCACGAGCAGCGTCGGGGGCAGCAGCTCCAACCTCCACCGCAGAAGAGCCGGTGAAGATGGATGCAGTTGCTGTCTCAGACTCTGCGGTGCAAGGTGCAGAGCCAGTGACCCCACAGCCACAGGATGCTACGAAGATCCAGGAGCCTATCCCCCTGCCGCCGCCACCAAACGCTGCAGTGCCAGAGACCAGTGGAGCAGCAGGTCCCGAAGCGGTCCCTGAAGAGCAGCACGCCGCTAGCCAGAATGTCGCCCAAACCGGGACGACTACAACGACGTCGGAATGATGAACACAGCGCCTCTACAAAGCAACCGTTTCGAAGCAGCTACGAAAATTAACCAAATTTAAGTGACAGGAAGGCGATCGGAGACGACTCAATTGGGACACATTTAAGGACAGCGCCAGACTTGATTTGACAGAAATCGAAGATAATCCGGTTAAAAGGAGAGCTAGCGATGTACGTCCTTGCTAGAAATTGTTAGCAGGATTCAGACGCGACAAACTCGTACTATGTAAGCATGCAAATCTCATGTGACAGCATCATTGAGTGTGACAAACACTCATCCCACTCATCCTCAGGCGTCATGCACCCCATATGTAGATTAGGCTAGTAAGGAAATTGATATTGAGAAAAGTGCCTGTATAAACGTAATTCGGAAGTTAACATAACGATTTTGTTGTATTTCGTATGCCCTACATACATTTTAAAGAGCTGATTATGATTAAGCTATAGATCACCATGATGATAATTTTGAAGCCGAGTCCAGTTTTTATACGTATTTTGTGTCAGACAGCCCCCCTACGGACAGCAAGTGGTCGTATGATCTCATACAAATCTACAGCAATTGTGATTGGTTGCTACCGCCACTTACACCCAAAAACCACACCAACATCACCATCAACAGGGCACCACTTACGGCTTTGCTGCAGCTAAATTGTTAAACAAAAGAAACAAAAAAAAAAAAAAACACTTGTGAAACAACTAAGATTAAACTATTTATGCTACTAATTAATGCGAGAATAAATGTAGATATTGTTGACCAAACTTTTTATTGTTGCACAATTACCAAAATTTATTATCGAAAGGTTTTATAATTCTCATCGATATTAAAATTACAATTACAATATGTATACAAAAAGCCCCGGGATCTGGGATGGAGCGCATCTTAAATACTGACTGAGTGGCGAAACTCTATATAATAGATATCTTAAGAACATTTTAAAAGGACGCAACACGGCTTCTGCAATCAAAGCCAAAACAATGATATAGTATGTATGTATACACAAATATGGGAACAACAAATGAATGGTTGGCAGGGAGTATACGATTACGATATATGTATATATATGTGGGTATGTTGATACAAAACAGACGCGTCGTGTACTATAAAAATCTTATAGTCGCATATAGTCATCGTTGAATCTCTTAGGTTTATCCCATTATTGTTCAAGAGTGTGTAGTACGGGCAATGTGTTTAAGTAGCTATAGTCCGGATCTAAAATGCAGAAGCTAGAAGCTACCTGCTGTTGGTGTAGATTTCCCAGCTGCTTGGCAATTGGAAACTCGCCTAGTTGATTATCTCGACATAATTTGCCGGAAACAGTCCATAGGTTCCATCAGGGCCCAGGCCCTGCCACCATCCCTCATCGATTTGATCGATATGTGTAATGACATCGCCCGGATCAAACGTAATCTCCGACTCGTCGGCAGCTTGATAGTCGTAAAGAGCTCGAGCTCGCAGACCCAAATCGCCAAGGCTTTCTTGGCAAATGAAATCGTCTTCGTTCACCAGATCTGTCACTGCAAAATAAGTAGAGTTGGTGGGGATTTTTTTTGAATAGCGCAACTATACGGAACTTACGGGCATTTCTTTCTAACGTGCTAAGGCCGCTAGTCTTCGTCGATTGAGATTGCTGCACTGTGACCGACACTTTGGTGCGCACTTCCTCCTCCTGCTCCTGGTACACGGCCGTGTCGGTTTCATTAGAAGACGTTGTCTCATCGGGAGACTGCGATTGCAGTGAGTTTGTTTTGCTGTGTGGCGATCGCTTGATGGTCGAGAACTGCTCGCTCTCGTGAGCCAGCGGTAAGTCGTCTACCGGTTGAGTCTCCTCCACCTCGGCAATTGCCGAGACAACCTCGGCAGCCACAGGGGCAGCAACCACTGATGCAGGAGTCTCCACTGGCAGTGGTTGGGCGGGAGATACTGCGCGTGGTGGTGAAGGCACAGATGCGTCTTGAGGCTGATTTTGGTTAAATACGTTTATACGCTGAGCAATAGAGTTGCGTGCGGGTTTCGCTGGTGGTTGCGTGTTGAGCCTACAGAACAGAGAGGAGTTTAGTTTGGGATCTATTAGGTGAAATGCCTTCTTACTTGGACTGAAGTTGGCCCTCACTGGTGTGCTTAGTGAACATGGCCTTGGCAGCACCACACGCGAGCCAATCAATTCGCGGGCTTCCTGGTTCCTTGCCTGACGCATGCGCTCCGCATCCGTCAGATTATTGGCAAACCCTGGTGCAGTCTTCTCCGGACTAAGTGGCTGCGGGGAGCTGTGAACAATAGCAGAGATTATTGACTAATCTCACATTTTTTAAAGAAATTTAACTTACGTTTTTATGGGAACATGAGCCGGCTGGAGCTTGGTGCTGCTTATAACCAACTTTTCCCGCTCCTTATGCTCCTTCTCTTCGCGGCTGCGTTGTTCAGTTCTAGCTTTTGCAACTCCATACGCTTTGCTTCTTTCTCCGCCTCTAGACGCCGCTTCTCCTCGGCTTCCTCCTTCTTCCAGAAGTCCTGCATGACACTGGCGTTGAGCTCTTTGGTGGGAATGACTCTGGTATAGTTGGTCCCAACCGGCGCCTTCTGTTCCTCTGTGACTCCACGCGGCTCTTTAAAGCTGTAAGCTGAGCTCACAGTGCTCAATTTCTTGAGAAGCCGTTCCAAGTCGATGTCATCCTCGTTGCGGGCGTTAATAGTCAGGTGGGCCCCTGAAAGAAGGTTGCCCACGTCACGGATGTGGTTGGCACAAGTGCCTTTGCGTAGCACTGGTGCGCCCTCTCCCTTTGAATGGGAATCAGGTAAAACAGCCATGGTTAGATTATGCGTGCGGCGATAAGATTACGCGCTTACTCACCTGCCAGTTGATGAGTAAGTATTGTTGAGGCCAGTTTTCGGGTCCTCTATGCGGACGAAAGCGTACATTATCTTGCCGCTGTTAAGGTCTTCCGTCAGCTCCTCCACTCCGCCGTCGCCGGTGCCCACGACCTTCAGTTCGTTGGTCTGACCCTCGTAGCCGAACAAGGACCAGTTAGTACCGCTTTTGTCGTCCAGCACATCCTTCCATGCCGCCACGATCTGGGACCGATTCTTTTCAAAGCTAACGGCCATGGCTCGCGTCTAAACGACCTGGAACAAAGAAATCTTTGCCAGCTTTCACTAGCGAGCCGTATTTGGGTGCCTGCGACTTCAAGTGAAAGCCAATGCCCCACGATAACTCCCAGTCTTTCCGCTGGCCTCTGCTGTAGTTTTAATTAAATGCCAGACTACTGCAGCCGCTTTGCAAGCACACACACAGAACCACCAGCAGAACAACAGAAGGGGTCGGGCGATTGATTTTCCAGTCCCCGCAGGTGCGACAAGTGTAAAAATTTTGTTCTCTGGCAGAAATCTCTGGTTAACGCCTGTAATTTGGTTCTAAGTTTGACTTAGGCGAAATAGCACTTAATTAAATTATACAATTTATATTCTTATTAACTGTTCGCGGGCGGCGACCTACACAATTTTTTGCACCAAGGTGTTGCCAATTTAGCTTTTTTAATGCTAGATCTAGCATATTTGAAAATAGAAAAGTTTGTAAATTTTCAGCTAGCTTAAGCCTGTAAAATAGCTGTTTGCAATGTTCAATTCAAATGCTTTCTCTATCGTGGTCCAATTCTAAAGATTAACAAGTTTTTGGTCAACTTGTTGTTAAATAATTAAATTGTGTAATGAAATGTATTAAAATAATTCATATGTATTACTAACCATAATTAATTAAATAAATACTTTAAAAACATGGTTGTTTTTTATAAAACAACAGCTGATATACATAAATTAAGAATGTACTAGGAGGGAAAATCTATTTCCTATACGACTGACTGAAAATATTGTCAGCAGAAAACATCTGTTCCATACAGATATCTTTCGATATTTTCACTCTTTTAGGTCGTATTCCAAGCTAGTTTCAAATATTAGATATATAATAAAAAATCAGCTTGGCTACGGTTTTCGTATAAATACATGTCTTGAGACTGGTTTTTGGTTAAAATTACGTGCAACTTTTTGGGTCATCCTAAATAACTCACCGATACATATCGCCAATGTATTATTTATTCAGATTTATGGAAAAATCAACTACATTTTATAACTTTATTATCTGACTACAGGAATTTTTGGGGGAAGAATAGGAAAGTGGTGATAAAATTTAATATTAAACATGGTCCATAACTGGGGATGATCATGTTTAAAGAGAATACTATTCGAAGGTAATTTGCATCAACATAAGCAGAAATTTCGTTACAAGTCCATCTTTGTATAATTATCATGTTGTTCTTGTAAAATGCAATATATTTATTAATAATACAACTGTCATCACTTAGGGACGATACGTACTTCTACACGGGAAAATGTAAATATTTTGCTAATTTGTGAAGGAAATTTCTAGAAACCAGTATTTCGTGTGTGCGATATCCCGATAGTTCCAAAAGAATTGATCGCACCGGCGTGAGCAAAACCACCGATGTTATCGATGTGTCATCGACATTTTAACAGCTCTAATAGTATGTATTTTGGATTATTTCGTATATAAATAAAAAATTGCTGTGTCCAGCGAAAATTGTTTGGATTGATCTGGAAAAACAAGAATCAGCTGCGACTCAGGACTACAAAAACTCGGAAGCAACCCAGGCAAAAGGTAAAATCGGCTGCAATAGTAGATGTTGTCGAGTGGATGTGGGAACTGAGATGCTTTGGTAGCTGCTGGCTGGCCTGCTTGGCAACAATATCGCAGTTGGCAGTATTTGTGCTGCTGGCTGCTGTACTTGGTCATTGCCAAAATTTCCGCCATCCCACCGCGCTCGTTGTCATCAGCGCGGTCTCTTAAACCTGTCCCAACTGCATCGTGCTTGCGCCACCAGCCCCTCCCCCGCCGCCATCAGATGGCAACCGTTTGGCAGCAGGATTTGGCCGTACTTGTTTTCAAGTCAGTTGGAGAGTCTGAGCGATGAGCCAGCGTCAGTCTTTGTTCGGTTCGGTTCGGTGGGGATTGGCTTGGTTTCGTTCCATTTACATACACGCCAGTGCAGCCAGGCTCCGCGATACACGGTATCCAGTTTGCGACCGCTCTCCGATGTACGCGTGTGTGTGTGCACATGCCTGCGACCGCCCCCGTTCCCCAGTGCCACAGGCGTCCCATGCCTCCGTCTGTGTGCGCCTGCTCATGGTCAATTTCTTTACATTTTCAGTGTGAAACTCACGCGGTGCAGGTCGCAGGCGGAGCAGCAGCAGACCACCAGACCAAGCCCACGTTCATAGGCCCCAGCATGGAATCAGCGCTGGATGTGCTCTTCAGAGCGGCGAACATGGTGCAGAACAACACGAGCGGTGAGTGAATTAGCGGGTGAGGCCTGGTCATTAACCAATTCCATTTGGAAGAGAAGCGATCGTTGCTATAAGTTAACCCAACTGACAAAGCCAATGTGGCCATTCGAGGGGGCGGACGAATCTGGCCCGGGGTTACCTTTTACTCTTATATGGCTTTCACCTTTAAGCTGCTGCTGTCAGCCCAGAAACCCGAAATACCTTAAGACTTAATCATATTCAAACAAAGTGCTCCCGCCGTCAGTCGGCAGTGTGTCATACGGAAAGGAATTCCTTACTTGCAGCCCCGCAGTCTGTCCTCTTTTCTTTCCTACCCCCTGAACTCTATTCTCCTCCCGACGCATGACTCACGATTGCAGCAGGGCATCCTTTTCGTACATAACTGCGATCTCTCACTCATACATTGGCCAACAAAACTCTACCCACTCCCGGGGTGGGGGCTTCGATATTGGGGTCGCTGGATAAACATCAGGAAGGCACCGGAATCAGTTCGGGGCATTCAATTCTTTTCTTCGGGCACTGTGCGATCGCGTAAACACTCGACAAATCCGAAAAATGTTTTATTTTCGCGAAAAAAAAACGACAACAAAACATTCCAACAAAATGAGTTTGCGGCGCATTCCGATTCCGATTTTCATAAATGTGTCAAATGCCGCATTTTCGATGGCCACAGCGCGACACACAGACATGCGCCAGCCCCCTGCATACATATGTACATATGAATTTATGTATGTACATTCATGAATACAACTGCGGGTAAAAGAATAGCTCTGTAATGTAACAGAACTTATTTTAGCAGTTCAACCATTTATTTTACACTTTTCCTTCTGTCTTGAAGTATAAGTTAACATTTTAATTTTAGTGTTATGATCTCATTTTTCTTTAGGGTTCCTCTTAGGCCATATAATATAGTCGGCAGATTATGAATACAAAATAATGATTTAACAAAGTTAAACAATTTTTTGAATGGTATTATTAAACTTCATCCTATTGGATGCAGTCAACTGATTCTGATAAAACTACTACGTTTCCTCATATACGCAAAGCAATTTACTAACAAAAAAGGTTAAAAATGAAAACAACAATTTTTGATAAAGTTATGAGTTATTTATTTAGATACAAGAACCTATGTACATATCCAACATATGTACATATATTCAGAATTAGCATTACAAGCCGGGTTGATCTAGCAATGTCTGTCGTCTGTTTTTATGCAAACTAGTATTCCAGTTTTGGATAAAACATTGCAAATAGTCTGGTATCATGGTCATCGCAACGAACTGGGTCTGACCACTATCTTATAGCTTCTAAAGGAGCGATTGGAAAATGATTATAAAAAACTAAACTTCTTTCTTTATTTATGTAATAAGAATTGGAAAACTATGATTTACTTTCCCAAAAAAATTTATATTATTTTGTATATTTATTATTTCTGAAATAATTGAGCGCGGCTCCATGTGCGGCATGAATGTAAGTCCGATTTGCGGATCGTGGCAGGGAGCAGGGGGGCGGGCAACTCTTATCAATAACCAGCGCAGTAGTTGCCACTGCGGCTGGCGATCACGAATCGTAGATGTTTCGCATCTTGCACATGTGTGTTCGTACGGGTCTTGCATATTTTTCGCTGTTGCACTGGCGACATATCTTCAATACTTGCAATTTGCATTCTCCGAGCCCGCTGCTCCGTCCGTCCCCTCACACCGCACACCGCACCAATCCCGGCGGATCGCCCGCCCCAGAGCGACAAACAAGCGCACGAAGCGAGGCGACGCGACCGCGTGACATGCCAAAGAAATTCCCGGCGGAGAAGACTTCGCTCCGCCGAGCCCGTATAGTATTTGGCGTGCTGGGGCGTAAATATGTGTATAATTGCTAAACAAAAAACAATTTGATTAAGCATGTTCTCTGGGCAGCAATGTAATTGCACAATCCACAAATGGACGATAAGCCCGCGGCTTGTCCGGCGGCACTGTTTGGGCTCTGATTTCGACCCAGTTCCCGATGGGTGCGGACCGGGGACAGCTGATAGTGCGTCGCCGTGGGGCTTCTCACTTATTTCCTCTTACACTTGCACATGCAAATCAGAGAGAAGAGCGAAGAGAGAGAGAGGAGCGGCAGCATGGAATTCCGATAATAAACCCAATTTATGATTATGTTTGTTTCTGTTTATTTACCCATTGGGAGATGGCTTTATCAGCCATAATTCTGAATATTTGACAAATTCCTCAGCCGATATATATTCGTACAGCTGTCAACACAACCGAGTGCGATTTATGTGATAGCTCCCGCTCGTTGTCGGCCAGAAAGAGAAATGGTCCAATGCTCAAATAAATAAATGAACATCGCATGCGATTCTTCCATTGGGTTTCGTCCGATATGGCTTGTCCACCTTGCTTCCCAATGCCCAGTGCCTCTTTTTATGTTTGCAGATGAGCTACTAGCTGTTGTAATGGGCTTGTTTTCGGGCCAATTTGATTGATCGGCGGCATCGAAATTCAAAGTGCAATGTCGTTAACCTGACCATGATTAATGAATTTGTCATAATCGAATACGGCATTACGGCACGGATTGCGTTCTTCATAAATCACCCGTAGAAGAGCGGGCTCGATCTACGCGGATCGGCCGTTAATTAAGCTGCCATTCCATTGTCCGCCAAAGAGCCCACTCTAGGCCATAATTAATAAACAAATAGTTACACAAATTGTGGCCTGTACCAGCGTGCGTTAGTTTCTACCACCGACCTCCGCACAAAAGAAAAATTGTGGCAATTTTGAGCTTGGCCAGGCACAGCTGGAGACGGACACCGACCCCTGAAGGGGTACTTACGGGTTAGATCGAGGACTGGGGACTGGGGGCTCATCAGGTAATTTACATGGCCTTTCGATTCTACGTTTTCGCCAGTGCCGACTCTGTGGGCCAACACTCTCTTCCTTTTACTTGCAGCGACCAAACGGTGCGCATAATTGCCGTAAATCTTGTCCAGAAGAAAATCAAACAGCCAACGAAACCAGTTTGGACGCTGCCACTGGGATAGGATGGGATTGGGTAGGATTGGATCGGACGGGACGGGACGGGACGGCATGGGGATGGGGACTGGCACTGAGATTTGGACTAGAGCACCACCTTTCTTTTTGCTACTGCTGGCACTGTCGAGAAGAGTCTTGCTCCGACTTTTATTTATTTATTTACAAATGTAACATTTGCCTATTTCCGCGCTTTCCCAGCGACTCTGGGCTGCAAAGGTGCAACGACAGAGGACACTGGTGGTGGACATACATGCAAATGTACTAAGTTGTCTCAGATTGGTGGGGAGTGTTTTTGGGTCTGTCTAAAGTTCAAAATGTACGAGCAATCGTTGGCGACCGATTAAAAATTCGGTAAAATGTATTGAAATTTTTCTCACGCCTGATTTAGCACCGGATGATATTTTATAATGACAACTATATTTATGTTATTGTTAGTTTTGCTATTTGCCATCGTTGTCGCTGCCGATGTCGATGTTGCTGTTTCTTCGTATTGTTTTTGTGCTGTTCTGGGCAATCAAAAACCAGTTTCTCTTCAAATCGCGCGCACGCTCGAGTTTTATTTAAATTTTGAACTGGTTTGCCGCTGATTTGTGTTGTCTCCGCTGCGTATATATTATGTACCCACTAGATATATACATATATTAGATTGTTAGATTTCACAAACAGCAGCAAACCCAGACGGTGCCTGGGACTGGAAGTGCGGGCTGGGTTATAACATAATTGCCTTGTTGGTATCGACGAGTTCTGGATGGATACAGGCATCGCATCTCATCTCGTCTGTGTGTCATCATCTACGATCTATAAAGTGGCAGAGCTTCTCTATGAAAATCTCGCTGACTTCCGCACTGCCATTACGGTGACCCAAATCGGCGGGGAAGGGATCTCGTGTTACTCCACCGCCGGCCGATTTCCAAACAAACCAAAATTCAGTTGGCAAAGCATTTTCCACAGTTTTATTTCGGTTTTTGTTTTTTCCAACGGTGCACAGTCAGTTGACAACCTGTAAACTGAATATGTATCAATCGATGCAGAAATATTAGGTTGCTGCTTAGCTTGTCATTCAGCAAACTCAGAGGCCAGAAGACCCAGAAGTTCTATAGCTTAGGAAATATCAAATTGAGCAACCAACCACTTGGGCAAAATAAGAGTAAGGTGCAAAAGCTTATTTCTGGACTCCATAAAAATGATTAGGTCAGACATCATCACAGATTCATTGCTAATTTTTCGCAAAATTACTAAAGGGACTTCCACCTGACCTATTTTCCCCCAAAAAGTGTGTAGTTTTCCCCGCCTGTGAGTGGTTATTCGAGATCCCCCTTGGATTTCCAATGTTTGGGCTTCGATAATTGGCTATCCATTGTTGTTGGTCCGCCAGTGAACTCTTCTGCCCTAGTGTGTTGGTTTTTGTTGTTGTCATTGTTTTTTCGCTGCTTTATTTTTCGCCGTGATTGCCATTCGATTGACCTCGTTGCGCATGCGTGCCCATGTTTCACGCTACACTACAAATTTTCGCGCAAAGCAACAATAGCAACAATAGTACAGCAGCAACAATAACAACATTAACAATAACCACAGGCCGAGCTCGCTGGATGATGAGTAAGCCTGAAGCACTAAAGCCTAGGAGCGCTGTGCCCGCTGGCTCACTCCACTCGTCCATTACTCAGCCAGCCAATGGTTCGAGCTCGATTTTGTTTAATTTTCGGATTCCCTCCTCCCTCCTCCTCCTCCTCGCAGAGACGTGCAACAGAAAATTGCACATTTTAAACGTGGATTAACAAACGGCGATGGGGAAATGTGTCTGTTTGTATGTTATACAGATGCATGGGGAAAAGGAAAAACAATGAGCTGGGAAGTATCGATCGATTGGCGGATGGCGCGAGATCAACAGCTGAGCTTGTGCAAGTCAGGCCAGGCCAAGTCAGGCCATATGATCAGCACCCAAGTGGACGAGGCCTGGCATCGCCTCTATTCCACCTCGACACCACCACTCTCCTCCCTCCTCTTCTCCCCTCCTCTGCTATCCTCGCTGTTGCTGTTGCAGTTGCAGTAGCGATTCATTGGCTCGCAACAGTAGTAGTTGTACTACAAATCGGGCGTAAAATTTCATGGGCCTGCTATTGAATTAAAAACGAGTTTCCTCCATTCTCCATGTTTCAGTTGGTTTTGCTATTGTTATTGCTTTCAGCTCTCTGGCTGCTTGTATATGCGGCGCTGTATAGCCGTTTTCTATCTATAGTTGTAGTTGCAGTTGCCGTTGCTGATGCAGTTGCAGTTGCATCAATGGTAGATGCTGTTGCCGCCGTTCTGAGCCAGGCCACACACCAAACAGACCCAAAGAACAGTTGTGGCGCGAACTAAGCCAATCTGAGCTGAGCCAAGCCCAAAATCTGTCGACCTATGACAATACGGGTAGCAACTTGAGTATAGCCCCACTGCAAGCGAGTGGATCGACTGCCACAGTTACTTTGGTTTGTCCCTATACCATTTTCAAAGGATCAACATTATGAGTAATTTACTTTTACGAATCTATCAAACTAAGGGCTCATCACAGGCCGCCTAGACTGCTCCCTAATAACTTTTACCATTTCTTTATTGCAAATAAATATGATCCATCTTACAGTAAAATATATTTAAATAGTCTCTCGAACTGAATCTATCTACATAACATATGTGTCCAATTACCAAAGTGATGTATACATTTAAAATACTTCTCTTTTAATACCCGGTAGAGTTGGGATTATGCATTATAGTTTTGGGGTAACTTAGCGATCTTAACTTAAAATCCTGCCCAAAGCAATCGTTCACATCGTTCACGAATCGTAGTAATGATAATATAATCTAATATTCTCTAAACCAGGTTTCGTGACTCAACTATTTACCTAAAAGAATATTTATTGTGCTCTAAGTCCCATGTTTGTTTTTAAATTATACTAAGATTCATAAAAGTACGCATAATATCTTTATTTTTTTAAACACAATGCTATATACAATAATTATAATTTATTGGAAATGGGAGATGGTTTTACTATTATTGAACAACAAAATATAAATCTGGTATTGCATTAGAAATGAGTATTTGGAATGTGGCATAATTAGCCACTTTATTGTGTTGCTTTCAGTTTTTAAAATGATAAAATTTTAACAATTTTAAGATATGCGTACTGCAAAATCTATCTAAAATATTACATTATTTACATTATATAATGTGTGTATTAGTTATAATAATCAGTCTATTGGTTACTTATCACAAAGTCATACATTTTTATAAAACTTACTTTTTTAAATTTAATGTTAATTCATTTTATAGATACAAATTTGTTATTAACATTAAATTATTCCGTTGTTCCGTCTACCTGTTCCGCAAAAAAGTATAGTGTGTATATTTGTTGTGACAAAAGTCTGGGTAAACATTATAATGAGCCCGAAGAGCGGGAAAGACAAATTAAAGAACGCCCACTGCATGTGCTGCCTGGATGCAGCCCAACCCAAGTGCCAGCTCACAGTTCCATGCCCAAACCGAAATCCAAATCCACGCCGGGCAGGCTCAACTGCGGGGCGCCGACCGTACAGACTGTGGCCAATTCCCAATTTCTGCCATTTCGTTACCCTTTTGCCCAATTTGCCAAGCCTGAATCGAATGGGTGAACCGCGGGAGGGGCGTGGCTGGCTGCCACATCCTACGGGCAAGCATGAACATGAAACCCCTTTCCCGTACACGGCCAGCTCTCAGTTTTAGTTTTTCAATTACCAAATCAGCGAGCAAGCAGCTCAGATCCGAAATCCGCCGAGAACGAATGGAGAGGGCCAGCAAAGAGCCAAAACGGAAATCGGTAAGAGGAGAAAATGAAGAAAACAACAGAATGGGCCAAAAGAGACACACCAGCAACAACTTCAAACCAGAACTCCGGCGACAGAGGCTGAGGGGAGGTTGGCGCAAGTGCAAATGGCTCTTGAGGCCCCAAGTCTACACAGCGGAGCCCAGTGGAGACTTGCCCTCGAGTCGCAAACGAAGGCTTCCGAAGCTCACGAAGGCGAATACGAAGACTGAGCCGAAGCCAAAGCTGGAGCTTTTGAAGATCAAAGCTGGCCCCCAGTCACAATCTTCGAGTCGCCGCTCGCCGTTGATCACTTTAAGTTTGTCCGTCGCCAGTTCCAGTTCTCTTGCTATTGTCTTTCTGTTGGTCGCGGTGTCGCTGTCGTCGTCAGTGGAACGTGCGCCAAGCTTAGTACGTGTGTGTCCGTGTGTGTGCGTGTGTGTGTGTGAGCCGTGCTCTACGGACGAGTCCGTAGGTTTCTTCTCCGAAAGCGAAAACTGGCGCTCAAGTTCAGTTGGCGATTTGTCGATTTCTATGCAAATCATTACTCGGAAAGAAACACATATAACCCAGAGTCAGAGTCAGAGAGCCAGAGCCACAGTCGCCGCCATAACAAAGACGGCCAGAAAGAAAAAAAAGAGCGTGCTATTTTTATTTTGCTAAATGTCGACTCGAGGCTCACGTCGCCGGAGCAGATCTGCGGACACGGAGACGGTGACGGTGGCGGAGACGTAGACTTGCGAGAGACTGTAACCCGAGTCGCCGTCCACGGCAGAGAAGAAACAAAAAGCTAAAAAATAAAAAATACAAAATACAAAACAGACAAACAGAAACAGATTGTATCTGTATCTATAGTCGCGACTTGCGGTTCGTGTGCGCACATTCGTCTCGCTGCATCTGTGTGTGTGTGTGTGTATCTGTGCCCGCGTCTGCTTCTGCGTCTGCGGCAAAGCGCAAAAAGTAATCATAAAGTAAAGGGAAAGATAAGCAAATAAATAAAAAGTCTACCGCTCCCAACCGCCGCCGCCGCGGAGTGCCGATAGACAGGCCGAGGAAACCGAAAAGAAGTGCCTTTCGACTCGCCGCGAGTCAGCTGAGTCGGCTTTGGCGGCAGCGATGTAAGCGGTTCTCCGGCCAGCAATCGTCGGTCTGCAATCAGGAAGGAAGCAGCTTCGCAGTGCGATCTTCGATCCCCGAGCCATGGACTATCTTTGCATACTGAATGCCTTCGAGCAGAACTACTACAACCGCGTCAAGGAAATCGAACGCTTGGCCGCAGCAGCAGCTGCCGCCTCCTCGTCGTCACCCGCCTCATCCGCCTCGCCCACCTCCTCCACCGCATCCACGTCCTCGGCATCCTGCCTGAATGGCCCCTCAACTTCCTCGACCGCCTCCTCCACGGCCAGTTCGCCAAGTACGTCTGCGCGAGAGGTGGCCCATGCAGCCGCTGCTCTTGCTGCCTCTCAAAGATTGGCAGCTTATCAAAGCCAGAGTCAGGGACAGGGCCAAGAACAGGAATGATATACCAGCACCACCGCCAGCAAATGGAACAGCTGGAGCAGCTGCATCAGAACCACCCCCTACGACCTGGCTCCAGCGCACACCAGTCCCAGCCAGCCTCGGATCCGAATTCCACCAACATGGCCAACAGTCTACTCTGGCAGCCCTGGCGCGATCTTCAGCAGGCCGCCGCCATGCATCACCAGCTCTACAGGCAGCAGCAGCAGTTCCAGAAAGGTTCGTTTCCATTCAGATCTCTGAATATATAGAGGGAATATCATATTCGAGCAAAGTAAATTCTAAGAGAAGCAGAGTTTGGGTTGACCATAAGAAGCGGTCGTTACCTTAGTATTAATTTTTAAGTAAACCCGATTCATCATTCTCATGACTTAAGGGGGAATAGTATGAAAAACATGAAACACATAATTCTTACATTTCTATTATTTCTATGACATTCTTTGCACCTGCAATAGAAAGAAGAATATTTGCAACGTTCTATTCTATATAGATCTAAAATTTAGAGATAGATAGATATTTGGATAGACCAACATCTCTCTTTTGTTGAAACTGGTGAAGAATATACCTCATAGGTCCCATATAAGTATCTCCTTCACTGTGTTTCATCATTCTCACGACTTAAACGGGAAAATATTTTGAAAAACACAAAAAAAAAAAACGTATGTAATTCTTACATTCTATTATTTCTATGACATGCAATAGTAAGAAGAATATTTGCACGTTCTATTCTATATGTGTAGATCTAAAATTTAGAGATTAATTTACGTATAAGCGGATAGACCAATCTCTTGTTGAAACTGGTGAATATTCCCATATATTATGTATGTATCTCCTTTAATGCTTTGCAAACTTGTGACCGAAACCATAATAACCTTTTCAAGGGAATACCAGATAGGAAATGAGAAAAGGATATAATTTCGGTGATTGAACTTGAAGTAGCCTTTCGATTGAAACACAATACCATTCAAGCTACTTGATATAAATATTTTATTATCTAAAACTATTAGTTTATCAGTTTGAAATCCAAATTAAGGTCCATCTTAAACCTGGAGGGTCTCGCATTAACAAATTATATATTTATCACGGAAATTGCCTGTCTAATAGCAATTCTTCCCATGAATTCATATATTTTGTAAGCCCGGATTTGTTGCCTTTACTGTGAAAAAGAAGTAAAGACAACATCGGTGCAGAGCAGTATAGAATACGAAGAATCTAGGGGACTTTAAAGCCAACACTCTATGGGCTTGAATGGCCCACACTCGATTGGGTTGAACAGACAAAGTTCAATTACGAACATCTCTTTGTTCTGAGTTCTGGCGAAGCCCAAGCTGATGCACCTGCTGCTCACGTGAAGGGAGCCTGGTGCATACATAGGTGCTGAAGTTCAATGGATCGGAGAACGTGAGGTTTGCCTCTGACCATGATAACTACTCACTTGCCTGCTGGATGGGATCGCGTTTCGGAAGCGGACTGCTCCGATTCGACTGGCTTATCTTCGCCGGAGGCGCAGTGGTCGGCAACGTGGGGCTAGGACGTGATGGGCACAGTATTGCCAACGGCGGCAATCGGTCACGCCGGCTGCAAGCGGAGTCCGTCTCCCCCAACGTCTCCGTCTCCATTTGGGTTGCGCGATCTGGAAAATTGGTAACGAAATTGGCAACACTTTTACTACGCTCTGCGCCGGCTCCGTCGCGTTCGATTGGCGTCAATTGACACACACTCCAACTCCCAGGCGTCACACACTCCCCGTCAGGTTGCCCCCTCGCCGTCGCCCGTCGCCCGTCGCCCGTCGCCCTCCGTGTTAATTGGCGACATTGCACAAATCACACAAATGCTTTCAATTACATGGCGACGCCAGGCAAACACAAAAACGGCTAGAGAAAGAGCAAAAAATGAGCGCCTGTTTAAACATTAAACCTCCATAAAAAAATGGTTGGAGGGGCTTCCGCGGAAGGGGCAGAGCTGGAGCTGTAGCTGCTGTGCTTGGCTCGACTCGGTTTTATTTTTTGCTTTTGTTAATTTGTTGACATATTAAAACCAGATTTGCAATCAACTCGGGTAGCGGGTAACGCGGGTATGGCGCTGAATGGTGGTGGGCAGTGGGGGATCCGTAGCTCCGGGCATGACTCACGAGCCGGCACGAGAAATAATATAAATAAGGAAAATCGCTTGCGACGATGATAGAAGTATAAATATGCATAAGACAGCAAATCAATGTGTCTGCTACTTTTCATAGATTGAGCTTTGTACGCCCGACATACATAGGGATCCGAGGGTATTGTTAAATTTATGCATAAAAAGCAGAACAAGAAGGTTGCTTATCTAAAAACAAGAATAGGTATAATAAATGGTCTTATGACTCATACAAGTTACATATATTTATTGTAAGATTAAGATCTAAGGATCTGTAGAAGACTCAGCTTAGGGGTTTTCCTACATTTTGTATTTATTTTTAGAGCTTTATGTTTGTAGCTTGTAGATGTAGTTAAGTTTTCCCAATACCCCACTTGCAACCTTTGATTCCGTCTTTAGTATTATATTTTTAATATTCTGTGCTATATTATACCCAAACCTTGTTGTCGATATAATTAAGCTTGCTTTTCCATCTGATATCTCTTGATATATCGCCTATGAAGAACTGTGGCTTTAATAAGTTTTAAACATCCTACGTCGAAATTTGATATTCCAATAGATGGGCTTTAATATCTGCAATGCTTTTTTATATTCTTATATTATAGATTGATTTAAAATTCATAAAATAGATATATTCTTCATTGTAAATGTTTACAAGTACTTCGAACTTGACTGCTCTCTAGGCACATCTAAGGGATATATTGGCCTATGCGTGGCCCTACGAGGTCCGTGCGGGTTAACGGAACCTAACATACATGTGTTGCAAGTTTGGTGAAGTTTAATTTTGTTTTCCACATAACAAATAACAAATTTGTATACTAATTAAAAATTTTAAATAACAAAGAAACAGGAATTTTTTTAATTTAAATTGCTAGCTATCATTATACATTATCATTATGCAGGGTTTTGTAATTTCATTTAAAAGTTTGCAACGCAGGAAGGAGTCATCTCCGACTATATAACGTATATACATACATATATTCTTGATCAGCATCAACAGCCGAGTCGGTCTAGCCATGTCCGTCTGTCCGTTTCTACGCAAACTAGTCTCTCAGTTTTAAAGTTATCTAAATTAAACTTTGTAGTTAGTCTTCTATATACTCTCACTCGTATAAATGTCGGAACGGACCGGATCGGACAACTATATCTTATAGCTGCCATAGGGATGATCGGAAAATGTTTACAAAAAAAATTATAACAATTTCAGTTTTCAATAGAATTTGATCAAATTTAAGACTTATATTATTCTACAATTTTGTGTACAATTTTATGAAAATCGGACTACAATATCATATATGTAGGTGCCATACAAACGATCGTTAGGAATAGAGGAATAATGCAAATCTGTGAATATAATAGGAATAGGTGAATGAAATGAAAGCAGGTATACTTCCTTGTTTTTTAACATAAGCATATATAATTTATATTGTATTGATTCCTAGTCATTGAAGCTCTATCTACAAGGGTATATAATCTTCGGCTTCCTTTCTGGTTGTTTTTGAGCTATGAAATGTATTTAAACTTTTTAATTTTTTATTAGAATTACTTGACAAACAGGCATGAATCGATATTGTACCCTTTTATTCTGTTTCGTATATCAAACCACTAAGCAAAAAAAAAACAGAAAGAACTAAAGAATACTTGCACCAATCGAGTATCTATACTTTTTCGAGTATTGTTTTAAAATCCCCAAAATTCGAAATCGTCTTCCCATCGATAGAGCCAGCTTCTGACCAATTAACCCATACAGAAATGTTACTGTGACTGCAGTAAAAGCTGCAGTAAACAAAAGGGCAAGGGTAATGGGGTGAGAAGGGGAAAGGTAGAAGCAGAGCAGAATGCGAAAAGAGGGGGAGCCTAAAAAAGAAAGCTCCGTCTATCTGCCGATCCCCAACAAACGCCGTCGTCCGACGTCCGACAGCCGACACCAACGACCGGAAATGTGCAATAAAATTTGAATGTTTCTTTATTATTATCATCATCCTCATCATCATCCGCAGCGGGCAGCTTGAGCCCAAGCCCGTGCTTCGGTCCCAGCCTCCGTGCTGTTTTGCGGCAGTTTGTTGGTTTTTTATACCTCGACCCGCCACTCCTTCCCACTCCGGGCTCCGCACTCGGCAGACCAGTTTGCCCAGCTTCTTGCTCTCCATCGTGTCCTCTGGTTCTCCCCACTGACTCCTCTCGTGACGCAGGCGCAGAAATAATAAATGGCAGCCGCAGCCTCGCAGTGACGTTGCCAAAAACAGGACAACGCTCTCGCCTCCGCGTACTCCTACTCCTCCCTCGCCTCCCGCTCTGCCAATGCAGCCTCCGAGTACGGCCAATGCGCCATTCATTGATTCATTCATGCATTGGTCTTTTGGCCCCCAACCAAGCTCTGGCTGTGGCGTGCTCTCTGCGCTGCTCGAAATGTGCAGAAGTCGCCCGACTGGTTTGTCCCTTCGATCTCGACCGATGGGGATCAAAACTGGGTTCTGGGACCGGCTTTCCGCCGCCTGCTGCTTTATTTACACATATATACTTGGTTTCCTGTAGTGGAACTGTCGGTGCTGGTAGCCATCTCCAACTCGCTTCCGCCGCTGCAGCACTGCAGCACATCCCGATTCGACGTGGCCAGATCCCGCAGCCCACGCAGCTGGCTCGCTGAGTCGCTTCGGCGGGTTGTCCGCTTCCCACGCCGGGCCAGCGGCTCGGGCATCGCCCATTGGCAGGCCGGGCACGTTTCACCCAACGTTCGCTCAGTGTATGCCAGGCCCAGACTCTGACACACTCGCCAAACACACACACACACATACACAAGCATAGACAAAACAAGTTTTCTCAAACCAATTTTTTATTTTTGTGACTGGGACTGGGACTGGGACTCTCGATGATTGTGAGTTTTCTGTTGTTATTATTTATTTGCTTGGGTATCTGTTCTGTATGTGTGTGTGTGTGTGTGTGTGAGTGCTGTGCTTTTTTTTCGCTGGTGACGGCGATGGCGGCGTCTTCGAATAATAATTTCTGGGCCAGTTCCGAGCAGAGCTTTTGGCAGAAGTTCATTCAAAAAGCGAAAAACTTAGGCAACAAACTTGAAAGAAAAAACAGGCAACAGGGAGACAAAGGCAGGGCTCGCTCGCTCGATGGAGAACGATGGAGTTTGTATGGATGGCCTCGCCTCTACTCCGTGTGATTCACTACGCCCACTGGTCGATGGTGGGCATAACAAAGAGTCGAGACGACAGACCGCAAAAGCCAACACAAATTGATGGCCATTAATTGAAATGCGATTTCGGCTTTAGAGAATATATTTATTATTATTTTTTTACAGTTATCCGCGATCGATGTTTGACCCTTCTTCCATGCTTTTTCTTTCAGAGATGCGTGTCACAGCCAAAGAGCTGCCCACTACCAAGTGGCGACGGGAGCGGCGCCAGCGCACAGCCGAATACCAGGTCCACGACGCAGTCAGTAACGACCGGGAGCGAGAGCGAGAGCGGGAGGATCGGGATATGGACAGTCCATTGATATGTCGGTGTCATCCGGGACGTTGAAGCACCAGCTTCGCGCCTCGCCCCTCCGCCCTATCGCGAGCCATTGCCCGGGACCAACTATGCGGCCAACAGCAGGCCCAGCGTCATCACCCAGGCACCGCCGAAGCGGGAGCCGCCGGAGCAGGCCCATCCCTCAGGTAAGAGAACTCTGTCGAAAGGTACCAGACTTTTGCCTTACACACTTTACCTTGCAGACGTGGCGATGCCCGATATCGACGAGCATTTCCGGCGATCGCTGGGCGAGAACTATGCTGCCTTGTTGTCCAATAAACCGCCAACTCCGATGCCAACGCCAACACCATCGCCTGGAGTGACCCCCAAGCAGCAGGCCTCGCCGCTGGCCCACGGACCGCCAGTAGCTTCGCACCACTATCAGCAGCACCGCTCACCACTGGCCTTGGCCGTGCTGCACTCGCCTATTCTACGGTCAAGACCGGAGTCCCCGCAGCTGGAGCTTCCACCGCCGCAGGACGAACCGCTGCCCCTATCGTTGGCATTAATCGAAACCAGGCGCCTCTGTCTCCGCCGCCCTCGGCGACGGAAGCGGGTCCAGCGCTGGCAACGACGGACAGCGGGGTTATGGAGCCGGCCACACCCCACCACACGCCGCCCAGATACAATACTCCGTCGCCGGCGTATGCAGCCAACAGCAGCGTGCCAGGCGGAGCCGTTGGGACACCGACACCGAACTTGACCACAACGCCGACCCCGTTCCCGAATCCCACTCCAACTGCCACTCCGAATCCGATTCAGCCGACCAGTCAGCTTCCGACGACGCCCTCCATGCCGGCGATTATTCGCGTTAAGGCAGAGCCAGGACTTGCGGCCGCCGCCGCCTCTTCGACGCAGACGCCGCCCGCCTCGCCCACATCATCCACGAACATCTCGATATTCACCAAGACTGAAGCCTCTGTCGACGACCACTTTGCCAAGGCTCTGGGCGACACCTGGAAGAAGCTGCAGGGCGGGCACAAGGAGTAGGAGTAGGACTCCCCCAGGATACTGATCCCGATCCCGATCCCGATTCCGATCCCGATCCAACTCAAGAGCTGTTTTTATTATAAATATTTCAAACTACACAATTAATGTTTATAGATCTCATGCTGATGTGAACGGAAATTCTTCAACTGCGAGTGTATTACAAGTTTCTGATAAATATGATTTTATTGAATATTGATAATATCGATAATGATATCGGTAGCACACGGATATATGATATATGTGTATTGCAAAGTGTATACGTACAAGTGACAAAATTTTGTATTCTTAATGCTTAGTTGGTAGAGACTAATCCTTAATAATATACACCTATTAAACATAAGTGAACAACCTACAGGCAGCGGTCTTTCATTTTTATGCCTAGTATCCGTACAAAGTTGTTATTGCTTAGTGCAAAGCGGCATCATTCATCTGGTAAATTTTGTTTGCGGTTTAGGGTTGTTTTCTGAAAATGTTTAGTAAAATATGAACAGATTATATGGGAGTTATTAGACAACTTTCTGTTCATGTTGATTTTCTGCAACATATATGTTGTTTCGGCATCACCAGTACGTGTTGCTCACCATGTCCTTAGCAACATGTACTTCATTTGGATGTTGCGCTACAATAAGCGTTGCCAGACCTTTTATTCTTAAACCAACAAGGCCAGAGTGTTGAACCTCATGTCACCAGTGTTGCCATACTATGCATCGGCGTAACCAGTGTATCCACACTCATTTCGTTTTTCCGACAGGTATATCGATTACAGGAATTGCCATTCGCAGCAAGGCGATTACGATTGTTGGCATTCGCACGGCACGAATCATACAGTACATTTACATTGCAAAAAATCCTAAAACAAAGTTTTTAAACAATTAAAAGCGAGCAGTTTACGGCGTGTTATTAGAGAACCAGCCCAGCGTTCGCCTCCCCACCGCACCAGAGCGCGCGACCTTTCCGTTTCGCCGAGCAGCATCGCCAGAAAGAGGGTCGTCGACGGCAGAGGGGCGCAGAGAGAAAATGTCACGCAAAGCAGCAGCAGCAGCAGCAGAAAAAGAGTGAAGAAATATCAGAATCCATCGTCGGTCGGGTCGGGCTCACCGAAAACACTGCAGCCAGGGAGACGCTCCCTGGAATGGTTCACAGCCAGGTGAGTGTTGCGAGTGCGGGTGCGTGTACGGGCAGCCAGCGAAACAGCGAAAGTAAGAGACAACAACGGACTCTGCTTCTGCTTGCAGTTGTAATTCACAGGGACAGACACCTGCGAGCGCAATGCGAACAACGCCGATCCTGGCCAGGCCTGCGATCAAACTCAGTCCCCAGCGTTGGCTTGGATGTCGTCGGTAATTGGTGCTGCCTCAGTTAGGACCCTCCTCGCAATCCGCTGGCACGATGCAAAGCCTGGACTCCTCCTGCCAAGAAGCCGACGTAAGACCCTGACTTCCCTTAGAGCTGTACGAGTTCTCCGACTAATTCTTTATCCTCTTGACCCAAATAGTTTATCATAAATGACACGCTCAAGAAGCTAAAGGGCTCCAACAATGCTGACCATGCCTCGGGAATAGCGCACACTGTGGTTCAAGCTCACGGGTCGAGTGTCCACCAGCAGCAGTTCGTGCAGTTTCAGACGGCGTCTTCCCCCAACCATCAGCTACAAACGCAGCAGACGCAGTCGTACCACCATCTACACTCTGGGCTTCATCAGCAGCAGCAGCAGTCCCCCGTCACGGTCACCTTTGCAACCACCAGCAAGTCGTACCTGGAGGCCAGCCTGCTGCAGGCCATACCACAGATTCCTGCCCAACCGCCCATCTGCATCTTCGATGACGACGACTCCCCCACCGAAGGGGCGGGGGCAGGGGGCTCCCTGGGCATACTCACGGAGCCCACCTCGGCCACGCCCACCGGACTGCCCACAGCGATCGCTCCGTCGCCTTCGTCGTGCTCGTCATCCACCACGACGTTGTCGAACTTCAATTCGATCACGTCACCCTCACCAGTGGTTCCCGACTTGCTTCTGTCCACGCCGCCTGGCGTCAACTCCAGCCTGAGCCTGAGCCTGAGTACCAGCTCGACGGGAGCGACGCCTGCCACAGCAGCAGTTACATCTAGTAAGAAGCCGGATAAGCGACCCCCCTCTGCAAATTCATCATCCGGTGGCGCCGGACACCATTCGCACCATCATCACCTTCACCAGTCTCATAACCACCACGTCCAGGCATCGCCCACGTCGTCGCCGAACAAGCGCCAAAAGTCCAACAGCAGTAGCAAGGAATGCAGCTCCTCTAGTCGCAGCTCAGCTCTACCCTCCTCCGTCGCCAACACATTGTCGGTACAAACAGCCCGTGCCGGCACTGTCTCCTCCAATAGCCACAGCAGTAGCAGTTCCTCGTCGAAGCCTCCGTCTTCGTCTGTCGGTCAGCCGAGCAGCAGCAGCAAGTTCTTTAACCTCCACGAGAAAATAAGAGACCTGTATCTGCAGCTGCTCAGTAACGACCTTAACTATTTCGCTGAGACCGGGGTGAGTTGCCATTAGTACCGGCGAGTATGTGCTCCCATGCTACTGTATATTTTTTCTCTACCAAAATTTAGCTAAAACAGCGTACGCGCTCCTTCACCCTGGAGCGGCTGGTGGAGCGGGAAAAACTCAATACAATCGTTGTCAACCTTTATCCCGGCAACAAGGGATATTCCTTGGCGCTGCACTACGACGAGAACCTGATGCTGAACCCTCAAACTAACGAATGGTCTGCCACTGGTTTGAAAGAAGAGTGCATCGGCGATGGTGCGGGAACTGTAGGACAACGGAGCGGACGCAGCAAGACGACGAATGCCGACGAGAGCCAAGTCAAAGTGGAGACCGGGCAGGTCAAGCAAGACTACAGTTTGGTGGAGGTGCTGCGATGGCCTTACGAAAACGACCTATTGCTGCAGTGCATCGATCGCGAGATGCTACCTGAGTTTCTTATGGATCTGCTCAGCGCAGAGACCGTCAGTCTGTCGGACGCCGGCGAGGGACACGGGTGTACGTGAAGCCAAGCGTGTTCTACGCGGGCTGCGTCATCGCGCAGATCCGCGACTTCCGCCAGACATTTGCCACCTCAACGAATATCTGTGATATGAAGCACATCCTGCTCAGGCCCACAAACGCCACCCTCTTCGCGGAAGTGCAGCAAATGGGCAGCCAGCTGCCGGCGGAGGACAAACTTGCTTTGGAGAGCCAGCTAGTGTTGGCTACTGCGGAGCCGCTGTGCCTGGAACCGGATCCAAGCATAGGAAGGCAGGCCATCAACGCCCAGCACCAGCGGCAGCTCTTCAATTCCCACGAACTGCGCCGCCAAATGAAGAAGTTCACTCAGACGGCCATCAATCGGAAGCGCAAGTTGGACCAGTTTACACATCACCATGGCCTGGAACTGTGCGACTATCTGGCTCGCCTACGCCAGCGGCCGCGTGCGGGTAGTAGCAGCGGCACAGGCACCGCCACACCGGCAACTGCCCCCACGAACAATCCGCTCGTTGGAGCCATGCTTTCCTCGTTTACCTCGAAGGTGCCCCGGCGACCCCACGAGGTCATACGGCCCATTCGTCCGCCCTGCCTAGACTATCCCGCCAATCTTAAGGTGCCCGAGCACGTGATTAGCGTAGAGAAGTACGCAAGACCTTCGAGCCCCTAAACGAGTTCAGTGAGGCGTGCAAGGACGGGTGCCAGCCCAACTGTCGACACAACTTCCAGCCGCAGCTTGTCGAGGAGTACGTGCTCGAGACGGAACGCGAGGCGACCGAAGGCCGGCGGGCGCTGTACCACATCAAGCTGTCCATCTTTCAACGTCCCTCCGATGCCGAATATCTGGGCGAGTTGTACGTGGACCGGGACTATAGGGAGGGCGAGCGCAATGGAGAGTCGTGCCGCTTTGCGTTGGGAACGCGGGTTCATGCCAATCGGTATATTCAACAGTTCCGCGAGATTTCACTGAAGAGGGTCGCAAGGCGGTCAAGATCACGCATTTGATACCCGGACATGTGCCAATTGTGACCCACACGGGGCTGACGAACGAGCAGCGGATCATTTTGCAGCAGCAGCAGCAGCAACAACAGCAGCAGAGGCAAGCACAGTTGCAACACCAACAACAGCAACAGCAACAACACGTGGGTAATCCTCCGCAACAGCAACAACAGCAGCCACAACAGCAGCAGCAGCAGCAACAGTTGCCCGCAACAGTGCACCATGTGGCACTTCCGAGGCAGCAAATCATGCAAAAGACTTTGAATCTTGCCGGAGGCAATGTCATAAACGTGCAGCAAAATTTCCGGCAGCAGCCAGTCCAGCAGCATCAAACTTACTCTATTGAGCCAGCCCAACAACAAGCAGGAACACAAACTGCCACGCAACAGCAGCAGCAGCAGCACATCCAGCTTCAACAGCTGACCACCGGCCTCAGCAATTCCTCCACAACCACTCATCAAGTGAGCCTGAGCAACGGTTCCCTGGTTTTAGTACAACAGCAGCCCAGCAGCAGCTGGCGCAGGCCCTGCAACACTCCGGTATTACCATCAACCGGCCACCATCCAGCAGCAGCAGCAGCAGGAGAAGGCCACATCGGGTGCTAATTCCGCATTGCGTGCCCAGCTCAACTCTAGTGGGTCAATTCTGGTAGGAGAACTTAAAAACTTTGGAATCTAACACTTTTATATTGATTAAATTATATTCTGTTCCGTAGCAATCGCAGCTAAAAGTTCAACAGCAGCAGCAGATCATGCCGAAGCAACATCAACAACAGACAACTGCCACTAGCAACACAAACAATAATAATACTAATAATAATAATAATAACAATAATAATAATAATAACAATAACAATAATAATAATAATAGTAATATGAACAATAATACGGCCATACATCCGAATCCTGCTATAAATGCCATAGTCAACAGCATTATGAACTCTGCCAACCAGTACCAGCAGCAACAGCAACAGCAGCAGCAACATCAGCAACAGCAATGTAAGTTAATGTCGCTTCTCTCTGCGCCAGTTGGTGTTCACAGACTTTATTTTTTAGCGGTCATCAGCAGCAATGCTGGAGCTTCTAGCGGCAATAATGGAAGTAGCACTGCAACGCTCAAAAACTCCAGCAACGCATCTATTCTGAACCTGCTCAACAGTGCGCCAGCCGCAATGACCAGTACTCCGGTGGCCAGCGGCACTTTCACCTCCTCTACCACTGGGCAGCAACAGCAGCAACCACAGCAGACGCTGACGCTGGTGCAACAGCAGCAGTCCACTTCCGCCACCGCCGATGCAGCCACAGCTACATACGTACAAGCCACCCGTGGCACGCCGACGCTGGTGAATGCCCAGCGAAAGCAGCAGTCGAGCGAGGTGCTACAGAACCTTCTGAATGCTAACAGAAAGATCGGGGGTGGGACGACCACGTTTCGGACTAACTCCGCCGGCAATTTGATAGCAGTCAATCTGAACCAAGCGGCGCAGACGCACCACCAACAGGCGGGTGATGGCGGACAGACCGTGCGAGTGTCCATGTCGGCGCTGGCCTCGCAGCTGGCTTCGCCGCCGGCAGTGATGACGAATCCAACCACGAGCTACACAGTGATCTCTTCGGGCAATAATGCTGCGACAGCTGCAGCTTGGATTCAGAGCCCCACTGGGCCGGTGCAGCAGCGCATACTTAGTTCGCTGAGGAGGGACAGCACCACCGTGCCGCCCAACGCGATTGTCGTGGGAATGGCCGCACCATCGCCTGGCAGCGATTCAAATGCTTCAAATGCTAGCGGATTCGCGGTGCCCAACAACTTGGCATCCACCTCAAGTGGCGGTGGTGGAACCTTGTCCGCCCTGCTGAGTAACGCTGCTACGCCCTCGCCATCGGGCTCAGATCATTCGCAATCGTCGCAGACGCATCAGAACCAGGCGTTGCTGGAGCGACTTAGCAATGTCACCTCCAACGTGTCCGCAGTGTCCATGCCGCACATGTCGCCCCAGCAGCCATCGGCGACGCCGCAGTTTATTACCAAAACCATAGTGCACTCTCCCGCCACCTCCTCAATACACTCGCCAATGTCTAGTCCGCATCCGCAGCCATCTGCCTCGCCCCAACAACAGCAGCAGCAGCAACAGCAGACCACCGCTACTTTGAACCTGCAGGGCATCAATCTGTCGCAGCTGCAGGGAGCCATGGCCAACTTTGCGGGTCTGCAAAATGTACAAGTGCAGATCCCAGGATTCACGCAACCCATTTCCCTGCAGTTTTCGGGAAACAGCCTTCAGCAGCAGCCGCAGCAACAGCAGCAGCAAGCGGGAAGCGTGACCACGGGCACGGGCACAACGCAGGGCCATCAGCGCAGCGTCTTAGTATCGGTTCCGGTCTCCAGTCACCAGCAGCAGTTGCCACACACCATAACGCTGCAAACTCAGCCGGCTACGCACCAGCAGCAACAGCAACACGCGCCACCCACTGGCACTATCGTCAGCCTGCCCTCGACAGTGTCTGGTACCCAGACGGTGGTCATCACTAACAACGGCGGCGGTGCAGCCGGAAGTGGGACAAGTGGCAACGGCGGTGGCGGCGGCGGTGGTGGAGGAGCTGGCGCCGCCACCGCCATGCTGACCCTTCCCATTGGTGAGTACAAACACAGTGGTGAGGTAAACCTTTTGGTGCAATTTCCGCCCCGTGCGGAGGTGTCTCGGCCAAGCCGAAGATGTGTGTGACTCAGGATCCGGTTTCTCGTTCAGATCTTTATTTATACTTGCACAATATTATCTATACCGTAATTTCTGTTTCTTTTGATTGAACATGCTTAATTTGGTTCTCTTTTGTTTCTGTTTTGTTTCGTTTCTCGTTTTCAACAAACCACAACATAACACAACACAAACCCGATAACAACTCGATTCGATTCGATCCCCTCATGCAACTTAACCAAACCGTTCAATGTGTCTTGTGTGTGTTAACCCAAAATGCCATGCCATCAGTTTGAAATTGGAGAGTCCATTATCTTCACATAACCATGACCCTACCACTCGTCCTGTCGTCCGCCTTCCGACCACTGACCACTGACCCTCGACACGTCTCATTGCTACCAGAAACAACCAAACAGTCAAAAAATCTCCCCGCACACCCACGTTCTGCTCTCTCTGCTTACAGCTCAAATAGTCGGTGCGGGTGTACAAAAACTAAATCCTCAAACAATACGTACCTCAAGTGTTGGTGGTGGTGTAGGGCAGGCTCAGTCGGGAGGCAGCAACACGACGGCGGCCATCCAGCTAGTGGGCACGATACCGCCGCGTACCCGTAACGTCCAGGTGGTTGGCACTAAGCAATTGGCGCCGAACAGGCAACTGATCACCGCTCAACGACAGATAGGAGGCTCCACGCTCAAGATAGCCACCACGCCCGTGAATGGTAAGTAGCATTTGCTTTCCTCTCTACTTCAACAAGCTCACCTCACACTCTCTCTCTTGTTAGCAGCTGCCAATGTGGTAACTAGCAGCGCCAACCTGAGCGCCGCTTCCATTGTGATGTCTACTCAGAAATTGCAACTGAAAACAGTGAAAGCACCTATGCAGCAGCAACAGCAGTTGCAACAACAACACCGAATACTCAACCAACAACAAAGCACCGCCACAGTTTCGTCGCAAACTCTTCACAGCCCCAGCCAAGTGCAGATGCAAGTGTCGCAACAGCAACAGCAGCAGATGCAGCATATACAAATAGCAGGACGGGCCGCAACCGCCTCGGGGGCCATCAGCCAACGGACGCTAACGGCTCTGGCGGCGGCCAAGCAGCAGCAACAGCAGCAGCAACAACAGCAGCAACAGCAGGCTGCAGTCAATCGCCGGCGCTCCACCACGGATGCGACAAAGTAGAAAGTTAGCAATGAAGGCGTGGGAGTTTCTATATGCGAAACGGGACTGAGTGTGCTACGCATTGTGCATTGCTTGATATTATAGTTTATGCAAAGGCCTTATAATAACAAGATGCATAACGCCGAAACAAATTTGCGTCCCTCTAGCCCTAGCTAGCTCAAAGTTGAGAGTGTTATGTGTGATTATACACAGATCATGCAATTGCGTATGTGGGCGTACAGATCTAGAATTCCCGAGAATGCATGCACACATCGTCGGCTGCCTCTGGGTTTGAACACGAAAACTTTCGGGTCTAGAGCGTTTTCCCTCTCTGAGTTTTGAACAATATTTTAAGAGAACTAAAGAGAGCATAAAAATTCGAGGGCAAAATAATCGTATGGCATTACTCATCTTGTTATTTTATGGTCTTTGGTTTATGGTTACCTCCTATCAATACTATCGTACATACATTGTATACCCCTATACATAGTTATATATATATGTTTTGATGTGTAATCGTAAGTGTAAACTGCATGAGGACATGGCAACGAAATATGGAGCTAAAAAGGAGTTCGCATTGCTTGTGTTAACTGTGTCCCCTTGGAAGAAACGAATTAGGTGTAGTAGAACTCTTACCATACATATTTATCTAGTTGTATATATACACATATATGTATAGATATATGTGAAAAATTGTTTCAATATGTCTTGCTACCAATCTGGCTCCCAACTCCCTTTCGTTAGATCCTAAGATTGGCCCCGCAACAGTGCTTATTTAAGCTGTAAGGCAAGGTAGGCGGCGAAAACAAAAAGCAATAATCGGAGAGGAGAAAAGGAAATAAAACACGTAAATTAATTGTAAAGAAATTCTTATTATTACGATTACGATTTAAAAAAGATCATGTGAACCAAGTTAGGGGTTCATTTTAGTAATTAATCATACGCATATTGTAATTATAAATTATAACTATTATTGCTAATTATTTAATCAAAGGAGGAGAACACACATTTTAGCTTGTAATGTACAATTCATAGCCTCAACCAATTTAGTACTTCCAATTACAGAAACATTAAAAGCCGAAAGAAAAACCAATTATACAAAAAGTCATCACTTATTTAAACAACGTATTCTTAAATAGCGCAATGTACAATGAAACTATAGACAGGAGACGGGAGACAGGATTGGACAAAGAAGGCTGCCTATGAGTCGCCGCCGAGTGATTGTAAAAAGTGACGTGACGCTTTGTTTGACTAAAAAATTCGTTTTTCGACTACGCAAGTTTTTGTAGTATAAAGTTACATATTCATTTAAGCAACGATTTTATTTATGTTATTTAACTTTGCTGTAGTTGTTTGGCATTGTTCGATTCGATAATTCAGCTGTAAAGACGAAACGAACGCAAACTAACCTCACCATTGCCCAACCCCACAGTACCCGACACACTCAAACATAATTTACTCAATGTTAATATTAAATAATAAATGTGATTTAAGAAGAATAAAAAGAAAACATTACAGACCGTACAGTAAGCAGGCTAGCGATCGATATAAAGTTGGAATGGGAAATGTTACTCAAGCAAAGTAAAGAACTGGCCGAAAACCTGAGTACGAAAGTGAAATACATGCTTGATAACTATATACATACGTGTGGTCTGATCAAATGGTTATTGAAACGCAATTCAAAGATTTATTACTGCAATGTGGAGCAATCTAAGCAGCTGCATAAGCTATTATATGTACATGTAAGCACGAAAGCCACTATTAATATAAATGTGTAATTTCCATTGAATATCTTAACTGCTTATCAAAATACCTGACTGTAGAAACTTTTCATTAAACTGATTGCGATGAGAACTCCTGAGACGAAAACTAAGCAGAAATTACGACTAAACAAAGATCAACAAATGAAGAGCCGACAAAGTCAGCTAAATCTCCGTTAATCAATAAAGTGTGAAATCTATACTATAAAAATGGAGGCTCAAAATGTGTGTCTTACAGGGTATCTGACATAATAATTCAACCGTTCTTAGTTTTAATTTAAGCCATTTATTTATCAAGCTTTTTTTTTAGTTAGTTAGTAAGCACAGTTCAATTAGTCGCGGTTTAACAGAAGATTGGGATAGAAACGGAGACCTTCTATGGACTCGTCCCGGCACACGCTGCCCAGACGTTCGGCAACCAGTAGCCTCTCCTTGGCAAGCAAAAGGGAAATTCCCAATTGTTTGGCGAGTTCCTCCACTGCCAGACTCTCGGCTGCTTGGACCTTCTCCAAAGTGTCGACAGCAATTAGGCTATCATCGTGCGACTCCAGCTGAAGGACTCTAGCTCCACTGGGAAAACTGCGAAGGCGTATGGGTCCACTAAGCTGCTCGCAGGCGTGCAGCAAGTCCTCAGGCGACAACAACTCCAGTCCTCGAGCCCGATTTATACGGCAGTAGACATCAGCCAAGGACATCATACCACCTTGTTCCTAAGCAAGAATGTCTTTAATGAGTGGAGATGCTATTTTGTAATCTTATTTCTCACCTCGAGGGGATCTAGAAGCACTTCGCAAATCTGTTGCGCCAAATTGGTGAAGTACTCTGTATTGCTGGTGAAGTTGTCACGGGTGACCGGATCGTCGATTCCCAGGCTCATGAGGTAGGACTTAAAGCGCACAGTTTCATCATCAGATATCTCACCTTTCTGCTCGCGAATCTTGCCGCTGATTGCCTTTGAGATGCCAACCATGTCCTTGGCCATGGCCATTAGCACACTAAGATCCTGAAAGGCAGCGCTATGTTCTCATCCGTGGCCTTGGCCTTCGCCTCCAAGTGACGCTCAATGCCTCCGATTCCTGTTCTCTTCTGAATGCGAGCTAGCCGGTCGTTACCAGTGTCCGATTTGGGGCTGCTGGCCACGTTGTTGACGATCGTCTCGCTGGTCAGGGAGATCTCCCAGACGCGCGCATTGAGGGTCTCCCTCAGAGCACTGTGGAACTCAACGCTCAAGCCGTTCTTTCCAGAGAGCTTAATATGTGTAGCACGACTGGTGTCCAGCGGGCCAGGCCCTTTGTCGGGCGACGGCGGTCGCAGGTGCATTATTATGCGGGTCTTTCTGCCAAAGAAGTTGGAGGCTGTCGTTTCTTCGCTGAGCGATATGACATAGCTCAGTGGCAGGCAAAGGGTTACGGCGGCTCGGGCTATCTCGCCCGGTCGACCCCAAAACAGTCTGTGCGTGGTAAGCACAACCTCGCCTTCTTCAAACTCCGTCTGAAAGGAACATTTAAAAAAGGTTTGAGTTCGATTCTTTGGAAGGACGAGCGACTCCTACCTTGTTCTCCCCATCGTATATTTTCACCTTGTTGTCACGGCTGACGAACGATTCGTTGGAACTGAGACGGGCCTCCACATACTCGAAGCGGTTCATTTCGGTAAATTGTGTTTCTGGTTATTCCCTATATTTTTAAAGCGCAGCTGTTTCACAGCTGCTCCGTGGATACATTCCACTCTAAACTTGTCTCATTTCTCTGCGAAAAAAAGTGAGTGCAACTCTTTCATTTGTCAATAAAAAGTAGTATTGCAAGTTTAGCTATTTTATTTATCTCGTTTTCTGACTCATAAGCTTATGAACCAAGTTCGCAACTATAAAACTATAGGAAAAGTAATTTAAACACAACTATACGTTAAATTAGGATGGGTTAAACAACAATTTAGCGAGAAGTTGTTTTAGAATAAATCATTTAAATATTTAAGCACTTTCAATTGTGCTTAAAACAAATTTAAGCTGTTTTAGCACATGTATTTCTGTCAACACTGAGTAAAAAGTAAAAAATACCAAAAATATACCAACGCTATCTGGACTTCAAAATATACGGCCACTCTGGTTAAATAGCTCTTCTATTTTTGTGATAGTTTTTTTTTCAATTTGTGCTAAAATTAATATAATAACCATGAATGCAACTTCATATAATTATGCGAAATGACGTGCCTTTCCTGAGCTGCTTATGTAACGCTGCACAGGCCGCAAAATAGCCCACACATCAATTACCCGGGATTAGCGAGGCTTAAGTTGGACTACATGGCGGCTGTGACCGAGGGCAGCAAAATGCTGGAGGCGGCTCTACAGCAAATGGATGGTCTCATATCAAGCACCACGACACAGGCTGGCTCCGCCGCAGCAGCAGCTGCAGGGTCTTCTCTGACGCTGAGCGAGCGCAACTTGATTTCGGCCACCAATGTCTTATCGACGGCCAAGACTTTGGCTCTCGCCCTGCAACAGGTGAGTCACAGTGGAGATAACGCCTATGTATACATCCGGGTTCTCTTACATGCTTATGTATGTATTTACTGCTGTAGGTAGGACTGGCTGCTCCGGCCCCTGATCCTGTCACCGCCGCCATCATCAGCGACTGGTTGGAGACGCACATACCTCGTCAGGACTCCGACGAGAGAATGCGGCGGCTGCAGCGCGACAAAGAGGGATTGGCTCTCCAGTACCAAATGCTGGCAGAGCGAGTGTCAGAGCAGGCGGACAAGATCATCGAGCTGGAGGGCTGATCACGGAGAAGACTCAGCAGTTGTGCAGCAAGGAGGAGATGCTGCAGCGACAAATGATTTCCCGGTCCGCTCTCGAAACGCAGAAGCTCGAGTTAATGAGTGCCTTAAGTGAACTTAAACTACATCGCACGGCATTGGAGCAGGCCAACGATGGTTCCGCAGTAGGTGGCAATATGCCCTATGGCAGTTTGAGCAACATAAATCAGAAATCCTTCATGGGATCCCCGAAGACACCTCCCTCTGCGCTGCGCCATCAGATAAAGCCGCAGTTCCACAGCCTACCACGATCGCATGGCAAGCTGGGAAACAACAACAACAACAGTCGTATCTTGGATGTAAACGCAAATAGTAGCGGAAAACAACGGAACGTAGCCTTCGCTTCAAACGAGCAAATTCTGATCGAAGACAATGCTCACCACGCCGACGAGACTATGACATCTAGTTTCATGTCGCAGTTCACTCCATCGCCGAAGTTGCGTGAACGGTCTGCCCGCGGCTTGCGCAACATTCTCGGCAAGCTGCGGCGTAGCAACAGCAGCAACTGTGAACTCACAGCCTTGGAGCAGGCAGAACCCGAGTTCCGACGCGGCGGTTCCAGAGCCACAGCGGGCGGACGCATCGAATGGAGTGCCCAGACGCCTCTGTTCGGTGAGAATGAAAAGCACTGGACCACATGGGGAGCGCAGGAGGTGTGCAGCTGGCTCTCTCACATGGGTTTGGGTTGCTACGAGGATAATTGTCGGTGAGTTGGTCAATTGGGAATGCAGATATTGGTATCTTGTACCGACTTTCATTTTTAGTAAATGGCTAAGAGCCTACCCATCGGTGTCGTTTTTTACCGCCTCGCCTGTGGATATTGAACGTGAGCTTAATTTAAAGCTGCCGCTCCACCGCAAGAAAATCATGCTGGCCATCGACGACATCACGGGCAAGGAATTCGATGAGTTAACCTTAAAGTCGGCCAGCTTGGATGTGGCATGGGTTCTGCGATGGCTTGACGACATTGGACTGCCGCAGTACAAGGATTACTTTATGCAGGCCAAGGTTGATGGGCGAATGCTGCACCGCCTTACGCTCGAGGATCTGTCCCAGTTGCATGTGAGCTCCTGCCTGCACATATCCTCGCTGCGGGCAGGTATATTGTGTATGCGCCGCATGTCCTGGAACCCCGAGGGTTTAATTAGACGCTCACTGAAAGCGGCAAGCGAGGATGAGGCCGCTGGCAGTCCCGACAGGGACAATGTGGAGTTGTGGACAGCGCACCGCATCATGGGTTGGCTGCAGACCATAGACCTGTCCGAGTATACGCCCAATCTGCGCGGTGCTGGCGTCCATGGGGCTCTAATGCTCTACGAAGCACGTTTCAATGCGGACCTGCTGGCCGACTTGCTGTCGATACCGCCGAGTAAGTCACTCCTGCGCCGCCACTTGGCTATGCATTTCAAGGAGCTGTGGGTCGTCCGGTCATTCTTAGTAAACGCGATGCCGAATCGGTGCCCGGGTATCAATCGCTAAGCATTACTGCTAACTAAAGCCGGTTAAACGAACACAATTCTCGTTAAAGCGTCGCAAGAGTTCAAAGAGCCAAAGCGACATTGACTGGACAGAGTATGTGTGCCCCATGAATGCAAGAGTGCCGGAATCAATTTTGGTTGATGGTACCAAGGACCACGAGGGCTCAATGAGCTCGAATTAATGATGCACTCGACAACGCACAAATCAATTTCAAGCAAAATTGCTTATATAGTTGTAAGCTCAAGCGAACTGCCAACTTAAGAAAGCAAGTAACCAAATCAACAAATCAATCGACAATATTAGCAAAACTATATCTGGGCTTGCCCACTCTTCCAAGTGTCTATCGAATGAATTCGAGCAGATCCCCTTACCCAAACATTTGAATGCCATATGCCATCATCATTTCGGATATTCTACTTTAACTAAATTAACTGTAACTAAAATTAGGCTAATCTGGTTTCGGAGCGCACGGACATTTTCAGCATCGAGCAGCCTCGAGCGGAGTTAACGACAAGTATTTTCAACGGCATTGAAATAAGAGCGAACCTAACATTTTAGACGTAAAGCCCATATTGGAGTTTATTTTTTGTACTAACCCGTAATTGTATTAACGGATATTTTGTAAAATAAAAACAACGATGCCTTTTACATATGTATGTTTGAAAAAAGAAAGGTATAGGTAGCAAAATCTTTCTTCGTTCTGGACATTCGATCTGGTAATATCACTCGAACAGCAGATCATTTGATAGCTTTTGTGGACATCTTATTAGTTTTTGGGATAAAATATATAGCGATAGAAATATCGTTTTAGTTACTTAAAATATTGAAATTATTCCACTTGGTGGTAATGCTATATGGATATAACCAATGAAATCAAGTAAATACCCGGGAATTGACTTGAATTTTTTTTTTTACCGATTTAGTGATATTCTTGATCAGCATCAACAGCCGAGTCGATCCAAATAGCCGTCCGTCTCTCTTTCATTAAATTTGAAATGTAGCCATTTTATATTATTCTAGAATTTCAGTTTTAATATTATGAAAATCGGACTACTATATCATAACGCTTCCATACAAAGGATCGTTCGATATATAGGAAAATGCTAAACTGGGAATGTCAAAATGTAACTGAAACTGTAAATATAATAAATATAGGTGAGACAGTAATAAAAGTAGGAATTATTTGTTTTTGTTTCTAACAAAAATATATATAATTTATGTTGTATTAATTTTTAATAATCGAATTCAATCGGCGTGCCGAAGTAAACTTTATTTTTGGTTTTAAGTTTCTTTTGGTCTTGAGAATATGAATTTAGGCTATTCATGAAGAGTTTTCCTAGTTGTGTAGTAATTTATTGATATGATAAAGCAGTGTTGTCTGGAGCGTATACAAGAAATTTAGCAACTGAATAATGATGGGACTATTTGTTTAATTTATTAAAAGGTATTTAATTTTATGAAAATAGGACTACTATATCATATATCTGCCGTAGAAACTATTGTTAAAGGAGGAAAATGGCCAACTGTGAAATTAAAAATGTAACAGTAAAACTGTAAATATAATTAGTATACTTGTAGGTGACTGTAATGAAAGTAGAAATTATTTCGTTGTTTTGAACACAAATAGCTATAATTTCTATTGTATTTATTATTAGTGATCGAATTGCAATCTGCAAGGGTATACAAACTTTGGCGTGCCAAAGGCAGCTTGCTTTCTCTTTAACATTAAAATATTCGGTTTATTTGTTAGGAAAAACACTTTATTAGGCACTAAAGAACTGATGAACGACTAGGAAACGTGGCTGAAAATCATTGATCGCGTTGTTGGGCAGCCTACATGGACGGAATTGGCATGGCTTGCTCTTCTCCACCCCATCACAACCATGTCTGATCTTAAACTAAATCTTTGGCAGTGCTTTGTGTCTCCAAGGAGCCTCACATGGCCTGGCCGGCGGACTGGCTCTCTTGACTCAATAGGTTGCCGACAGCCTCACTCTTTTCCCGACCACCGCCATGGTGCTTGGCCAAATCGCTCTCAGGTATGTGGTCCTTCCAGTTCCGGAAAAGGTAGCGTGTGAACTTCTTCAACTGTCTGAACTTGCAGTAGGTGGCTCCCTCCGCGGACTGTAGCTGCTGGGTCTGGATTAGGAAGCCCTTCTCCTTGAAGGTCTTCTCAAGCTTCTCTCGCTGCTTCGAACGGCGCGACAATCGTCTCTTGCGCTCGCTCTCCGTGGAGGGTAGCTGATCCGGTAGCTGACCCGGTAGCTGACCTGGACAAACCGCACCTGGCATCGGACTTTGTGAGCTGGAGTGCGGCGAGACTGGACTGTGCGGTGCCACGGCGGGTGCCAAGTGGTTGCTGCTCGGCAGGAGCATCGATGATGTCGGCGACTCCGGGGGTATGTGTAATTGCTCCAAACTCAGGTCCGTCGACGGTGGTGGTATGTCCAGGAACAGTTTCTCCTGGCCCTGAAGCTGATGCTGCTGCAGATGCTGCTGTTGGTCCCGGGAGATGAACTCATAGCCCCGCATGGTCTTGTCTCCGGTGCCGTTGTAGTAGCGGTAGTTGCCCTCCGCGTCCACCGACAGCATTTTCTTTTCCTGCAATGTGGGCTTGGCTCCGCCCGTGAACTTAAACTTGCAGATGCTGACTTCAGTGGGAGGGCTGGCCGAGTGTTCGGCAGGCACGGGCGGGATAAATATGGCGGAGCGCTTTCTTTTACGCATCGTTAACGGCGTGGCCTCATTGGCAAAGAACCCGCTTGGTATGGGAATCTTAAGAGAAAGCTGATTGTCCTTCTCTATGGTCTCCAAGGGCAGGGTAACTCCGCCAAGGCTGCATGACTCCACCAGCTGCTGATAGTAGAGGCCCACAGGTTGGAAAAGTAACTTGGCGGTGGACATGGGAGGCTTCTCGCTCTCAGCCAGTTCGAGGGTCAACGGCTTCACTACATCCAAAGGTGATGTCCGGTGGGAGGAGAGGCCACAGTCCGTCGCAGTCGTGGTGGTGGGCTTTTCGCTGTCGCCGCTGGAGATGGAATACCGATCTCCGCTTTGGTCCCGCAGGCAGAGGTTCAGAGGCTCCTCTGCAGGCAAAACGATCGTGGCAGTGGACGTTGGCGGAGCGGCGCTCATTGGCATCGCCGCCACATTAGCCGGAACAATAGTGCCATAATTTTTGTATATCAAGTGGCAGATATCCGCTTTCTTGGGCTTCCGTCCGCGCCGTGGCTTATAGTTATCCAGAGTGATTTCCCCCATGTAGGGCAGGTCGGCGTACTTGAGAGAGTTCCGCTTCGGGTTTGCGGTTAGCTCGGAGCTCTTTGTCGAAGTTACCGGCGGGAAGGGTGACACTCTCGAGGGCGGTGGTCCTGATCGAGGAGCCTGTGGCGGCAGCTTCTGCTGCTGGCGTTCGGCACTGCGCTGGATTTCTGCGATTTTCCGCAGCCAGCTGCGTACGTTCTCATGGGACTGACTGGGTGGAGGAGGTGGCTGTGGGAGCACTGGCCGCTGCTGCTGACGGGACTGGGTGGCTTCGTAGTGGGCGGCATATTCTGCGGGCAGGGCCTGGTGATGGAAACGCAGTTTCATGGCCCCCGTGGAGTTGTTCCGCTTCCGAGACCTGTTCGGCGCCTGGCTTTGGTTCGGCTTCTGTGTCTTTTGTAAGGACGGAGTCGAGGGCTCTTCCGGGCACGTTAGTTGTTTATTCGACTTGCGGTTGCCCATCAGAAGATTGGCCTTCAGCTGCTGCTTGGTCAGCTGGCTGCATGTGCCGTTATGGGGCTGCCCAGAGACGATTCTCTTGCGCGCCATCAGCGTCTTGAAGGGTGGTCCTCGTCGTGCGCGTCATTAGAGGCGCCATGCGAGATCAGGGGATCGTCTGAGCCCTGTAGGAGCAAGTGGGTGCTGTTGAGGTCTAATCGTTGATGCGCGTGCTCCGGCGTGGGAAGCCAACACTCCAGGTCGTGGTGCTCCAGCTTGATGGTGGGCAGCAGCTGCTCCAGGTGGCTGGTGGCGGGAGCTACGGGCACCAAGTCGTCTTGGCCACTGCTGCCGGTAAGCTCGCACGCTCTCGCTAGTTCCTGCATGCTGCTGATCCTGCCTGCGGAAAGAGAAGGCGGAAGACGTTAGGAGAGAGTGGTAACCCGGGTGTAATATAACGTATACGTATACGTATACGTGACAAGGCAGACACACACGTTTTCCCCCAGCTTTGTTGTTCTGTTGATCGTGATCGCCGGCAGATGAAGACGGGCTACGGCAGAGACGGACACGGGGACCGAGCACGCGCTAGCTCTCCTGAGCAGCGGTAATTCTATTTAAATGTCTAAGAGGGACGTGGCCAGCCAGTGGCGCTCTCTCACACACATGCACTGGGAAATTTCGCTCCGAAACCGAAATGTTGTTTTTGTGCATGAAATTCGATTCCTCGGGCTAAAAGAATGCCCATAAATGGTCTAATTTCTCGGCCCGATTGGACGGGAAACGAATTTAAGGTTTGAGCCCGAGGTTTCACCTGACGGGTGATGGGTGAAGGGTGATGGGTGTGGCGAGCAGTGGGCAGTGTGGTTTACCTTTGTGTGCTTGTGTTTGTACAGAAAGGTGCCCAGAAAATGGGAATTGGCTCTTGGGGCCGGCTTCAAATCAGTCTTTGGCTGTCAAGTCTGCTAGCTGGTGGCTCTCAAAGGATTCCCTCGGATCGGACCAGTGGCAGTTTAGGTCTGCAATTCACTTCACGCTCCCCTGGCAGTCGGATCACCAGCACCGCCACTGTACGCGTGTACATCGTGTTGACATCCAAAACGCAACTAGTTGCGGGAAGCCGAGTCGCGGAAAGCATCGCTTCTTCGGAATATGCTCCTTAGATGGACCGCTGCGGAGAGCACGACCCACACACAATAGAGGAAAACAGCGGGCACGACGAGCAGCAGCAATGAAAATCAAATTCCTCCGCTCTTCGGCAGAGATGCGTTGTCGCTTCTTCGCGGTGTCGTTGTCTGAATTTAACGCCAAAGACGAAGCTATTTCGTGTGCGTTCATTTTTAGAAAAATTCAACTTGTTGCCGGCCATATAGCCGCCTTCTGGTCGATCGGCGCACATCCAATCCCCACAATCCGCAGAAAGTCGGAGAATTCGAAAACGTATACGCTGTTTTTCATTCATGAGCTCTTCGTACTCCCGCCTCCTAGTTGCCGGCAGATCACGGTGAAAATGAGTCTGCGTGGCATTCACTCTGGATAGAGGCCATTGTGAACCGAATTTGAAGGGATTAATCCGAAATAATGGGTGGGTTGAGGGTGGGTTTTCCTCCTTTTCGATTACGGCCACCTCAAATTCATTTCATTCTCTTTCTCTGCCGCCAGCCAGCCAAGGTGTGCAAGTTGTTTTCCCCGACACTCTCCGTGAAATACGCGTTTTTGATGGCATTTTATTTATAGCTCTCTGCTACTTCGGGTTAGGGCAACTAAGAATCGACTGCGCCTCTTTCGGATTATGAGTTTTCGGAAAAGGAAAAGAAAAACACCTCCCAAAATAGACAACTGTAGAGGCGGCGCTCTATTTTGGGCAGAACTCATTCAAATATGGGTCACCTTTCGATTGCCCTGGAGACAGTACCATTTCATTTATATCAAAGATTCCGCGTGTTTCTTTCTTCTGGAAATAGTATTCATTCATATTTTCATTATTACATTAAAACGAAAAAAAGTATAAATATTTTGTAAAAACGAGGTCGGAGGAATCTTTTTTGGGTTAAAAGTTTATTTTAATATGTATTATTAGTCTATTTTGGTAACCACAGAATTGACCGCCGGCTCCATTTTCAAATTTTATTGATAATATTCCAATGATAGATAAAGACATCAGGATTTGTAAATAAGGCCTGTTTTTATACCCTTGCAGGATATTATTATTTATGACAGATGTTAGAGTCATATTGATCCTATAAAGTGTATTGATCAGCATCAACAGTCGATTTGTCCGTCCTATACCTAGTTTATAGTGTATAGTGGAATTTGTTTAAATGATACTTTCCACTGAACCCAAACTCAAAGTCAGAGAATCTCTCCTTTACATCAAGGAGAAATCCCACCAGGGCGAATGCATTGCATTTTTATCGAGCCACTTTAAGGGCCGGTTTCTGCCCTCACTGTCAAAGTCTCTGATAGCTGTCTCTGAAGTCTTTTGTTCCACTGCCGATTCGAAAAGATTTGACAGAGAGTTCGGATCCCTGTCAAAGTTATCTCACACATTGATATAGCTGTAAACCAAATTTTCTAATCTGATCTTTAAATAAAGTGAAAACTTAACAGTAAGAATAGAAACAGAACTTTAGAGTTAACGAACTAACAAAGTTTGCTATATTTCTTTTTTAGCCACTTTTTCTTTTTCTGGTCATTGGGTTGAACAAAAAAAAAAACACCAGTCAGCTGTGCTCTGGTCAATTAAATAGGATGCAATTACGTCATAAACGTTCAACACAAGTCCGAAATAGAAGTGGCGATTCCTGACCTTGACATACCCGTTCATAATGTTGTTGCATACTTTCTAGCGTAACAATAAATAGCTAATTATTTCATAATGTATCATTGGACTTCATTAGAATAGTTTGCGTTTTTGAGTTATTGAATTGCTAGATTTTGCACATTATTATTGTCATAATAATTGTTTTGAGATATAAACAAGGCAATGTTATTGGTCGATTCATTATGATTTGTTGCGAATTACAAGACGAAGCGAAGCGTATTAAGTCACTTTGAATCACTTTCCCGCTACGCAGTCGCAGACGACGGGCGGCACGACTCGAATCCGGAATGCAAAGCACAAATCGCGTTAGCCATTTGCCATCAATAAGCGAAAACACACCTTCTGGGGCAGCGTTCTTCTCACAACACATTTGGACATCAACCGTCGATAGGGCACCCTGTCGATCGCGCAATACCTACCCGTATCGAGCTGGATAGAATGACATTCCCCGTCGTTCGGCTTTCGACTGCTGCCTCGCATCGCGTGCAAGCCAGAACTTCGCGCAGCTCGCCTCACCGTGCAGCGACCAGTGGCAGTGGGTGGGCGAGTTTGCGCGACCTGCAGACGCTTTACATTCTACAAGTAGACGGCGGTCAGACGGCGGTACGGCGAGCTGGAATCGGGGCTTACATCACCGGCGAGCGGCGTCCAACCTGCGGCTGCGGAGCTCTTGAAAATTGCACATCTATTCGGCAGCTGTGGCTGTGCGACTGCTGTTGCTGCGGCTATCTGCGAGCATGTTACCGAGCTACACTCTCAGTCAGCGGCAATTTCGATCAATACCTGCTTGCGCGAACGAACATATTTGTATTTATGGCCATAACTGCCACTTCGGACGCCCACACACTTTTGGCTGTCTCGAGGCACACACAGAATGATGTTTGCTGCGACTTCTAAGTACGAGTAGCTCTGGCCTTGCCTTAAGTTCACCATCAGCATTTTGATTTCCGATTTTCTTTTAATAATTTGGCAAATGATTTTCGTTTTTGGCAAATGTTTGTGTTTTTAAGTGAGACTTCTTAGCAGGCTTTATCCAAGAATAAGAATATAACACGAATACACTTAATGTTAAGGTGGTTTAATAAAAAATTAAGTTTCGATTTCTACTAAACTACCACAAAACAATCGCAAAAATGTTCATTTCGTAAATCCTTTGCACATAATTCCGTGGAAATTAATTTACGATTACGACAGATTGGATGAATTGGAAACGGCCTAGTTCAAATCTAACAACATCCCAAATTTAGAATTAATATATGCCCGGTAAGCTACATGCAAGAAAGCATCTGCGAATATTTAGGCCACTTAGGAACATTATTTGTGGAAGTTACTTACGAACACGAATAAACTTACCAACAAGTATGATAACCGGAACTATCCCAAGCTGGCTTATAGCCAACAAATCCGTAGCTTCTTAATATGGTTAAGACGCGATGCAATTGCATCATGAATAATTTCGATAGTAAATAGTTTTATGGTAAAAGTTTATTATTTGCAACTTTATTTTTTAGTTTCTTCTTTGTGTTTTGTTTTCATGTTTAAATGTCTATAAAGTATATATAATATATATTTCTGTTTTTTTTTTTGTTTAATTTTCATCATTTTTTTGCTTTGTTTTTTTTATTTGTTTTATTTAACTTGCCAGTTGTTTTTGTTTATATTCCTATTACACATTTGCATAAGTTTTTGTGTATAATAATTATTAATTAATAATAATTTAATTGTTGTAATTATAACTTGGTTTACAATCGCCTGCAGTTGTCTGTATCCAATTTCCTGCTCCTCATCTACCTTAATTTCCCTTCCGCTCCTGTCTCGTACGCCGCTCCCTAGCGACGCCCAGTTTGGCTATCGAAACTAAATATACACTGCTGCCATATTTGAAACTGGCCGTAATTAATGCTAGGGCTGCTGTTGTAGGCTTCATATTTCCGTTATCATGATTTATACTTCGTCATTCCTTATTGTTAGCTGTTTGCCGCGGTGTTTGTTAATCCAGGAGTGTCTCCTTCTACAGTAGTTGGTTCAGTGTGATCGGGAATATATGTATGTTAGTAGCTCTTGGGGAAACAAATTGATCAAAAAATCCGTTTGTGGGTTCTGTTACTGTGTTTGTGGGAGTGTCAGATGGTGGCGGCTTCTTCAATCGATCGGTAGTTATTGTTACTGTAGTATGTACGTTCTATTATTACGCTGGATTTATTTATATTGTATCTTGCAGTATGTCGCATAAATAATGTTAAAATATACCTTCTTGTAATAATGCTTTGAGTATTAAAATATTTATAGTTTTGTTCATAATTAATTAATAGTTTTCTTGTTCGATAGCATTTACTTGTGTCGTGGGCATCCGGCTGCCTTCCGCGGGGCGGAGAGGCGCGTGGAGTGCCGATTGAGTATATAAGATATATATCTGTAATGTTTTTTCGGTGTTTACTTTCATCCTTTTTTTTCATGAACGAATGCACAATTTTACACTTTTCGCCATTTTGGTTTTCATTATTCATAGATTTTAATGTACACCTATGTATGTATTGTATATAGCGTATATTTATTCATATTGTTATACAAAGACCATTTTTTGGTATTATAAATAATGTACTGTACTTTTTCTTAACTGCCTGCTGTCTCGATCAACTACTTTTGACTATTTTTTATTACCTTCCCCGCTATCTTCCCCGGTTGAATTGTGTAAATAAACATTTGTTATGTTACTTTACAATTTTTTATAATATTTAAGTATGAGTGTTTTAGCTGGGTGGTGCATGATGTTTGATCCTAAATGTCTGTACTTGAAAGGATGTTCGAAATGGGAAATGTAAAAAGTAACGGAAATCTGGAGAAAAACTCTCGAACGGCTCCTGGCTCACAGTCTAAGTGATCCTGTTTATGCTCTATTTATATTTTATTCTTTTTTGATTCTGAAACCATTTGCATTTAACATTTAATCATGAGTTCTTCATATTGATTTCGTATCGATTGGTTTTCTTCACCTATGAAGTCGTCCTTTAAAGTTTTCAAAGCAACTGATTGCTAATTGCGTTGAAATTTGAAATAAGTTTTGCTTAAACTGATATTCAATAAGAATCCTTTATCTGCTCCTTTGTCTTTACATTTAGGCTACTAATATGAAGTGCAAGTTCTCTTATTTGTAAACGTCATTTTCTGAATTTCAATTTTCGGTTTTTGATTTAGATTTAATTTGTTCTTTTCATTGCGTTCTCTGCTAATATCTTATTGTTTTCGTTAAAGGTGCTCTTCAAAAATCTCAAATAATGGATTGATGTATGTATGTAGTAGTAATGGCTCTTAATTGTATTCGTGTGGGTTTTTTCATCTGGCTTCGGAGCGGCAAAGTCTAATATTGTTGCATAAAACCTTGACCATTGCAAATCAATTAAAAGTGAGGTTGAGTACCGAAATCGAACTACATGCAGTTGCTTACGTGTGAGTGAGTGAGTGTGTGTGTGTTTGCATAATGCTAAATACGGACGGATTTCTAAACGGAACGCATATAGAGTGTACAAAAAAGCTGTCGTTGCTGCATCTGAGAAATAGGTTCTGAGACGCATCCCAAGCTGCACAAAGAAAGTCCAGGTGTAAGTGTGTGTGTGTGTGTCCTTCTGATGTGTGCCGATGCTAAAATCTATACTAGCAACTATTTATGTTTTACTCAGTATGTATGTATTCAATATGCAATAATTGAACCCTCTGGTTCGAGGCTCTGTTTGAGGGGCAATATTCTATATACAATATAAATTCGCTTTGACCATTCGGTTTTATTAGCTTAGCCTGCAGCCGACTGCATGGGTTATATCTTTGTATCTCGTACCTCGATCTAACATTTGGCTAAGTACTAAAAGATAACAGTTTTATCTACAAAAAATAACTTTGGGCCTGTTCAACACCAATATCTCCGACCGTATCCCTAATTCTTCCCATTATACCATTTCATCCCATTCGATTTGTTTAATTGCAAAATTGGTTTACAATTCTCGGTTGACCTTAGCTCGCTAATAAATCTTTCTTTGTTCATAGTAATAGTAATAATTGTCATAATAATAGTATAATATGTTCTGCTTTTAAAAATGTTTAAATTTCCTCTTATCCCCATTTCCTTCATTTTGTTTTGTTTAGTTTTTTTTTTAATTTTATTTTGTTTTTTTTTGTTTTATTTTAAATGCACTTTCTGAGCTTTCTTACAAGCGCCGCCAATTATTGTTGCTGTTTTGTTATATTCCTATGGGTGTATATAAATATCTTATATGTATACCTGCCTACTGCCTCCTCCATCCTTTGTCCCGACTATGCCCTTGGTTGATGATACTCTTCTAGTGATCTATATTTCTAAGCCTATCCAAGCAAAATCTAGTTGGTAAGCAAAGCTTCAAAAATGTGCCTCGAGCTTAAAAGTATCGTACCGAATAAGATGCCAGTGCAAAGCTTTTGGTGAAATTATATCGAATGAATAGGAATGATGTACTATCAGTATGGAGTTATCATATACATATATCGATAAGTTCGGTTTTCTATTTAAATTTAACTGCATGTATTACCCTGTATCCAATATGTCTTCTGCGTTTATGTTAGAGAACAAAACCAAAAAAATGTTGAAAGCAAAGTGCTTAAGGCTTAGCAAAAAAATGCCCTCTGCTTCCCGCCCCTTCTAATCAATCCCTAGCGTTATCCCCCCGTCTTTCCCCTACTTGTTGGGCCCGTGTAACTGTGTCCTTGTGTTGGTTGAAGAGTGGCTTAGGTGTCCGTGTGTAGGTGTAGTTAGAAAACTAGTGTATGCAATTTTGGTAAGTCCTTGGTTATGGTGGGGTTAAGTGCTTGTCTCTATCGTTATTTATCGTTAGCATTATCGTTAGTATAGGCTATACGTTTACTTCCTCTTAAATACCTGCAGAAAAGTGTATCTAAATATATTTTTGATTAGTAAGTTCTAAACTTGGACTCCAGTGTTTTGGTTGTTCTTCATGTTCTTTGTTCATGTTCTCGTTCTTGTTCTTGTTCTTGTGTCAGTGTCGTAAGCTTCTTTCACTACTTTGTCTAACCTTGTCCTTGACTAGTATAATATAATTGTGTATAGTTTATATAATAAATAAAGAAGTTAGTTTGTATTAGTAATGGTTCGCATAGTGTAATAAACATTCTATAAGAATGCCACCCTCGCATTTTGTACAATAAAAATACATTATGCGCAGGACAAAATCTAATCGCATATATTTATAGATCTGTACGTACCTATAAATGAGTTACGCACAGATTAAGTTTAAGGAACGATCATCGATAAGAGACTTCATTTTCAATTAGTAATGTACAATGCTTATTCTTAGCTCTTAGGTTAGCGCTATTCTTAGCTGGCTTCAAACCGTTAATTGAAATCCCAAGAAATCAAAGAAACAAACGGAAAACGCAAAGCCAATGGGGTCCCATCGATTTCATATCTCGGTGCTGGCAGCTAAACAGCTTGAGAATCACCGAGAAGGGTGCCAAGCTCCGAAACTTTCGTTCGGATATCCGCCTATTTGATATGACAGGTGTACGGTGTGTGTGCATGCAATGGAGACGGGGAAAAACACGGTGTGTGTGCTAACGCCAAGTGCGTATTGTAGACCTATTGATTTTGGCAAAATTTGCAAAGAGTCGGCCAATTGAATTTTTTCTCCATCGAGATGGGCGAAACCTGTCCATTTTCGGTTAATCTGGTGGTTTATCTATGGTATTTATTTCTAGGAATGCTTTAATTTTTACGAGTTCCAATTTTTACACTTTATGCTCAAGGTACAATTGTCTTCTTCTATTTTTTGTTTTTATTTATGTCGATTATTTTGTTTTACTCTTCGATCATCACATTTCATTTTTAATTTCAATTAAGCGACTTCAACGGTCGTTTATATTGTATTTTATTCGTTTATCGATTTATTTTTGATTTGGCTTTCGTGGTTGCTCGTTATCACCGCTCTTCAAAATAATCAATAATAATGAAATAAGCCAAGCAATAAATAAATTTGATTTTGTTCACTTTTTTAAACGTTCGTGTCACAGCCCTTATGTGTTTTAGTTTTTATTTTAGTTTGTTTAAAATGATTCGTAGGGGAGACATCCGTAAATCATAGTAAAATCGGAGGTAAGTGGATTATGCAAATTTTCAGTCCTGTGATATGGGAAAGGATGGTGAGTTTGGGTTGTGTGACCTAGTCTCTGTCCTGGTATCTGCCAATTAAAATTGAAAAGCCGTTAGACACGGGCTCGGAACATAAGAAGAAAATAAAACAAGTTTGGTTGCTTTGTATTTTTTTCTTTTTTAATTGGTTTTTGCTTTTATTTGTTCTGCTTATTTAGTTTTAGTTTAGTTTATTGTGTGTTATGCTTTGGAAATAATAGTTACTATAATTTCGGGGTTTAGTATCTTTCCTCTTGGTATATAATTGCATATTTTGCCAAAATCAGTATCTCACTAAATTTATTAGTTGCTTGATTCATTTTGTAGATATATGATTTAAAATATTTTGCATAATAGCAGATAATAATAATTATAATAATAATAATAATAATAATAGTAATAATAACTGTAATAATATTTATTCATTTCAATACTTATGTGTTCGTATTTTTAATACAGGGAGAAATCATAATTGGTAATCATAATCATATTACATAATAATGGTAAATTATTATTATTATCGTAATAGTTGGACTTTCTCATTATATTTCATATTATTTATTAAGGTTTTAAGTTCGTTATTTTATGCAATAATTAACTTGAATTTGACTAGATCGATTCATACAAGATCGTAAATACATATAGTGTGTGTGTGTGTTGGTGTGTGTCTGTGTGTGTGTATTTGGATGATTTTGTCAGAAGTAAAATTCTAGCTTAGCATTTTCATTCAAAGCTGTCAAAATTCTTGGGTGTTTCTTGCTGAACTACTTTTAATAGGCGCTAAAATCAGTTTGATAATTTTGCATATTTGTATATGTACTTGTATATGTATTTGTATTTGTATTTGTTGTATTTGTATATAATAATATATGTATGCAAGTGTCGTTAAATAACTGGGATTCTCATTCGTTTCATTCTTCTGTGTGGGACTTTCATCCGCCTTAAGGTTTCATTCTCTATATATACAATATTACTCCTGCTGAGACTTAACATTTTGTGTGTGTTAAAAATAGGACCAAATGAATCAGATTAAATCGATTTGACATTGATTATAATTCTCCCTCCTGGCTCGACTTGCTCGCATATCCTATTTATCCGGAATTTTAATACTGCCCCAGTGACCCGACTGGTGATTCTCTCAACATCGGCGTAGACTGTAACAAAAATTGATATTTGCAATGCTTGAGAGAGGGGAACCTATAAGATCTGCTCCAACGAATGTGCTTCACTGGTAACAGAATTAACTTTAACTTTGCTAACAATTTTCTTCCATATTTATATATATTGTGTTTATCTTTTATAGTGTAATTGTTAATAATTAAATGTTATATCTTTAGTATCAAATATGTCCCGCAGATAGAGATTCCTCTGCGGGACCCACAGACTAGGCGACTCTAAACTTATAATTTTCACTATACAAACTCTAAATAATTGTTGATTTTTCTCCCTTTCCCTTTTTTTCTTTCTCCACTTTCTCGTTCACTTCTTTATCCATTACCTTATTTTTGGCATATTTAGCTGTAGATTTGACTTTTCGGTCCTTCTCTCTGTTTTCCATCTTTTGTACAGATTTTGCTGCTAAATTGATTAATTCATTTAACAGACATTTTAGATAATTTTGGATAAAGATCTCATTATAAACGTTTTCTTTTTACTGACAATTATATTTAGTCGGATTTTGAAGTAACGTAAACGAAGGGAATTTAAGTAATTGAATAGGCCATAGAAATGGTATATTTTTGTGAAAATGTTGCCTTGTTTCCTGATTGGGCTTAAATTGAAATAATAACAATAAATTAAATAATAATTAATATGGGCTTAGGAATAAATAGTTGCTTAATCTGGTTAGGGGCGCTATAGTCAACTTGATCGGTATCCTTCACCAAGGTTGGTGGTTGTCAAAATAAGGGACTAAAACTTTATTTATTTGCTGTTCTGTATATCTATTTTGTATATACTTTTGTATATATTTTTATAGTAATACTTTCATAGCAAAATGTTTGTTATTTTTTTCTTCTTCCTTTTTTCTGAAGCCTACTCGCTCATTTAAATATTTGTTATCCTTTCTTTATGTTTTTTATTTAGGTTTGGTTTTTGTTCTTGCTTTTATTATTTTATATATCTATATATATATATGCATGTATATCTGTAAGTACCTGTAGTTGTTTTTGTTGCAAGCAGCTAAGTTTAAGTGTAAAGTTTTTGATTTTATTTAAAATGTATTTTATTATTCTATAAAATCGTTTACGATTTCTTTAATACAATCTTAAAACAAATGGTATCGAAACTAAGAAATTGAGAATTGTAAACAAGTAGAAGAAGTTCCTCCATCAGAAATTATAGGCCAACATAAAGGATCGCTGTATATATGGTAATTCATTTATCTTTTCTAGTTTTCCTCTTAAGCTTTCTCCCCTTTGATTCTCTTTAATAGTTCTAACAAATTTATATTATAATATTTCTTAAATTAGTACTCATTTATATTTTATAAAAAATGATATATCTGCTTGTCATCCAACGTAGCCTTAAAAGCATGGCGCATATTAGGTGGCTTGCTCTGTCCCGTTTAGTTCTAACTTCCTATATCCGTTTTGTTTTACTTAAAATTAATTAAATTCGAATTTTTGTGTAATTTTTCATCCGCACATATATATATAGATATATGCGTTCTCTTATCCACCCATTAAATCGTTTGCCTTGTTGCTTACCACTAAATGCTAAAAAGTTGCAGACCTACTTTGTCTCCTTTCTCACCCAGCTTCCTCTATTTTCTTTATATATTTTAACTCTTCCCAAGAACCACTGCCCTCTAATTACTCGGTTAACTGCAAAAATCCCTTCCAGTACGCCATCATCAGATTAACAAATTCATTTATAATAGTTGTTCTTTTGGGTTTTGTTTTTAAGTATTTCTTCTTCTGATTTGTTAATTTTTTTTATAAATTTTCATCTCAAGTTACTCTTATAAAATGCTTTCTGCACCTATCGTCCTTAATTGTTTTTGTTTTAATTTTTGTTTTTTTTTTGTTTATTTATTTGAAAACCCAGATAATTTTGGTCTCTTGCCAGTCAGTTTTTGTCTCAAGTTTTGTGTTCTGTGTAGGGTTGTGTGTTGGTGTGCAATGTTTATGCTGTTAACAAAACTATCAATATCAATGTTTGTTCCTTGCTTATATAAATATATATTTTATATTAAATCGATATTTTGGCAAAAAATCTGTTCTTTCTGTTCATCGCATTTTTATAATTTTGTTTGTCATAATTTTTTGTTTGGGTTTCTCTTATTAGTTTGCTGCTCTGCATTCAGTTGAATGTACAATCGGATAAATATATAAATATATTCAATTTTCAGCTCTAATGTGTTTTCTTTTTTTCATTTACATTTTTTGTTTACTATTTTTTATTTTCTTTTTTTTACATACACGTAGCATGTATTTAATTTCTATAATCGTTTTTTTCTTAGCCGGGCTGAAGACCATCTGAAATGAAGGAATGTAGTTGCATGAGTATACGCCCATTAATGATGATTTCAAGAAGATCCTCGATTTCTTTATGTTAGTTGCGAGTAAATATAAATAAAATGAAATCGAACACCAACAAATCGTACCGCGTTACGCATTTATTCAATTATATTGTCTTAAGTTCAGCGGTGCTCACACAGTAGTACCGATAAGTATTTGTCATTCAGAGAGTTAAAGGTGAATGGTGAATCGGTTTCACTGTGTGAGCAGCTCTGAGTTGTGCAAGTATTTGCTCACCCCATCAATAGTTGCTCCTTTCCCTGTTGCAGCTGCAGTTGAAGCGATCGATCTCTTTTCCTAGGCCTTTCGCTTCTGCTGCTGCCACATGAATAGTTTCTCGACTAACTCCACCTTGGAGCAGTTGGTATTGGGTGGATCGTTGGACTGCGACTCTGGATCGGTCATGCTGCTGTTGCTATTGTGGGTGTTGTTGTTGATGCTGTTGTCTCCGCAGTTGTCGTTGGAGTTTCTGCTGCTGCTGTCGTTGCTGTAGCGATAGCAGTAGGTACCGCTGCGCCAGCTGGCGAACGTGTAGGGCATGGCGCTGTGGGCATTATGGGCATTATGGGCGTTATGGGTGGAGCTTTCAGACGTGAATGTTGGCCCAAAGCCGCCGCCAAGATGGCTGTAATGAGCTGATGTTGTTGCTGTGGCGGGGGCTGTGGTGACTGCTGCTGTCGAAGGTGCTGCGGAAAATGCTGTAGTAGTTGGCAAAGCTGCTGGGAAGCAGGCTCCTGATGTTGGGGCTCCAGTTTGTTGGTGTGAATTGCGTTTAAGGAACTCCGATTGTTAATAGGGTCGACTGGCATCCTTTGGCCGCTTCAATTGAACTTTCAGTCTTTTCATGCCAATCTGGAAGCCATTCATTGCCTGAATGGCCGCTTGAGCGCTGGCGGGATTATCGAAAGAAACAAAACCTGCAATGAAAGTAAGCATTATAGTTTCGATTCAACAGAGAAAACCGATTAGGCATTACCGAAGCACTTGCTCTGGTTTGTAGCACGATCGATGAAGACCTTGGAGCTGATCACATTGCCGAACGGCAGGAACATTTGCATTAACTCGGCGTCACCAAACTCTTGGGGCAAATGGTAGATAAAGAGGTTGCAGCCCTCGGGTCCGGATATTGAACATCCTGGGAACATCAGAAAATCTTAAAGGAAGACATTTCAAAGAGAGAAACAAAGTAGAGAACAAATTAAATTTAACAATGAGGAAAATAATAATCGTAAGCTTTATGAGTTATGTCTGCATTTCTGTCTCGATTGTATTACATTGATTTCGTTTGTTTTGGGTTTGATTGGATCCGTGTTCTGATCTGTGTGGCTGATCTTGTTTCTGGACGAATCAACTAAGGCTAAGGCGCAATATAAGTCTGCGGAAAATAGGAAACCAAAACCAAAACCATAAACGACATAATGTCATACAAGTGTATATGTGAAGTCTAGACTATGTATAGATGTGCCACTGAATCTGCCGCTCTGTTCTTAAGTATCTATCTTAGGACTCTAGGCAGTGGCCTTGACCCCGCCCCCACTTTCCACCATATGACAATTATGTATATGATAATATTTTAAGTGAAGTACACATCCATAGAAACTGTTTGTTTAATTGAAGAACGGTATGTGACTAGGGCATGCAGGTAAGTTCTAGAGGATACACAGAGAACAACAGACTACGGCGCAACAGATATCGAGGTGGAGTCAAACGAACTTTACACTGAAGTTAGGTTTATAGTTAGGATATATATAGTTGGTAGTATACACACACACACGAACAGAATTTAATGTGGCACACACACTCACAGAGGTACAACCACACCCACACCCACACCACACACACACTACATTACACGGAGACAATGGATTGCCTATGTCTCAGTTCCTGGCAAAAGGCAAAAAAAGATGAGCAAAACGAACCGAAAAGAAACATAAAATTTTATGAGCCAATGTCTTGGAAATACGCCGACGCTCTTTATATGATTTTAAGCAGTTTATATGTAATTTTTACGATCGCATAAAATGCCGTTGAATGCAGCCATTAAAAACGATTTACGCCTTGCTCGCCAACCCCGTTCAAAAGGGTTGCAAAACCCATCCCGTCCTATCCCGACTGGCCATTCATTCTACTTTCGTGAGTGGGTTGCGCTGGGACAAAATGTTTATCAAAATACAATAAGGCCAAACGGAATACAGTATGCAAAGTAATTAATTTTTATGAGCTTTTGTTTTAAATTTAATTTCTTCCGTAACAAACAACCAAAAAAGAAAAGGAAATTAATTGCTGCTCAGGGCCGGGTCGATCGAAAGAGATATCCCACTTCTTTGTCTGTGTGTAGGGGTGTGTGTAACATGTTTACAATGACAAATAATCAAACAAAATGGAGAATCAGAAGAAACATTTACATTATGTAAACAGGTAAGGTAAGCAATTGGGTTTGTCCGGAATCATTCGATATTTGCAAATGCAAAGTCAAATGCAATATACTTTAACAAGAACGGAAACCAACGTACATATACCGGAAATCGGATATCGGGTGTAGGGATCGGAAATCGGGAATAGAGAGTCGGGTATCGGCTATCAGGTATCGGGGTTTGGGCTTTGGGGTTTGGGGTTTGGGGATTGGGAAGTGATCAACGAAATAATAATGAAAAGCTTACCTTCACGCTGAGTGGGTGCAACCGCCGCTAGGGGAGGTGGTAAAGCTTGTGGAAACTGTCCATAGACGGCGGGAAAGGCTGCGTTATATATAAATAATTTTTGTTTTGTTTTTACACAAAGTCCGAAACATTTATAAAGACAACACAACAATAATATATACGTTTATATGTATAACAGATTAATAGATTAAAATCGATATCATATGTAAGTAATCGGCAATCCATGATACAAATTTCTAAAAACAAAACTAAACATCTTCAGCCAGTCATAGTAGATGGACTGGAATTGAGAACGGCTGAGAACTGATACAATTTAAATCAGCGCACTCATTGGGGAATTATCTATGAATGTAGGGGCTGTTCAAGCTACAATTAAAATTAGTGTAGTTTACAGATATTTTGTGAACTATAACAAAATGAAATGAGTCAAAATGCAGCCAACACTCGGAAGGCTTCACTTATGGCAAATCAATTAAGAAGCTCAGATAGACACTCAGTTCTTGGTTTATTTGCGAAACGAAGGATTACGGTTTGTAAGAAGGTTTGCTGTGCTTCAACTGCACAATAAATAAAAAGGTTTATTTTTAGAAATTAGAGGTTTGTAACACTTTACTAACAATGAATATTTATGGCATGGCACAACAATTATAAATTATTCGATAAAAACAATTATGAATCAGTGGTCGGTTTTTCTGTTTGTGGTGGCGTTATTCGAAACATGAAGGATGCTATTAATAAAAAATGGTACATAATGGCAGATAATGCCCTGGGCGATGCAGATTATGGGCTTTGGAGATGAACTGCTGAATGCAGTTTTCAAATTTGAGGCTTTCGTCTGCCTCCTCCTTATATACTTATACTTATGTATACGTAGGCCTAACACTTTATCTGATCTACCAATGGGGCACTCACCAACTCCTGGAAACGGTGGCAGACCAGGGAAGGCATGTTGCAGGGTAGCAGCATCGCCGTTTGGCAAACCTTGTGGCGGTATAGTCAAGTGCAGCGGATCTGCAAGGATCAGTTCAGTAGAAGAGAGTTAGCTGGGGACTCAGGGCAAATATTAAGTCTTACTAAATTGAATTCAATGTGATTAATAAAATCAAAGATGAGTAACGCCCATACATTTGAATTAAAGTTTTTCATTCGCTAGCACGAAGTAGAATGGTACTGGCTTATGAAACAAAAAATCAAGAGAGCCAGGCTCTGGGTGCAAAATAAATCGTTTGGCGTTACTCATCTTGTTATTTAAAGATCTAAGATACAACTTACGTCCTGGGAATGCCGTTTGAGGAATGCCGTTCGTGAAGACACCGTCTGCAGCAGCGGCTGCAGCAGCGGCGGCGGCGGCTCCGCCGGGCTGGCCGTTGGGCGTGTTGGCGCCCATGTTGAAGTTGGGCATGGTCGGCGAGGGAAGCGAAGGCGGCTGGCCGGTGCCGTTGAGGCCGTGAGGTATCTGCGTTGCCAGGGCCGCCATCGGGTTCATGTAGGCGGCTGCCGAGCCGGGTGCCGTGGCAGCGGCGGCCATCAGGGCGGCTTGCTGCTGTTGCTGCGGGGCAGAAGGGGGGAGAAGAGAAACCTGCAGGTGAAAGCAGTTCGAGGGGGTTCGAAGGGGATGAAAGCACTTACCTGAGCGTAGGCGCCATACGGACTGAACTGATTAAAGACAAACGGGTTCAGGAGGTTCATGTGACCGGCCATTTGCTGCATACGCCTTATTTGTCGCTCCTTCTCCGTGTCGGCGTATTTGACGACCAGGCTGGAGGATGCACCCTGCAAAGTACGGAAGGAGGGAGGGAGTTAAGAAGAGGGTTGTGAGCGGGTGTCGAGTGGCCTGGCATTGCATATTTATAGGCGGCTTTTCCGCTTTGCCTTCTGTGCCTCTGTGTCTCTCGGGAACAGGAAATCCTATTAGGGGCCATTATTTTGCAAAGACAGCGCTGCGCACCTGTCCGCCCTGCACCTGCCCGGTTGCTGCCTCGCTTCCTTTGTTCGACGGCACCTCATTATTATCTTATTACAATTATATACAAAAAATATATATCAAAATAATTGGCATACGCACACTTCAATTTGCATTTCTATTCAAAGCAGCTTATGGGCTTCGCTTCCCCTCCCTCTCCACCTGCTGAGCCTTTATCTATTGTCGTCTGTCATTGATTTCGAAATAAATACATTTAACAAAGACCGGGACCCGGGTCTAGGCCTGGGCTCTTACATTTTCTTTGCCTGCGATGTCAATTAATTAGCATAATAATGGCGGGCTTCACATTTCGTAACCATCCTGCCTGCCGCCGCTCCTCCGATCCGAGAGCTATCGAATTACGTATGACAATTTGAATTGAATAGGCATTTCCAATATTCGGTAACAATGTGTTTTTGTATTAATTAAGACTGTTTTTGTAATTGGAAACCTTTTCACTGCTCAAGATGATGATGACGGATGGCAACAGTGGGTGGGGATGTGCTCCAGTAGGGGGAGCAGGCAGAAGGCAGAAACGCTTTTATGATTTTGCAAATCATTAATCAAAGTAACAAAGATATTGTGTGGCATAATTCTTCCCCCTGGCTATGTGTGTCTGTGTGTGTGAATGCTGTTAATGAGACTAAGGCAGAACAGGTGCCTCATGTACAACCGTTATCTGCCCTGCCTTGAACATAATTTTAATTAATGAAATATGAAACTCGAGTTTATGCAAAAGGCCATAAGCAGAGGGTTCGAGGAAAACTATTCCCGCTTACGCTGCACAGGGTTGAGGTGCTCCATGGGTTTTAATGAGCTCCTGTGAAGTCCGCGTTGCTAAAGCTCCTATATCATGAAAATTAATTTGATATGGCTTCAGTCGAACCCAAGATTCTACTCCGTCAAAATGCGTAGATGACCCACGTTTGAGGTGAGTGTGATCAATGCTTTTGAGGTGTCCCAATGCAATTCCATCGTGAATTGCCTTCCATTGAAAGCGATAAACCTCCATTATCCGTAACTAATCTGTGGTCCTAATTGTGCCTGCTCTCGCACAACTATGCAACAGGCCCGACCGAAGGCAGTGACTGCCTTGGAAGCTCATAAATTAATTCATTAACGTCAATTTAATTGTCTAATAATCCCCGGCTCATGTCAGTCCTGCCCATGGCCAATGCTTGATGGCTGATGGCCAAAAAGCTTTTCGGATAAAAAGAACAGCATTTTCGTGAGGCTGGCCGGAGGAGTTATGGGGCGTGCAAACAGGCTGAGAGTTCAGTGCCAGGAGGCAGTCATTCAGTCTCGGTTTGAACGTTTATTATGTGCTCTATATGTGCAGTTGTTTGGCCTGCTCACTTCCGCTTCCGTTTGACGAAGACGACAACGTTGGCGGCACTGCAACGACGACACGAAATTCCCATTCAAGTGAATTGCTGCCGCCAAATGAAATGAAAAATTCAACACCGCACACAGACACATCCTTGCGAGGACTCGATCCAGTTGGCAGCACGCCTAACCAGAACGAATCGTCGTCTTGCTCAGTGGGAAATGCAACAGGCGGCAAGGAGGCAGCATACTGCCAACTAACAAGCCAACTAACTGGAGAGGCTCTGTTTCTGGTCCTGGGCCTGGGTGCTTGGTGCCTGCTGCCTGGTGCCTGGTGCTGGACTCGTGCCAGGCGGCACTTTTGGCAGCAATCGCATGTTGCATGCCACTTTTCGGGGTGGCACAAACGTGACGCCATTAGACGGGCCAGAGTCCTTAGCCTTTCCTCTGCCGTCTGCCGTCTGGTTCCTCGGCCGAATATTTTTTATTGTTTTTTAATGCGACTCGCTCAGAGTTCTCCGCCTCTCTTCGATTTCGGTTCCGGGTTTTTTACTCCCACTTTGTTTGTTTTCTTTTTTGGCAAAGTTTCAGACCGCACGGCGGCCAATTACAATTGAAGGGCTTACAGTGCATTTAAAAAGTAATTTGTCTGCCGCCCCAAAAGCCGCGCACGTATTTGTATATTTCAATGCAAATGTAAATGGAAATGGAAATGTATATGCAGCCAAGACTATCCCAGGGTGAACCTGTCGTATCGGCTCGGGGGCTGGCCCGGGGTAATCACAGTAACCCGTGTTCACTAATGGTTCTACAAGCCGCAAGGGCAGCCGGTGAGCTCGGGGACAGGCACAGGGGCGATGAAATGCAGCCAGGACTCAAACACACACATTCTCCGCCACATAATAAACTCGCGCCGGGAAGTATGCACCGGTTACCGAATTCAATCGGCGGTGGGGACTGGATGAGGTCGGTGGGGGTGCCACTACGTGTCTGGGGACATGTTAACATGGCAGTCGTGCCAAAAATTATTATTCCCGCCTCGCCACGTACGCTCCGGCATTGCCTTTGGCTCTGACTCTGGCTCTGGCCCTGGGACTGGCTTTGCATCTGTGCCGCTGACGCTGCTTTTTGCTTGTTGCATACTTTTAGGCATGAGTGTGAGCGGCGATTTGTCAACACCTAAAAGGACAACATATTTCTTGTCCACGGCGCATTGTAAAAAAGCTGGCAGCAAATGGCCGGCAAATGGATTTAACAAATGAATTATATATATTTTTATTTGCAACTGATTTGCATTTTATGGTCTCACTGTTTCAATTTCACGGCTGGCATAGCTTTTTCTCTGCATGTTTACTTCGGCCGCTGCTAGTTTCGGCCGCAGCTTGTTTTAATTGCAAAATGAATTGGCCTGGTCGTGGCTTAATGAATGGTGAGCAATTTTTATCTATCAATTAAAGCCGGCGACAGCGAAAAGCATTCCAAATGGGAGCACATAAATTCTGGCCTAATGGCAAAGGACATCTCTTTTATTTTTCCCAGTGCCATCTGTGTGGTTCAGCTCATGTCCTGGCGAGTTAAGCCCGAGCGGAAATTGAAGCCGTTCGAAAGTGTAACATTGATTTAGAGACTGGCTGTTAGGAGCGACGTGTGATGTTTTATTCCACGGTTACTATTTGCCAACTGACGTCGAGACCCCATAATTTCACTAGTGTCAGTTTCGAGGGATTTCACAGCGCCATCACTCCTGAGCTCCACACTGGGCTGCGGCACGTTCCGGCAGCTACCGCCGAAACGCCTAATGACGTTTACACGGCCAACATAATTACAGTAATAATGTGGCAGAGACTCCGACCTGGCCGCCACGATGATGACATTAGCCAGGTGTCAGGCGACAATTTAACGAGCGACAGCGTTGCATACACGTATGCGCGGAAAGCAGTCGGCCTTTGTGTGCCACATGCAACACCAGCACCAGCAGCAGCAGCGACAAAGCACATTCGTCACGAATCGAGGAAGCAGGCAGGCAGCAGCCAGCTCTCTTCGTGCGTGTGTCGGCCAACAATTTTGTATGCTTTTAAATTAGCCAAAGTGTGAAAGTGTCATGTTTCGAAATATGAAATTAACAGAAGCGGAGGCAGAGGCAGAGGCAGGAGCAGGAGCAGGAGCAGGAGTGTTAACAGGAGAAGTGCTCGACGCCAGGACGAACGCGATGCCTCCTCTTTTATGGCGCTCTGTTGTTGGGTGAAAATTAAAAGGAAGTGCACTTCAATTAACGTTCGTTCCTGCCGGTTCTGGTTGCCGCTCCTTTGACGTTCGTTCTTTAAAATCCGGCCTGGAAAACCGCCATTCGGCGGGCCTCTTTAATAGATTAACCCATAAAGTAAAGGGAAAAACTTGGTGAGACCCTTCATTTGCATGGAAAATTCGTAGCTCACTTCGATGACAATGACAGTTCTCAACGAGTTTTCCAATTAATTTCCATTTAAAAGACAAACCTGGACCGAGCCCAAAAAACTCCCGCCGGAGCTCACAACAACGGCAGCCGCCGAGGAGCCAGTAAAAGTGGCAGTAAAACTAATTACGAATTCGTTTTCAGATTTCAATTCCGCTGTCAGCGGCAGTCTGAAGCTGCGCAGAGTCCTGTCAAAACGGTGACTGAAAAGGCACCCCGCACTCCCGTTCCCCGATATATTCCGTTGGAATACTGGGGGAATACTGGAAACCGCAGCCGAGTAAGTAATCTTTTCCGGCGAATAAATCACACCATCGCCCGTAGAGTCGCCGGGACTGCAGTCGAAATTAGTGTAAATGCCGCTAAGCTACCTAAAAGTATGCTCAGCATTAACAGGGAGCCCGCAAAAAATCCGGAAATTTACGTACTCTGCTAAAAGTTACTTTGCCCCCAACCAGCCCCAAAAAGTTGCGACGCCCCGTTAACCGCAGTGGGCGTTAAAGGGACGGCAAGGCAATGCATACATTAAACAACTTTTGGCTCATTGCATTCTGGCCCTCTCGCTGGCCCTCCGCCTCGCTGCTCCAACAAAGGGCCGCCGGCGAAGCGTAAAATGCGGGCAAGCAAAAAGCACGACCCGGACAGGACGAGGCAGGAGGGCCTGTTCTCAGACGACGGCGTTGACAATGCAACTTGGCCGCGGCCAAAATGAAAAACTTATTTAATTTACTTTGCTTTTTGCCACAGCGCCGGCCATTTAATTCAATTACCCGCCGAGAGTTCTTTTCGAGGGCTATTTATGCCGTTTTCCTATGCAGCCTAATAAAGCAATTAACGGGGTAGAAATTTGTCAAAGACATCGCGAGCAGATCACCCGGCGGAGTGTCCTTTTGACGGCGAGCAGTTTCTAATGGGCCGAGCGGCAAAGGGTCGTGGGATCGATCCTGCATCGCTTTGTGCGCTCAGCTAAATGGGCAATCAACAGGCTGGAAATTGGCCCGGCGAACTCCGGCGAAGATATGCTCGGAATGT